AATCTCTTCATCTAGCCCATTGCGAATCACTCTCTGCCTTGCTGGCCAAATCTCACCGCCCTCCCGCTCCTCTTTTTCGTGATGGGCAATGAGTATCTTCTTCAGATGCTGCTGGAAATGCAACACGCCCTTCTCGTTGAAAGAGTGCAGATCGCCGGTTATGTACGTCCCGCTGTTAAGGTTCTTCTGCGCCGCATTGCAGAGTTGCTTATCCTCAGACTCTACCTGCTTGAAGAACTTGTCCACCTCCTCGAACTCCTCATCTGTAGCGTCCTTGTGGCGGTATACTTCGTACTCCATTGAGGTTGCGTTTGGTGATATAGGGACTACCCTCATCAGGTAGAAGTACTTGGTTCTGCCCATGTAGAGTTAGCATAAATCGGAATTGTGGGAATTCATTTGGGAAAAGACCAACGTCATCGTAATAGAGGCGTTCGGAAACATATATGTGGGTGCAACTTCCAACCCGGAGTCCATCCCGGGCTTATCTTTAGCGAAATGCCGTACTTGGCCACCCGGCGTCTCGACATTGTATGTTTTGAGGTCAGTCATTGCCGCAATTCCGGGATGCGCGACGCTGCAGTGGTAGCACTTATTACGGTCAGCCATCGAGTTCGATCTTCAGGCGTATCAGACCTCCGGGAAATTGATTACCTCGTTGTAATTGTCTATCAGCGTCTTCCAGTTGTAGTCGCCGTTCATGTCCCACGCATGATCAAACTTGAAATCGTCCATATTGAATATGTCCAACCTTGGCTGTTTGTCTGTTCCATCGAAATCCTGGGCCCAAGGGACGGAAGGCTTATCTCCGGCATCAATATTCACCCAGACAAACCCGCGAGTGTCAATATGAACGTGGACCTTGAACAGTGAGTTGCCTTCCTTGTCAAAGTCTGGCATTGTCTCAAAACGGGGCGCCTTGGCAAGTTTCCCGGACAAACCATAAGACCAACCTGAGATCTAGTTAGTAGATTCTCTGATGTGAAGAAATTATCTAAAAATGAGAACGAAGGGAAGGCCCTCACCATGATATTTGCAAGACAAAATAGTGGCAGTGCCCTCTGACTTTGTCACCACGGGGAACGCTCTGTGACGGCATATATTATGGAAACCGTTCAGAACTCCTTGACGGTCAAGGCAGAGAAAGAATGGGAACCCCGCAACCTCATAACGGACAAAGTCTCCCGGCTGTGAAAATCGAGAGCGGTGGGTTGTAAGAATCCATCTCTGTGAGAAGATGGCCCGCCTCTCTAATTCATACAAGGGAGCAGAGCGATACCACGACGATGGGAGAGCGCGCGGTACGTTCTTGGCTGCCTCGGAAGGGTCGGACTTGTTCCCAAAGAAGCTCAGCATTTTCAAAATAGTTGTATGGAAAGAACAATGAATAGAATGGAGATCTGTATAGTTGGGGTGGAGGATTGGTGCCTTCGTATCACAACCAGCAATAGGGTTTGCTGGTCGAAGCCATATTTATCTGAACGAATTTGATATCATTCGGAATGATATCGTGCATGTGTTCCGAGCATTGATGAAAGTAAACACTCGCCCAGGCTTTCGAGCCCTTGGCTATCTCGCACTTCTTGGCCTGTTCGGGTATGGCCTCTTGACATTAGTGGTGATCATACCCCATGGGGAAAACTCTGCCGGTGCCGAGCGATCTGGGTTGCTTTACAATCCAGTTCACACTACTGGCTGCTCCCGGGCTGTCCGCCTGCATGATTTGGCGGTTAATATTTCCCCGCTTCGAAAAGCATGTGATGGCCTCGTCTCGATGGATGTGGGCTTTCGCTTGGCTGGATTGCAGGCCAGATACTTGGAGCTAACACGATACGCGACTCAGGATGATAAGCCCTGCTCGAGATTGGGACATGGGTGCTTTACCCACTTATTCCCTGCACTATTTTCCTTCTTCAGAGTGTAGTGAACCTTGTTCTAATTTGAGGTGCTATCTAATCTTTTCGAACTCGCACTTTCGAACCAGTTTTGGGTTAGCCGGATAACCCTCAGAGCAACACGCTTAGCCTCCATCTCGACTATCGTAGTTCGTAAACGTCGTCCGGCATGATATAACTAAGCATCTCATGCCTAGTTATTATGGTTTGATTAACTACGTGCTACAAAGAAGCACGCACTGCCTTCAATCAACCTGAAGTTTACATATCTTTGATCCTCAGCGTACTTCCAGGCAGAGCACCATGTCTTCTTCAGAAGTGAATAAGTCTGCCCCAGATATCCAGGACGTGTTGTCCCCAAACAGAGACGATGACTCAAACCTCAAGGTACATATACAAGCCGACTCCTGTAAAGAAAGAAAAACCCTTGGTCACTGACATAAGAAGCGTAACTTTTCGCGAAGTTCCATGTTGGCACTCTGTGTGAGTCTGATGGCCACTTGGGAAGCCCTTACTAGGTACGGCTGACTCTGGACAAAGAACCCTTTCTCTATTGATTGCTAATCTTTCGAAGCGTGATGGCAGCAGGGCTGGTAAGCGGAGGTCCCGTATCATTAGTGTATGGCATGATCGTAGCTGTCATTGGCTCGACTTGCTCAGCCATGTCTCTGTCAGAGCTTGCCTCAGTGTAAGTTGAGATCTGCCCATGAGTCATAACAAAATTCCAGAGCTTATCGCTAATTTTGTTCTGTGCGATCTTTGTAGACAACCCACTGCTGGAGGGCAGTATCATTTCGTCGCCCACTTGAGCCCAGAATCTATACGAAAGGGTGCCGGTTGGCTCGGTGGCTACATAAGGTAAATACACTCAAGCAAGGATCTCTGAAAGCGCGATGCATTGTTAACAATAACCCGGGGGGCGGGGAACTTGCAGTCTCCTTGGATGGATTGCCGTCACAGGCAGCGCGCCGTTTCTTTCTGGGACTCAAATTCAAGGCCTTTTAGTTCTCAACTATTCTGAACAGGGCTACGTGTTCGAAAGATGGCATGGGACACTGATCTACTGGGCCATCTTGATCTTCTCAACTGTTGTCTGCGTCTTTTGCAATGGCGTGCTCCCACTGATACAGAAGCTCACTATGACTCTACATGTCATCCTCTTTTTTACGTTCATCATCGTCATGTGCGTTCTAGCGCCGACCAAGAATTCGGCCGAGTTCGTCTTCACGTCTTTCCTGAACAACTCGGGGTGGGAGAGCGATGGCGTGGCTTGGTGCATCGGACTGTTGAGTTCCGCCTATGTGCTGGTGGGATATGATAGTGCCACTCACCTAGGCGAAGAGATGGAAAATCCCGCGATTGGTATCCCGTTTGCCATGGTTGGATCCGTGGTGGCCAACGGTGTTATGGGGTTCGGGTTCCTCATTGCCCTGCTCTTCTGCATGGGTGATATCGATTCAGCGCTCAGCACTAACACAGGGTTTCCCATTATCCAGATCTTCTACACCATCACTGGAAGCAAGGCGGCAGCGTCAGTTATGGTGGGGTTAGTTTCGTTCATGGCCATGTTATCGACGATTGCGTTGCAGACATCAGCCAGTCGAATGTTGTGGGCATTCGCTAGAGATCAAGGTAAGAAACGACAATGCCGCAGATCAATGGAAGAATGAAGCTAACGTGTATTATTTGCGATAGCCGTCCCATGGTCAAGGGTTATCTCACGTATCGACGAGAAGCGCAATGTACCAACGGTGGCGATCCTCATCATAACCGTACTATTGATGCTCTTGGGCCTGATCAATATTGGCTCCACGACTGCTTTCAACGCCATCTTGTCACTAGCGGTTGTTGGTCTCCAAACATCCTACCTGATGCCCATTTGCCTCGTGCTGTGGCGAAGAATTGCCGTACCAGATACCCTGACCTGGGGACCGTGGAGAATGGGCAAGGCTGGAGTGGTGGTCAATATTGTCGCGATTTTATATTTGGGCTTTACCTGCGTCTTCCTGCTTTTCCCACCATATCAGCCTGTAACAGCGGAGAACATGAACTATGCTCCAGTGGTCTTGGGGGGCATGGTTTTGTTAGGGGGGTTGTACTGGATCGTGTTTGCGCGGAAGCAATACTTTGGCCCGCTGGTTGAGACCCCTGAGACAGCCCTATACCCGCCTCCAAAGAGCACTTACAAGGCAAAAGACGGAGAGATTGTAGCTCCGGCGTAGCCTGAGAAGATAATTAGTTAGTTATGACTGAGAGAAGAGAGAGCTTTGGGCAAGGTGCTGTGGGTTTTGTTGACCAATATGATTCAGGCCACTGGCCGAGAGGTTGATTAGTACAAACCTTAGCTCCCAAACCAATCTGTTTTTGAATGGATGGACGCCTTGGTCTTTAGATATAGGTGGAGGCGAGATATGGACTACCCTTAGAAATCCTAGCCCCTGACTCGATAAGAAGGACTAAGAACTACCCCGCAAAGACAACGGGCTGGTCCAGCCTCCACTCTTATCTTGCATGACCCGTCCCTTTCGTCTCCATCAACATCTCATATCACTCCGAGATCCCGAACATCGAGCTTCTTCCATCCAGACGAGCGGGGTTATTCCCTTCTATCCCGAACTAGGCACCCAAAATCCCAAATCTTGTTGGCCTACCCAGCGCTGTTGCATCGCCGGATCTCCATCCAGAAACCGCATCAAGATAGCTTCGGAAACAATCCCCAGTTCCGAATCCGATCTGCTACATGTGCCATTGTCCTCCACCCGCATAAAGCTGCCCCCAAAAGTTAGAGTGATCGGTAATCGTCGAACCGACACTGCTGGAAGACGGTGACGTAAAATTACGCCCTAGCCGGGGGGGCGCGTGCTCTCATTAAGAAGCTTGTAATATCTTTTAGCCCTGTGTTAGGCTATCAGCGGCCGGCTACATTAACTGTGAAACGATGAGCACCTCGACACCAAATCCTCGCAGAAGACACAAGTCCAGAAGTAATGATTCCTCTCTTATTTTCTCACTTCCCTACTTACAGTGGCTGATGGAAGCGTTATCCAGGTGGCTGCTTGAATTGCAAGACCAGGGTATGTTCAACTATTCTCAGCCACACCAAACATGATGACTGACTCTATCATTGTTATTGTAGCGGGTGAAGTGCGATGAAACTGTCCCGAGCTGTCGCCGATGCCTAAAGACAGGGTTGACATGTCCTGGATATTTGCGTCCAGTGAAGTGGTCGACAAAGCACGAGAAGCTTTCGGCCCCCTCCGAGGACTATAACGCTGAAGATGACACTGGTTTCGGAGCCGATGTTGACGCTGACCGACAAGTCTTGTCCCCATCATCGCCACTATTTAACGAGAGAGCTGGGACCTTCTCACCTATGAGCATAACGAGCCAGATTACTTCATCATGTGCTACTACCACCACGGGAGAAGACTCACCAGCCTCAAACAGCTCAGGGGACCAAGGATCGTCTGCCATGGGGATTTCCGTGGCTTCGCCGCTGCAGACCGAAGCAATCATCCTATCAGCACCTAACAGCCCACCCCCAAAGCAGCCAGGTGACGACGATCATTCTGCAGAACAGAGTAATCTAGATGAGTACATCGGTATATCTGCATCTGACGGCCCCCCTTCACAAGATGCTCTGCTATCATTGTACATCCCAACGGAAGAATCATCTGTTCTCCTGTGCCACTATTATTCTCTGATCTGCCGTATCAACTCTTCTTTCGACTCAGAAAACAACCCTTTTCGGAACCAGATGTCCAAACTCATTAATGGGTCCCCACTTCTCTTTTACTGTGTTCTCAGCATGTCCGCTGCCCACCTCCACCAATATGATAACAATACGACTATTTCGTTTGAATATCAGGCTCGTGCACTCTCACAGCTCTCCACCGATCTAAGTACTACCTGCATACTCCCATCTCAACCCACTCCTCGGGAGCAGGAGAGCACGGAGCTTTCCGGTCCATCTCAGACTACCTTGGTCAAAGATGAACTACTTCTTGGAATTATTCTTCTGGGCATGACATCAGTAAGTAGCTGATAGAAAGATACACTTCCTACGTATATCTACTCACTATTACGCACTCAAGGCATGGAATGATGCCTCTTCTTCAGGGTACTCGCATCTCATTGGATCTAGAGTCCTCTTCAAGTCATGGATGTCCGCGAACGGATTAAATACTGCCAACAAGGCATCCGCAATGACTGATATACAAAGATTCATTGTTTCCTCTATGGTTTATTGGGAAGCACTGAGCTCTTTTGTGGTTGATCAGCGAACAGAAGATCTTGCCTACCTAGACTGCCTTGCCAACCAACGTTGGACGGGAACCATAACCCCTAGTCCTTGGACTGGTGTGGCCACCCCCATATTTATACATCTGGCCAAGGTTGGGTCACTGATGCGCAAGAAGAGAGCTCTAAGAAACATTTCTCTCTTCAGAAGCAGTGAGGCATACCGTGATGCACTCTACTTTCAGCTTGTAGAGGATGCTCGTGCTCTGGAGCAGGCCATTCTCGGCTGGCGGGTGCCCTTTCTCAGTTTGATTGAGGACACTGGGGACCCCCGTGCTCCCCCAAAACATTTCTGGGGGCTCGCACGCTGCTATCGTTTAGTTGCCTTCATCGAGCTGTACCGAGCCTTTCCAGAAATCGTGGAAAATCACTCTGGTCTTAGCATTCCCGATGGTAAATCGGTAGCTCCGGATGGAGATTATCAAAGCCCGTTGATATTGAGTCTTGCTTTTGGAGTTCTGGACATACTCAAGAACATTCTGAGTGACTCCAGCACCCTTCCAGTCCAAGGCCTGGCGCTAATAGTGGCAGGGAGCGTGCTGGGACGTGTCGGCTCGCCAGAGAAAGCGACCCTGGACCAGGAGGTGATGGAATGGAGAGAATTTGTGCGCGAACGGATGGTTTTGCTGCACAGCTTCGTGGGACTCCGTCCCGTAAAACATGCCGCGATTATGATTGAGGAGGCTTGGACACGAATGGACGCCTTGGTAGAGTCCAACTCTGGGTTCGAGTTTGATGGCAATATGTTGTCGGATAGCGTGCATTGGATGGATATTATGATCGAGAAGAGGCTTGAAACAATACTTGGTTGATAGCCTGGGACTTCAGGTCTAGCGGGCATTTCTTCAGGCGACTCACATTGAAGATGCCAAATGGCTTACCTACTCGCTCATGGTCCCAATGGAAAGGTTACTGGGTGTTGTCTGGACCGGCTCGGAGTCCCTAACAGGACTGCCCGAATACCGCAACGGCGGCCTCTTTATTGATACAGGCGTGTTGGCACTCAAGCCTCAGCTCCTGGAACAGGGTTTGGAAACAGCCAAGACATTGGCGGTGGTCGCGGATGATCAGCACGTTCCTGCTTTCAAGGCAGAAGGCGATGTTATCGTGGAGTGGAGGGCTCTTACCGTAGCTCTCCTCGATGTCTTGCACGGCCTGGTGAATTCCCTGAGCCCTACAGCATTTCTCGTCCGCTGACGATGGCACAAGTCCTCGAGAGTGGCTCCTGGAAGGCTGGTAGGGAGCTAGCCTCCAAGCACCGGCCGTCCACGAGTGGAAGCCCGATTATGCCGATAGGCGATGGTACCCTATTTTGAATATGAAAATAACCGTACTCGGCAGAGGTCAAAGAGACTGGGGAACAGGAAACTGGGTCATGGTGGACGCAAGTACACATGGAGGTTATTCTTTGGGGCATGGCTATCGAAAAAATCAAGGCATTAATCAACGTAGCAAACAATGCGGCTTTATCACACCTATCAAACATGCAAAAACATCATTCATCGTTAAACAGCCTTGATATTGGTTCATATGGTGTCAGGTGTTGCCAATGTCCCAGGATATTTGTTTTCTGTGATGTATAAACCACTATCACCGTCTGGGAGCACCTCCTCCCCGCTCCGTTTGTCTCCCCTTACACTTGCCATTACCTGATACTATGTGGTACCAAAATAGGAAAAGCCTTTAACAAACAAAGTGCATTGGCAACATCTCGGGCTGGGCTCTAATAACAGATAGTACTGATGGGTTTGACTTGGCTGGACCCCTAATCTTCGAGTATTCGAACAACTTGTATTTAGCATCAGGCTTATCTCCCGCGGCACCTGGGTGTAGAATCAATGAGATAATGCTCGCCGCACTCCCTGATTTGCACTCAATCTCACTAGTGGAACACGGCTAACCCGCCTTGTGAGGTTATCTCGAGCCACCACCGGACACCCGAAGGCCGAGATGTCACATGGGTGCGGGTAATATGTCCACACAGGTCACCACACAGCCTCGCTTTGGCCTGTCTCTCCCTCTACGCCTCTACTTGCAAAGATAAGAGTGAATAGGCAATTCGGTTCCGACTATCGGCACAGGGGAAGGGTAAATTAGGTAGCTGATGACTGGGGTGGGACGTATGTTCGGCTGATTGCCGACGGCCGACAGGCGAGCGAACATGAACATTATTGGTCTGATGATAAATTGTGTCGATGCCACATCTCCGGCTCTCTTGGTGGCGACTGATCACGGTACTCTGAAGAATAATTATAGCACAAGTCTCATTGACCCTTCTACATTGCTGCTGCAGTCACTGATAGCCACCTTATTTACGTACCGAGTCATGGCACAGAGCAAGCGACCCAACTTCCTGGTCATCGTTGCCGACGACCTTGGATTCTCTGATCTTGGCTGCTACGGCAGCGAGATCAGAACGCCCAACGTGGATAAGTTGGCGCAGTCTGGTGTCCGATTTACCGACTTCCACGCAGCCGCAGCATGTAGTCCCACGCGTGCCATGGTCAGAGCGCCTTTCCCTTGTTTCTCTTCTTCCACATGCACTTGAAGAGTACTGACATGAACCAGATCTTGACGGGCACCGATCATCATATTGCGGGACTGGGAAACCTGATCGAGCTCACCAACGGCTCCAGCAAGAATGCCTTCCAGGGCATCAAGCTCGACACGGCACCGCAGCGTGGCATGCCGGGGTACGAGGGCTATCTGAACGAACGGGTAGTCACCATGTCGGAGATTCTGCGCGACGAAGGCTATCACACCTTGCTTTCTGGCAAGTGGCACCTTGGCCTGACACCGCAGCGAGCCCCGTTCACAAGGGGGTTTGAACGCTCGTTCGCCCATTTGCCCGCGTGCTCCAGCCATTTCGCCTTTGAGCCTGCCATGCCCGAGGATGAGGAGGCGCCCCCGTTCATGGCTGCAGGCTACATTGCTTTACACATGGAGAACGACAAGTTCGTGAAGAAGCTGCCGGCCGACTGGTATTCCTCGGATGGATATGGCGATATCCTCAAGGGATATCTACAAGACTGGCATGAGAAGGAAGACGAAGACCGCCCCTTCTTTGCCTACCTCCCATTCACTGCACCGCACTGGCCGCTGCAAGCTCCTCAGGAGTATATCAAGAACCACAAGGGAGTCTACGACGACGGGCCGGACGCTTTACGGCTCCGCCGCCTGGAGCGGCTTAAGGAAATCGGCATGGTCCGTCTAGACGTGGAGCCAGCGCCTGTAGAAGCCGACGAGGTGTCGGAGTGGTCAGACCTTGGCCCTGAGGAGCAGGCACTGTCGAGCAAGTCTATGGAGGTGTACGCCGGCATGGTGGAGTGCATCCACGCGAATGTCGGCAAGGTGGTGGACTACCTTGCAGAAATCGGCGAGCTGGACAACACTTTTGTGTGCTTCATGTCAGACAACGGCGCCGAGGGTGCTGCCTACGAAGCGTACCCCGTCTTCCAAGGAGGTCCCATGGCGCACTTGCAGCGCTACTACGACAACTCGCTCGAGAATCTGGGCAACCCCAACTCGTTTATTTGGTACGGACCACGCTGGGCGCAGGCGGCGACGGCGCCAAGCAAACTGTACAAGGGCTTCACCTCTGAGGGTGGTGTGCGCGTGCCAATGGTCGCGAGGTTCCCGTCTCACCTGCAGCAGAGCAGCCTTGCCAGCGCCATCTCGGACAAGTTTTCCACCGTCATGGACCTGGCCCCCACGATCCTGGAGATGGCGGGGGCAAAGCATCCGGGGACGCAATATCAGGGCCGTGAGGTCGTGCCCATGCGCGGCAAGAGCATGTTGCCGTACATCACCGGCACCGCCGACTCGATACACGGACAGGACTTCATCCAAGGCTGGGAGATGTGTGGCCGTGCGGCCGTGCGCCATGGCGACTGGAAGATCCTCTACATCCCCAAGCCACGCGGCCCCGAACGATGGCAGTTATTCAACCTAGTCTCCGACCCGGGAGAGGTGCATGATGTAAGCGGACAGCATCCCGACATGTTGAACAAAATGATCAAGATGTGGGATCAGTACGTGCTGGAGACCGGTGTGATCCCGCTCAGCCCCAAGCTGGGCGAGTACATTGCCGCGACCGAAGCCCAAATGCCCGAGGGCGGCTGGATGGAATATTACTTCTGGAAGAAGGGTGCCAGGGAGAATCCCGAGAAATTTATGAATCAGCCGCCTCGCTTCCAGAGGGCCTTGAAGCAGTTCTAAATAGTGTATTAGAATTTCTGCAAATATAGGTAGACTCGTGCTCACCACCCTTTACACCTTGAACACTTTCCAAAGACAGAAACCTAGAAATGTAGTTATAGTGAAGAAGAAGAAGAAGAAGAAGATAAAGTGAAAAATTCATACCCTGGGTTGATGTCAACCCTTTGATGTCACTCTCAGTCTCTAATGGATGCTCACCGGCGACTCGGTACTGACTAATCATGTTACAGACTGACTGATTTTTACTTTCGTTTCGATGTATTAAACAATCATATGATAATCTATTCCAAAAGTACAAAAGCGATTCCTCTTCATGCATGTGTTTATTCACACGTGTCATTTGACTCTCCAATCGCTTTGGCAGATGTGGTTGATCAAGCTCCCAGAGAGTCTGTCAAGTAGACTGAATCCTCTATTCAGATGACATCCCGTGAACGACTTGAATTCCGGAAGCATTTAAACAAAAAGCAAACTTCCGGGATACTATTTTTCATGGGGAACGCAAATCAGCCGGCTATACCGCTGCCCTCGCTTGTCCAGCGATATCTTGTCAGCGCCTCCCAGCGAGTACTCGAAGAGTGCGCGTCGCCCGTGGCCCTGCCGCGTATCTTAAACATGGCCGATCTCAGAGCGAACACAAGCTCTCTCTAAGATTCACGTCAGTATTATAATACTAGCGCCAGGGGGGAAGAACTTGGTACTCACCTGATATTCTGTACGAAGCATAACAATGGATGCCTCATGGATCCTTATCATAGCCGTAGTGGCGTTGACGATGTCGTTTAAACTGTCGTCATTGGTAGTACTTCTGCGATCAGTGGCGACGAGAAGCAGAAAACCCCCGTGCAGAAGATAGATGCCCGAGTAAAATGGCATGAAGCTCATGCCCGGGTCGAGGTCCAGTAAACGCTCAGTGCAACGTGTCAAGTCAGCGATAGCTTCCATCGGGTTCGCTGTGGCAGAGTTCTCAGGGGCCGATGGGCGACCGCGTTGGGGATCGAGAACGTACAGCGGATCAAGGCCACCATCCACAAGTATGGACAGAATGCGGAGTAGGAGCCTCGCGTAGGCAACCGCAGTTTCCGCTTGCGTGGAACCGCCAATACGGAAGCCATCGCCAAAGGTAGTCAATGAGCTAGTAGCAAAGGAAGATTGCTCGGAAACCTTGGTTAGACTGTCGCCGTATGCGCTGATGTGTTTACAGATCTCGTCTTTCCATCTCGCCCAGTCAATGAAAGATGGGGAACTGCCGTTGCAACCGCTGGCCCCCAAGCGAGGATGGTTCTTGGTGTGGAAGAAGTCCATGATCTCCCCCAGAATGGTCATGAGAGGCGTGAAGAATCCAAAATAGTCTGTGCCCGTACAGACCAGCCACGGCCCCTTGCAAGGTGCCGCCAGCGATCCATTCTCATGATGGGCGTTGATGAAACTGGCGCCAGTGCTTCGCCATACGGATTCTGGCATGGGATGTAGTAGGTTGGGGCACTCCGAATCACGAATTGATAATGGTTTATTGTAGCATAGAGCAAGATGGCGGTCGACGGTAAACAGAAACCACCATAACCGGCGCCTTTCTTCCTGACGTTCAGCGCTGGAATCGTCCCGAGAAGCGCAAGTACCTCCGGAAGCGGTTTCACAACCCGTCAGTTCCAAGTGAGGCCACGCACCGGCGAAGGGCTGTGTGTCTTCGCTCATCCCGCCACGGGGATCTTCCTGGTTCATGTTTGCTTCCCGAGCCAAAGAAAATGCCAGGCTCCACCAGCGTAGGCTCGAGGCGCGGAACTCGCCTGCGGACGTAACCATTGCCAGGTTGGTATACGTCAGGATATCGTCTACCGGATTGTCGACGGGCTCGTCATTGTGCGATTCTTGATGTTGCAGATGCATAGATTCGTGATGCGGTTGCTGCCCTTCTCTCAAAGGACAACTAGGCCTTTGAGAAGATGCGAAACCACTCAGTGGCTTGAGAAGACTGATCGTAAGCTCCAAGAGTTGGCGACGGACCGCCTTGCGCTTGCTCGCTCTCGATTTGAGCAGCGGGATGTCGGCAGTCTGCGCAGACAACCACAGAATGCTAGTTAGAAGCGCAGCACTGCAGCGTCGAGGGTTCTTCAACGCAAGGACAGAGGCTTTGCGAAGAATTGACGGCGGTGCGTGGGGCGAGAGTGGTGTTTCTGTCGCCACAGAGACTTTGAAGTAGTACTCAAGCAGAGAGTAGGATACAGGATCCGGCATGATAATACGCAGCTTTTCAATGATCCCGTCAAGCACCGGGTATCGTGGAACCACTGAGCCGGAGCCCGAGTGTTGGTTTGTTATGGCTTGAGGCGGGCCCAGCGTCTCTGCACGAGCCAAAGATGCCTTTGATGGTGTATCTTGCGGCTGTGCTGTGTCAGATCCTGTTGAATCCGTCGATCCATGAGAGGCGTTCAAACGACTTGACCAGTCACACCGGACTGACGGTGCGGGGTTGAAGATGGTAAACGTGTTGGACGGACTCTGTGAAAAGTCTGGAAATGCAATGTCGCTCTCCCTTGTAGTGTTCAAGTCAATGTTTGGATCCATATGGGGCGGAATGTCGACACTGCCGGTCATAACAACATGGTGATCTTTCTGAACGTGCTCCTCAATTGCCCAGCCAACAAATCTTTCGGCTCCATCCCACCAGCTACAGCTCTCTAGGTCCGGGACTGTTGGCAGATCGGTTCCCGTAGCAGTCGAATCCGCTGCTCCCTTATCGGCGAGGTCAAAATTGAGGGCGAGATCAGCCTGCTGAACCGGCGAAGGGGTCTCTTCTCTCTGGCTTTGGTATTGATGGCTTTCAGATGAAGCCTGCTCAGGTAAAGTTGGGCTATAAGCTCCGGGGTGGTAACTGGCACAACAGCTGCTCTCGTCTGGGCAGCATATCTCTGCCAACTCTCGGGTTTCGATGCTCGGTTTTTTCCCTCGTTTTTTCACCTTGCGTTTGTAGGTGCACATGGCACGTATTTCTGTGGGTAAAACATGTCAGCAAGTGGTATACAACTTCATACGTCGACGTGACGCCAGGGGCAGCCACACGCGGTTGGAGACGACTTACGGATACAGTGAGAACAGGGCTTACAACCGTCACATTTTCGACGTAACGCGTTACATTTATCACAAGCACGCGCTATTCTTCTATTCTTCGTCTTTCTCTCGAAGCTCCTCGGGGTTATTGGGCTTTCTTGCATGAAATCGGTCTCAACCAATGATGCACCCATGGCAACGTAGTGGCTGTGTGGCCAGCCTGGCGGTTAGGAAGCGGTTCGTAGGATCGATATCGCGGTAGGCTTTATCAGTCGTTTGCAAGGATACTTCCGGCGGCTGATTATCTCACAGGCGAGATTGCGGTTGGGGAGATATCAGGGACACCTTGTTATGTGAGATTGATGCTTTGAAGTCTAGGCGTTGGAACTATGAAGTATAGCTACCTAATTAGCATCGAATGACTGTCACCAGACGCGATGTGGGGTGCCGAGCATGGAATTGGCGAGACCACACCGCATTGCGCTAAACTCGAGTTCTTGGGGCTACATAGTAAGATGATATTGGAATAATGGGTTGTTCCACTTTGTTTTAAAGCAACTTAATTATGAAAGTCCCTAACTAGGTCTCCTGTCTTTGCATAGCGCCAGCAGTATGCATCTCATCTACGCGAGTTGCTCGAGAGGGGTTGCCAGGGATCGAGATGCACTCGTAAACTTGTGGTAATCTGTCGAGGATGGCCTGAATTTTCAAGCTCACGAGGTCTGGAAATCATGGTAAGAAAAGCCCCAGATACCGTCAGAGAATACAAGACTCTTACCAAGGGCGGCCGCGTTATGTTCACCCCAAGGTATAATTATATCTTTGTTTGACTCAGCCAGATTCATGCCGAATGTGTTGGGTAGGGTAAGGTAACTGAAACTGACCTGCTTGGCCTCGCTGGTTGTGCACGAACAAATCATAGTTTGGCTTCACGAAGCGCAACCACTGTGTTAAAACACCCTCCGCATCTCTGCCTCGGTGAATCACGTCTCGCCTGACTATTTTCAAGTATAAGCCGGACCGTCCGTGACGAAAGGGAGCATCCACTTACTTCTGCGTGCGAGACAGACCTCAGCGTCGGCATCGGCGAATATCTTTCCCCATTACTCCTCCAGTCAATACCCAAGAACGTATCGAGAGAGATGAAAGCAATGTAGGGTATTTTCACCGACCTTCAAATTGAGGATTGCTAGAACTCGTGGCTCATGGAGAATGAAAAGCCCTTCAAGGACGAGGACTTGCGGCGGATCCATGTGAATAGTAGTATTGAGCCTCTGGTGCTCTTCGAACGAGTAAACGGGGATCTCGGCTGTTTGACTGCCACGTTTGTCAGTCTGGGGTTGTTTTATAGGGAGACCAATTTGGTGATCTAGAGTCGAACCCATTCTTGAATTTTTGGAGGACCTGGACAAGAAGGTCAAAGTCGAAAGCATCCGGACAATCAAAGTCGTACTTGTTCTCAAAGGCCAGCTGTTGGGCTTCAGGCGATAAGTGCTTATAAAAAGAATCCTGAGCTCAACCAGTGTTACATGTAAAGCAGCGAACAAGCTCGAAGAGACTAATCTATCAACCCCCAAAGGCATAAGATCGATCAGTAGGTATCATACCAGAAACATGACATTGACTGAGGGTGCTACTGTCAAGTCTACTAGGCGCTTGGCGATTGTTGATTTCCCCGACGCTGATCTCCCGGCAATGCCGATAAAGAAGGTAGTTTTCATCATGGCCAGTGGTTGTTGCGTAAGGTAGGTACATAGTTGTCAGTATTTCCCATTGACCGACAGATAAGCCGGCCTCTCTCTGTGTCTCGCCTTTTATTTCCAGCACTCGATCTGAGCATGATATCCCAAACAATCCCGGCTATTATCACGCCCAAGTCTCGCCACTCGTATGACTCGAGATCATGGTATCAGTCCAAGGGGGTGTGAGTTTGCTCGGCTATCTACCCCACAAACGGTCGCTTAGATAGGACCGTCGGCACCCCACAGGCCATTCTCCGTTGCCTCCACGTCTCCAACCTCTCCACGTCCAGGCCCGGATTCACCTACTGGCTACACGAGTCCATGCGCCCTACGAAGTCCAGAAAAGAATTGGATATGTTATTTGCAGCCATGTGACTATAAAGATCTCGTTTCCTGCCAGTCAGCGTTCTGATGAATCGCGACTTCAAGAGTCAGTTTCGATCCCGATCAACGGACACCCCTTCTGATCTTTATTATTCACCGACACGCGTAAATACTCAGAATGAAGTCGTTCTCTCGCGGTGACATGCGGGGGTTCTACCTCTCCATGCTCGTCATGGTTACTGGCTTCATGTCTGGCTACGATACGGGCGTGGCCGGCGGAGTGCTGACCTTCTCATCCTTCCAGAGGGACTTCGGCTTCCAAACCACACAACAGACGCAGGTCAACAGCTTCACAGTTGGCTTCCAGCAAATCGGCAGCCTCCTTGCCTGCATCGCCATCTACCCTTTTACTGCGCGGTTTGGACGCAAGCGTGCCATCCGACTCTCCGCCGTTGTATTCCTCGTTGGCATTGTGGCCGAGACGATCGACACACATGACCTGGGTTCCTGGTACGGAGGCCGGGCAGTTGCTGGCGTTGGCCAGGGCGCACTGTGCGTTATTTCACCGATGTACACGGCTGAGATGGCCTCGGTCAAGAATCGCGGTCGGATGGGAAGTCTCTACCAGTGGATGTTCACCGTCGGGAACCTGCTGAGCTACTGGACGGACTATGTAAGTGACCATTTTCACTTGTCAAGTACAAAAAGCGCCGCAGATGTGCCGGTGATGCTTGGAATTGTTTTTGGCGTTAACCTTGGTGGTATACAGGGCGTGGCACTCCATCTCGCCGGCAAGACGATGGCCTGGCAGATTCCCGTGGGTCTGCAGGCCTTCGCCGGCGCGGTTCTTCTCATAAGCTCCTTCTGTATTCCCGAATCGGCGCGCTGGCTGATCGGTCGCGACCGCCTCGACGAAGCCTGGAGCAGTCTGACGTGGATTCGCGGGTCCACGGAGGGAGACGTCGAGGTCGAGTTCAACAATATGAAGCAAGGGATCGCCGAGCAGATTGCCCTGGCACGTACCGAGTCAGCATGGAAGTCTATGCTCCGGCCAGCAAACCGAAAGGCTCTCATGCTCGGCTCCTTGGTCTTTATTTTCCAGCAGGGCACAGGCTCCACGGGGTTGGCTTATTTCGCACCCCAGTTCTTCCGCGCCTTGGTGGGAAGTGGCACCAAGAATCTGTTCATCACTGGGTTTTTTGGCGTTGCCAAAGTCCTGGCCTGCACCGCCTTCATCCTATTCGTCGCTGACAGAGTCGGGCGGCGCCCCGTCATGACGGTTGGTGCTGGGGTGATGGCCTCATGCATGCTCATAACTGGGATTATCTTGAAGTACCACCCGGCCCCAGCGGAGGTGACAGACAACATTCCCGCTTCTGGTTATGTCACCATTGCTTTGATCTTTATCAACATCATTGCCTACAACCTCTCGTGGGGCCCTATTGCTTGGGTTTACGTGGGCGAGCTGTTCTCCCACACGAACCGTGAATTCGGCATCGCACTGAGTGTTGCTATTCAATGGTATGTCGTTCTGCCCCATCAAGTGCACCATCGCCCGAAGTGAGCTAACATTCCGCTGTGAATTCTAGGGCCTTTTCATTCACATTCAGCATTTCCACACCCTACATGCTTGCTTCGATGGGCTGGGGACTGTTTGTTTTCTATGCTGTTTTCGACACTTTGACTGCCACATCTTGCTGGTTCATTTTCAAAGAGACATCTAAGCTAGAGCTGGAGGGAATCGTTGACGCACAGCAAGGTGAAGCGGAGTTGAAAGCTGTGAAGACGTCCCTGTCTGTTGAGAAGAAAGACAAAGAATGAATAGGCCTACTAGAGATGCGCCAGATATTACATTTTCGGTAAGCTAGCTGTGAATGATCAGCAAAACTCAACCTAAGTTATTGGAGCATGACCAGTCCTGGGGTAATGGGAATTCTGGAGGAAGGGCGATGTTTGAGGACCCTTCTCGGGTATCGCTAGTGATTGGGGTAGATACAAATAAGAAAAGATACACTTGCTCTTTGTAATGCCGGGACGCTATGTACATGTACACTCCAGCGAACGCGAAGGCTTGACGCTAAGCGGTTGTTCTACACATTCCGGATTCTGTATACATCCATCGAAGCTCACAAAGGACGTATTACTAGATATGTTAGTCCATTGAATGCAACTTTCAGTCATAAAATTGAAGAAGAAAGAAGAAGAAGAAGAAAAAGGAGAGCATGTTAGCCTTAGAGTTGAATCCCTAAATAATGTGCAGCTTTCCACTGAACAACTGATCCTGTATCATGCGGTAGTCGACAATACCACCACCAACCCGAACCTGCTCATTCAAAGCGCGGAGGATGCAAAGAGCGCTCGGGGCGAGGGCATGGTCGAGGGTACCGGTGACTGCAATCATGCGACCAAACTCAGCCTCAACTTTTGCAAAGTCGTCGCGCGTGCCCTCCACAGCGACCATGAATAATGGCCAAAGCCAGCTTGGTGATAAGGGTTCCCCATTGGGACTTTGTTCAGGGGCAGTGTCAGTCAATGCCGGCGCCTCGTCTTCCCGTCGGTTGCCGGACGATTGTGTCGTTGTCACCACGCATTCGAGTCTCGCCAGCTGGAGAACTTCACGAATAGCACTTTCCACCTTGGTCTCCTTCGCAAACACGCGAAAGGCCACCCTGTGGAGGTAGATAACGTGCGCAAAGAAGTCAGCGCGGTAGAGACGGATCTGAGAAGCAAGTCGATGGGCCAGCTGAGGTTGAAGGCCATCGCGCAGTAGATTCGGATCCGTGCCCATATCTAGCAGAGCAGGTCGACTTGCCCAATGTGCGACCAGGTCGCGATCGATACGTTTCCCTAGCTGAAGGACTTCAATCTCCTCATCAAGTGAACCTCTGGCCCGATTCCATCTGTTCAGAAGTGTGATTCTATCCTTGATGCGTTGAGTCTTCAAATAAAATGTGAATGGTGCATGGTTGGTTATGGCATACAACATATCGAAAGCAGCAGCCGGTGAGGTTATTGGCAGGCCTTCTGACGGCACCCAATCTTCGGGACGTCCTGCTGAATACTCCGCGTCGTCATCAGCACTGCCACTAGGGCTATGGGCAATCTCTGACGATTCAGGCCCCTGATCTTCATCGGAACTGGAGGTTTCTCGGCCAGCGAAGAGGATTTTGTGATCCAGCAGCCTCAGCCAAACGTAGAGGCGCCGGCCGATTCCGCGCCAACTACGAATTTGAGAACGATGTTGGTGGAGCAATCTGTTCACGGTCCGAACGTGTAACTGCGCTGGCTCTGTGTTCGATATCGACGGCATTAAGATCTTTGCGTGTTGCCCAGCCATCCGTTCAGTTAGTCAACTTGGCACATCAACAAAGTAATAGCGTATATTACAGAAATGCATACCTCGGCGTACGTAAGTAGGAGCACTGTCGCCATCAATTGTTGTAGCCGGTTGCTGTCCATCATCTGTGCACATAAGGCTTGCTGAACCCCAGCAGCAGAGGTTTCGTGAAACTTTCGAGCTAGGATCGGATCAGATCCAACTATACATGATGAGTGTGTATCTACAAAAGCGTAAATAGCATTTTCCAGAGGCCGAAAGGTGTTACCCATAGACCAGATCGTGTGGCGATCAGCCGACCATGTCTCACTAATCGAGGGGATGAAGCGCGGGAGCGAAGAAATTGACAAAAAATGCGCCACGAGAGGTTCCACGTCGGCAGAGATTGGTTCTGCAAGAAACTCGTCCCTTCCTGGACTAAGCGTTTGAGCGTTATGATCGAGCCGTTCTGGTTGATCCTGTTGGCTAGCCCCTTCCAAGACTTGGATTTCATCCCAGACTGCCTGTGGAAACGTAGGAGAGAGGAGCGGCAAGTGGCTTTCGATGTGATCCAGCCCTATGCTGTAGTTCAAGGAACTGGAGTCGAAGCCGACCTCCCCATGGCTGTTACCTCCCGATGCCGGCAGCGGACCATCAGGCACTGTCTCGCGATCAGGGACAACACAGGCGTCGAGCATGAGGCTCTCGCCCCCCTGTAAATTAATAGTAGGGCAAGCGACGGGCCCCTGCCTATTAGCTGAATCTGGCATGTTTTCGGTTGGAAAGTGGCAAGTGATGCAAAGGCGAGAGCAGTTACGGCAGGCTGGCCGTGTCTCATCACAGCGAACCTTTCGCCTCCGGCAGGTCAGGCAGCCAGTCTTGGATCGCGGACCGGAACGGCCCAGACGATTGGTAACTCCTACCCGGGATTGCGAGGCAGGCTGCATTCGTGCAGGTTTCTGTCATTCGCGTCTACGGGTCTCGGTTCATGCGTTACGTGCCTTGTATGCCAATGGCCGCAAAACTGTTACTCGGGAAAATCGGTCGAAAGACCGTCAGTGTGTCGATATACCAGGCTCTCAAGTGTGAATGCGAGTATGTCGGAGGACTCATTCAGTGGAATGGTTATACATGAGAAAAATGTTGATGAGGTGTGTTGATGAGGTAGGTGCTGAGGATATAGAGGCTCCATAACGTTGATGTAGCGTGTCTGCTGGGCCGGCGAAACGTAAAGCCGAACTCGGGGGATTTTCCTCTGGATGCATTACTACCTTCATGGTTAGTATAATCGCCCTACCTTCTCAGTCGCTTGCTTTTTACACTAAAATCCTGCTTTTTCTTCTCTTATAACTAGCTAATTTTTTTTTAAAAAAAATTTAATACTAACTTAGTAACAAGCTATATAATTACAGCGTGATAAAGTTAAAATCAGCCTCTGTTGGAATTTAAATCAGGGTGCAGTCGCTGTTACTACTACCAGGCTCGAAGGTTGTCTTTCTACCCGAAGAGCTCTGAACTGGGCGCTAAAAATCATAATCAGGTGCAAGGAGAAGTTTGATGGTTGATAGCTAGGCATTCCAATGGATATAGAGAATGAAAAATGCCCAAGAATCGAGCTTGGGCGATATGGATCTACGGTAAGTACTTACCTCTTTACCACCACCTGTCTTCTATTGACGTTTTTTGCTTTTCAATTTACAGTCACCTTGCGCCTGTAGCCAGGAAAACCTTGGCCTATTCCATATTGCTTTAGCGGAAGAATAGACGACATTAGCCGCAATGTTTGCGCCATTTGGCCAATGGGGAGGATAGCTTCCTTTCAACTAGCCAGTTCACAGAGTAGATGGAGACTAATCACGTCATGCCTCGATATCGATACGAGGCCAACCCTAGGCCTATTCCGAGGTCATTCCGACGCTCCATTGCTACAACTTTGACAACATTTCATGTTTTGGTGGTTTTAGGTCTTGATTGGACTCGAAAGAGGATGAGATACTCCTGAAATCATAAGCACCCGGATAGAGGTCTAAGGGGTGCGCCGAGGTTGGAGCCAGCCGGAATAAATTATCGTCAGGCCTGGATTAAATATCGACGCGAGAAAGACAACGTTCCGATGGTGTGTGACAGATGGCCCGTTGGCCAAGATAAGTAAAAACAACGCAAAACCCCACATATCGATTAATAAATAGCCTTGACATACCACCCGCTTCTCTCCCTTTCTCTCGAATGTTGCCAATCAAACAAGGGTGGCTTATTGAATCAATACATTTCACTCAAAGAGACACAAGTAAACTTAACTAGAAGTTTAATTTTATTGCAGTAACTTCACAATGGCGGGCGCTTCACTTGATATCCCTAAGGTTAAACTCAATGATGGCAAGGAGATCCCTATTGTAAGTCTTCTGCAGAAAATAATTTGCCCGCGTTGATTCTCAAGCATCAAGAGAATACTCAGTGGCCGAGAAATAAGCTGATTCTTTTCTATCTAGGTTGGATATGGCTTGGGCACCGCAAACTACAAGAATGATCCTAGCTCGGGGATTGACGAGAGTCTAATCGAGCTTACCAAGCAAGCTATCCTCAGTGGATATCGACATCTCGATGGAGCGGAAGGTGCGTGGAACTAATCATCTTGGAGAGAATTCATTTGACGGGCCATTAGTCTACGGAAACGAGCTGGAGCTTGGTGCCGGAATCAAGGCTGCCGGAGTTCCTCGGGAGGAACTGTTTGTTACCACCAAGATCCATGCAAGTGACAAAAAGAATGCCCTAGAGGCCTTTAATATTTCATTGAAGAAACTTGGTCTCGAATATGTAGACCTCTATCTGCTGCACGGACCTTGGTTTGCCGACACCGAGGAGGAGTTACAGGACAGATGGTCACAGCTGGAAACGATCAAGGAATCTGGCCGCGCCAAGTCTATCGGTGTTTCCAACTTCCTGCAGGAGCATATTGAGGCTATCCTCAAGACTGCCAAGATCCCCCCAGCTGTCAACCAGATCGAATACCACCCGTACCTACAACACGGAGACCTTGTTCCCTTCTTGAAGAAGAACAACATTACGGTTGAGTCCTACAGCCCTCTTACCCCAATCACCACCGCCAAGGGCGGGCCGGTAGAGCCATACTGGAAAGAGCTGGCTAAAAAATATGGCGTGACAGAGTCAGATATCGGCCTCCGTTGGATTTTGGATCAGGGCGTCGTCGTTGTTACCACCAGCTCAAAGACATCTAGGCTTGAAGGGTATCTATCGAACCTTCCAAAGTTTAAGCTGACAGACGAAGAAATTGCGAAGACGTCTGAACTGGGAGCTCAAAAACACGTCCGAATTTGGTGGAATGAGAAATTTGATGCCAATGACCGTCGGTAAACTTTGTATTCTCAATTACTACAACAACTTGTTAGGCTTCAGTAGATAGTTGCTTGTACAGAATGGCAGTCACTAAGATTTGGAAAGTTGGCATATATACCACTGGGTTTTCGTATGGCCAAGTTGCAGGTTTCCCGAGGTTACCAATATCTTGCTCGCGCCAGGCTCAACAGGTTCAATTGTCTTTGAGACTTCATGATTCTCCCTTCTATCTTTACTCTAATCAAGCTCAGCCATGAAGCTATGACTCCAACAAAAGGTCACGGATATTTAAGAACTCAGCAGAATTCAATACAGCCAGGTGATTCCCTATCCCTCTATTGTTGATGAGGATGTTATAGACCCACCATTCATTACTTATGAAGATCGTGTTTCATTAGCATAGGAGAAAGGAGATGTAAGTGACATCAGTTTCGCCGGATATGTCTAACAAGTTATCATCTCTGTTCAAATGCTACCTAACATAATCATTTCTGCATGTTCCCAGCGTGAACAGAGTTGTGAGCAACAGCAGCTATCGAGGAGCGTGAGATATCAACCACACCTATGATAGGGTAGCTAGTTTTTAATGATTTACTCGACACCGGGTGCCCTGCCCTGTCGCCTGGTTGGCACTAGACATCCTGGCTGACCGAGCTCCCTAGGTTCAGGGTTGGAAAAGTGAGCCCATTATTAATCACATTTCCGGATCTCTAGGGTCGGGACATGATTACATAGTACCTAGTATGATGTACAGGTTCTAGAGCACGCCATTTCGAGCTCTGACTTAAAGCTCTAGCATTTTTTAGATCGTATATTGGCCAATGCCCATCGTCCAATGAAGCAGGGAAGTATACCACGGGTACCTTGCTTTCCTTGTCATGATCTACTGCACTAATCGCAACAATCTTTTCACAGTAGGTAGTATGTCCGATGTGTTGAAATTATTCATGGATACCCGGTCTTGCCGGCTTGAACAATCCATGCCAACTAATCTGTTTAGAGAATGGGGCCCTCACCTAAACCACAGCTTGCCCTAAGTAAGATTTCTCTCTCAGTTTGGTGGGGGATGCATATCCTCATGTTCTTGGACCGACACAGCGGTGGCTACCAGTTTCTTCGTAGATCATTAATACGCCACATTCAATATGTAGAGGATTAGCTGCCATGATGCCGTTTGCGTTGGCGGCCTTGACGCGCTTAGCTGGGGTTATACTAGCAAAAGCTTTACATTCGACGAGAACGAGGTTTGCTTTTCTTTTCTTCTGGCTTGATGCTAGACATCGAATGGATGTTCACCTCATAACACCCCAATTCTTTCTTCTCGCCAATAGTGCAATAATCAAACGATTGGAGATAGAAGATGTGTCAAGCAGCCACTCAACCTCGGTTGGCTGACGACCAGTAAATCGAACTTGGAACGGTGTAAGAACTCTTGCTCAGGCTCAAAAGCCCTTGTCTCACACGATGGGAATTATATGATCTAGGAGCCGTGGTATTCGCCAGCCAATTATTTGGCAACGATAAAAAAATGACGAGTTGAACCTGCAGGATGCCACGTGGAAATTATGTGCCGTTCGCCCCGCACCGAACATGCTTGATTAGATATTGCGGCGGACAGGACGGCAGAGCGCGCTTACTATGTATGGGTTTCAAGTTTAGAATGAGCGTGTCTGCTCGTCAGGTTCATTAAGGATTTTGGCTGTACTTGTAGAATGGTCCTTCATAGAGGAGGCTGTTTCATGAGATCTCATGTGGGGACAGTCTGTTTCAACCTTTTTCTGTGCTTTTCCCTAAGCCTTCTCTCTCTTTGGTTTAAAAGCCGCCAATCGTCAGTTTGTCTCGCTGCGTGCCAAAGAAAAACATCACCTGGCCCATAGTACCGCGTACGTACGGATATGCCGGCTAGGGAAAACCATACGTCAAATGATGATGCATGGCTTGAAGGAGGCTCAGCTTTTGGAAATAAATGGAGGTAATTACCGGCCTCAATGTAACGGTAGCGTCCGGGCGATTCACCACGTTTATGCAAGTAAGCAGGGGTCCTTGGTTGGCCTACCTCACGCGATGCGGTTCCTCAACCCCTGGTCCAAGTAATCTCATCTCACTATTCTGCAGGGCTCATCGACCCAGAATCGAGACATCATAGCTGGCAAGTTATGATGGCGGCACTCTCATTACAAATCTTCGGCTTTGTTGGTCTCTGCGGGTGGACCGTTCCTTGACCAGGCATGGATCGGGCCCTGCTCCTCCTGGAGTTTCCCGTTACTGGCCTATTCATTAGTGCTCGGTGATTATATATCCCTGTGTACGGTGAATCTTCACCTAGCTGCTATTGATGCCGTACTCGTATATAACACGTGTGAAAATGACTGATAATTCAGTTGAGAGATCCGAGCTCAGACATGGGTGGTAGCAAGCTGTGATGCCTCAAAACCGCCATCACGGCTATGCTATACGCAACATTGGCACATGATGTCGCCTCTTACATCAAGTTCACCAAAAGATCCATTCGCCAATATATTGAAGCTATCATCGGACCAAAACATCTCACCGTCAGCACCAAAGTGCCCCGCTGTGCCCAGGTTCTTGATTCTTGAGGTCATCCGCTCCTAGTAAAACGGTGGAACAATTTCCATGTGAACCACCAAGGTACTCCACCTGATCATCATACATACTTTACATGGTCCATACTCAAGGGTGTATAGGGCAAGGTACGGTGGCTTGACCTGCTACTTCTGGGTTTCTGGAGGTGGGGATGCTCCCAATCAGTAATACGCCGCGACTTTCTGAGCCTCATAGTCGTATAAATAACGGGTTGAATTCCATCCGAACAATTTGTAGTTTGGCTCACCCTCACAACCAACCTCATCATTCTCTAACAACTCATCGTAGCTAAGATGTTCGCTCATTCTGCCGCTCTCGCTTTTCTTTCGCTGTCTGCTGGGGCCTCTGCTCTGCGTGCTCGCGCAGCAGCCACGCCAAAAGTCAACCCAGACCTGGCTGACGCCGTGTCTTCTTGGGCATTCCCTGCCATCTGGACCGAGGAGGTGCTCCCCACAATCAATTCACAAATAAACCAGATTTATACTGCCGACTATGTCCTATCAGGCCTGGCAGTCTCACATGAGGAATACAACTTCACAAGCTACGATAACTACACTAGCACACTCTCTGTATTTACTCCCGAGTCTCTCAGTGGACAGACCGATCGTCGGTTTGTCTATTACATTCACGGTGGCGGTCTGGTAGCCGGCAACCGCTTCTTCGGAATTGACTTCATTATGCCCACCGTCGAGGCTCTCAACGCCGTCTTGATCTCCGTTGAATACCGCCTTGCACCCGACCACCCTGCCCCAGCCGCCATCCAAGACGTCTACGCCGGACTTACTTGGACAGCTGATCACGCCGAAACCCTGGGTCTCAATGCATCCAATGCCATTGCCTGGGGTACCAGCGCCGGAGGTGGTCTCACTGCCGCACTTGGTATGATGGTTCGCGACCTCAAGCCCGCGGGTGTGAGCCTCAATGGCCTTCTCATGCACTACCCAATGCTCGACAACGCCATCCCCGCGGAAGAGAAGAGCCTCTTCAGTGGCGAGTCATCCCCTGTCTGGAGCTCCGAGTCAGACACGATAGCCTGGAACGCCTACCTCGGCTCGAACCCAAGCAGTGTCACTACAAACAACCCATACCTCGTCCCAGCTAGAGCCACTGACTTGAGCAATCTTCCTTCAGTCTTCATTGATGTTGGAAGCGCGGAGCTGTTCCGAAAGCCCGCTCTGACGTTTGCTGAAGGCATCTGGGAGGCCGGCGGTCTCGTTGAGGTCCATGTCACCTCTGGCGGATACCACGGCTCGGATCTCCTGGCACCCACTGCTCCCGTTTCTGAGCGCGTTATCGAGGCTCGCAAGACCTGGGCAATGGATATTCTTGGTGTTGTTTAAGAGACATTGATGAGTTGAATGATGATTTGAAAGAGCCGATACTAAGTATATGATGATGAACAGTGACAACATAACTTAGAAGAGGGAGAATAGGTTTCTTCCAGGCCTATGACTTTGCTAGTATATATTTTATAATAAGTAGTAATTTTCAATTCATATATCTTACATCGTATGAGGACCGAGCATCACGAATCTTGGGACTTATTAGATTTTATCCGACGAGAAGGCATCTCGATATTTCAATTTACTACATGTATTGATGAAACGTGCTCCAGCAGCTCATAGTATTGCCTTCTTCAGCCCTGTTGCTCATGCGCCTCGATAATAGCACTATTATATCAAAAGCGAGAAGAATAGAGAGGCCAGTAGATGAAATTAAATTTAAGACCATCCAAGGTCAGAGTGCAGCCGCGTACTATTTTCAAAGTCGATTACACCAGATTCTTAAGTTTTTGACGCGAGCACAGAGGGGGGTTTACCTTTCTTCAGCCTCTGGATATGGTCTATTAAGCCTGTGGAATACGCTGTTGAAGCTATGGACATAGCCATAGACCAGATAAACTATCGACATAAAGGTGGTTTTCCTCTGGCTGGTTAAAGTTAATGCATTGCAGAGTAGGGATAGGCTCTCCATTAGATATCAACTATTTTCCCCAGTATATAAACCTGTGAAGATAAATTTAGTGCGCTCTTTCCGCGATGTCGATATCTTTTCCAGCAAATATATATGACTACATAATTTCGGTAACAAGAGCCAATAGAACAACAGTATATTCTACGCAAAGGTTCGCTCTAATTCTCTCTTTATATCGTTCTGATAAAAAAAAAACCGAGATTAGAGCTCCCGTGGACCCTTGGAAAAAATGAATTCCGAATCTGGGTGTGTCCCCCTCATCTACGCAATTGAGCGAGTGAAGAATGGCCGCGTGTCAAAAGATTATTGCCCAGTTCAGTGTCACGGTCGTCAGCATTGCCCGATTCAAAACAGTTAGGTACATACTCTACGGAGTACAAGGCAGCCAGTTCAATTAACCATTACTAAGCTCTATTTGAGGTGTGCTGTCTATTTTTAATTTGCCCTGCTGAGTGCGTGAAGCCCAACTTCACCTCAGCTCCTCATCGGATTGATTTACTAAAAGAAAATAGGCGCTTGAAGCTTTTATGATCTACGGTTGATTCGGGAAGGCATTAAGCTGTTCTTTACAAGCAATACAGCTCTCAAATGGATGAAACTCAACTCCCAGGAGCTTCAGGCTCCAGCCCTGATCTGGCAGATTGCCAGGCGTCACATGACTATCAATGGCCACGACTCCGATTACTTCTACAACAGGGCCTTGAAGTCGAGGATCAAGATACGGAGGTGCTACACGTCGACGTCATTGAAGAAGCTATCAGAGAAGCGAGACGAAACATCGGTTCTCATCCACTTCATAATGGTTTTTCGAGTGATCTAGCATTCTGTCTTGCTCATCGGTACGAGAATTTCGGCTTATTGGATGATCTTGAAGAGACAGAAAGATTATTTAGACAAGTTCTTGACAGCGAGCCCGACAAAACACAGAAGGAGCCATGCCGCTTGAGACTTGCCCGAGTTTACTGTACCGCAGCCGAAAAGACAAACACCCTCGCCTATGCCGAAGAAGCAATCCAACTACTAAATTCGGCCATCAAAGAGAATTCCTTAATCCCCGGATTCCAAAGCTGTTATTTTGAATCGCTTTCTACAGCTCATCACTTCATCTTCGTTCACACAACGGACCTGGGCCATCTTGAGGAGACAATCCATTGGATGAAGCAGGCGGTTGAAACAGCCAATGAAGCAGTCCCACTCATGAACAGGATCCTTTTGCTGCATCTTGCTGATTACTATCATTATACTGGAGGCCTCCTATCTGTACTTGAAGATCTAATCTTCTCGACGAGATATGCGGTTAGTCTAGCGCCAGAAAATAGCCAAGAGCGATTTTGCCGTCTTTTCGAGCTTGCGGATTATCTACATGATTTGTACGAGAAGACAGGGGTAGCGGATACCTTGACAGAAGTAGCACAAGTCCATGGGGAAGCTGCTGAGCTGGCAAATCAACTGCTTGCCTCCACACCTCGTTCGGATATAGATCATACCGATATGCTTCTAGAACTTGGGCGTGCTATGTATCGATGGTATACCAAAACCAATTCTGCCCCGAGGCTTGCTGAAGCTATTCGCTTGGTTAGACAGACAATTGACTCAGCGCCTCTCAGCTCTCCCCGTATGGTCGAGCAGCTGAACCTATATGCCAAATACCTTACCAACTGGTCTGATGAAATAGGGTCACTGAGCAAACTGAGGGAAGGTATTGAGGTGGTGCGAAGGTTGTTTGATCTTCTGCCCGGCCGATGTTTAGAGGATGATGATTATGATGTAGTGAGCAATCTCATGCTTCATTTCGACAAGTTCTTTCTTCTCACGGGAGAGATGAAATACCTAGACCAGGCAATCGCTTTTGGGAGACGAGTAGTCAATGACGTACCAAAGGATAATCCGGATACAGGTGACGTTTTATACAATCTTGCACAATTACTGGTTTCGAGATTTGAACAGACAGGACTCTTACAGGACCTCAAAGAGCTTATAAAGCTGGCGAAGTACTTGGTCAGCATAACACCCGATGGTCATCCTGATCAAGCGTCGCGACAACGGTTCTATGCTTCCAAACTTGTTGATCTATGCAAGAGAGAGTTCACGAAGTCTGGTGTTGATGAGGCGATCAAGGAGGCCAGGCTTGCGGCAGATCTATATATGAACCAGGGCAAGGACGCAACCCATGCCCTGATTACTCTTGTCCGCGGATTGGCTATGTCTTTCCGCTTCTCTGGAAATAGGGAAGCCCTCGAGGAAGGCATCAAAACACTGAAACACGGAGTGACTCAGGCGACCAACAAAGAAAATCAGGCCTATGCTTACAGCCAGCTCTCCGGTTTGCTCTACGAAAAATACCGAGACTCCCAAGCGCTGGAAGAGCTCAACGATGCCATAACTACGATGAGAAGAGCAATAAATCTATCCTCCGGGGGCCAAAATCATCAGCTCCGCAATTCACTATACTCGGCTAGACTGGCGATGTATCTCCTGGAGAAAGGACAACGTACTCATACGAGAGCGGACTTGAAAGAAATCAAACAAATTCTTCTCGATTCGAGTACCGATGGCCGCAGACCGCAGTTTAACGACATTGTCACAAATATCACACTTTTGCTTCGTACACACCAGCTTGATCGAGACTGGCAGGGTGTGTTCGATGTTTCAAGTAGAATGGTTGATCTGATTCCCACCATGATACCGAATTCGCTTGATAACTCAGACAAACAGTGGGTGCTGCAATTTATGCGAGGAGTGGCTTCGATTGCGGCATCATCAGCTTTGATACTGAGGAAACCAGCTTTTGTGGCGCTTGACCTGCTTGAACGGGGTCGTGGGGCACTCGGTTCGTCTCTGGAAGATCTAAGGAGGACGGATATCACACTCTTGCAGCAGTCACATCCAGAGCTGATGCAGCGATTCCTTCATCTAAAGAATCAACTAACCATGGACCCCAACACTGTAGCTCTCAATGTTCAACCAGAGGACTCATCCGCCGCGGGCTCCACGCTTTCGGATTTTGGGGGTCATACTCTTCTTGACCAGCGTCACTCTGCGGGTACTCAGCTTCATCGTGTGATTGAAGAGATAAACACGCTTCCCGGGTTTGAGAGATTCTACAACACACTAAGCGAAAAAGATGTCCGCGATGCTGCCTGTGACGGCCCCCTGGTTGTTATTAACGACGGTGTTGTATGCTTCGAGGCCATCATTGTCGAGCAGCATCAAATACGGGCACTGCCGCTGCAGCACGTTCTCCATGATGAAGTAGCCCAAATACTCAATGGAGGAAACCTGTGGAGGCCTTTCGTTCTCGAATGGCTCTGGGATTGTGTCATGAGCCCAATTCTTGAGGCTCTGGGATGTTCCCATCCGGTTGTCGATGATACCTGGCTACATGTTTGGTGGATTCCAGTTGGCATCATTTCGAAGTTTCCTCTGCATGCAGCGGGTTACCACCACAGAGCGGACTCTGATCAGACAGTGCTCAGTCGAGTCATATCCTCATACAGTTCATCTATCAAGTCGATTGTATATGGTCGTCGCCGCCCTCGCCAACCCCGGACGCAATCAATTCCAGATAGGGCTGTCCTTGTCGCTATGGAGCATACGCCGGGGCATGCGCATCTCCCATATGCGACTGCAGAGATAAGCGAGCTGAACAAAATCTGCAAATTCATGCGGTACAATGTCATTGATAGCTCAACGGTGAAAACAAAGAGCAGTCTGCTCGAAAACATTCAAGGATGTACCATTTTCCACTTTGCCGGGCACGCTTATACAGACCAAAAGAACCCTTCTGAAAGCTGCCTCTGTCTGAAACAAGACCGGATCAAGGTTGCTGACCTCCTGGAGCTGGATTTATACTCGCGTGCTCCTTTTCTGGCTTATTTGTCAGCCTGCGGGACGCTTCGGTCGGATGCGGATGATTTGGTAGACGAAAACATTCATCTGGTTAGCTCATGCCAGCTCGCAGGATTCCGGCATGTTGTTGGGACACTTTGGGAAGTCAATGATGCTATTTGTGTCGACGTAGCCAGGATTATGTACGAGAAGATGAGTGAGGGGGAAATGAGTGACTTATCGGTGGCTCGAGGGCTTCATCACGCATCTCGATCGCTTCGAGATCAGTGGGTTGAGAGAGTATCAGATAATGAAAATCGGGCAGCTATGAAACGTAGTGCTGCAAGCAGTAATACATCGAGCATAGAAGCCGCTGAAGGTACAATTGGCTTCGAGAAGTTGTTCATTGGGTCAGAAGAAGATGCGAGAGATTCTAGAGATGCTCTTTTGGTAGAGGAAGCTGACGCAGTCATCCCACTCTGGGCTCCCTGGGTTCACTACGGGGTTTGAAAGAAGATTCAACCTGGTGAGGTATCATTGGAAGACAAAGAATTGAAGAAAGGGTTGTAAATAAAAGATACTTCTAGGTATGTATAGGTAGATAAAGAAGGATGGCTGCTTGAAACATACCTGATCAAGCCACATGCTCACCCCATGCCTGCATTTGTTTCGACATTACACCCGACGCCTACACAACGCATAAGCCTCGGAAATCCCTCCTAACAATATACTATATGAGTAATTAGAAAGAAAAAGATAGTTCTATACAATGCTCTTTACAACCTATTGTAGAGAAAGCCCTCCCCCCAGAATGACTTAGATAGAACCGAGCTAAGTTTGAAAAGAATGGGTAGGATCCTCACAGTAAGCCTAAATGAAAATATCGTACATCGAGATTAACGGCATACCGCCCAGATAGGCCATCTCCAGCCACTACCCCGTTCTCCGTTCAAAAGCCTTATCCTATAGGATTCCACTGCTCCTCAGTCAAGACACAGCTCGATGACTTGCCCCCCAACCGTCGTAATGTACAGCTTGGTTTTGTCATTACTAAAGATCGCTGCAGTTGGCCCTTTGAGTTGGGTTCTTGGAGAACCATCTGTGACGACGGTCACATCTCCCTCTGGTTTGATGTTTACCAGTGATCCAGGGTGCAAAGTCACATAGAAAGATCCATCTGGGCCTATAGCAAAATCGTCGATCGGCGCGCTCGAAGAAACCTTTGCGACCTGCTCAACATCGCCAGCTTGGTTGCCCAATGCATCGATCTTAACACGCCCAAAAATGCCACGTGCAGAATTTGTGAAGTAGAGGTAGTCACCATAAACATGGATACCGTTCGCGCCCAGAGGTTCGATAGGGTTTTCGGAAATAGTGAACAATTCGCTCCAGAAAGCAACCTCAGCAGCTCCGGTGTCCATGTTGATGCGGTACAGCACACCTGTTTTCGAGTCTACCGTGAGGACGATGTGCGGGTATGAGGGCAATGGGGTCATCCCATTGAGTAGCCCAGCCTCCGGCATGTCTACAACAGGCTCGAGCACGGCCTTACCAGCAGTATAAGGCTTGCTCAGATCCAGTTTGAAAACACGGCCTGTTCCAGCCTCCCACTTAAACTCAGAAACATTAACTACGCCAGCAGCAACAGCGTAGACGTCCGGCGCAATATGAGAAATTCCCGTGACACCGGTGAGTTCCGGGGCCTTCACAGCAAGCTTAGGCACGGACTTGTGTGCGGAGGGGTTGATGGTGTAGATGTGTCCATCGTGGAATGTGGTCAGCACCAGCTCTCCGTTGGGGCGAACAGCGATGTTCTCAATAAACGTGTTGTTATTGGGGAATTCGTAGATGAGGCGCGGCTGAGAAATAGCATTGGTACCAGTTGCATAACCAATGCTTGCGATTGCTGTGATAAGTGGTAGACGCATTGTTATTCTTGGGTAATCTGAGGAGAGTGTTCGAGAGTGTGTTGTTGAAAGGATGTTTCGCAATGTTAATCACGATGAGGTTTCATAGGTTCATATACTTTTAATATATACTTCCTACAACGGACTTTACGGCCGACATAATCTTAATACATAAACTCTAGAGTTCAATAAGCCCTTTAACTGAGACGGTTTTACTGCTTAAACCCGTACATCTTACGTTCAACGGGTCTCTCGGCCGAGACGGTATTATGCCTAAACCCGCCCGTGGCGGGAGAAGTAAGATATAAAATATCGGTGTGCGTATGAAAGGTCTTAATCAAATATCTGGAAGTATGTCTGAGACTAGATAGATACTCTCTAGAAGTTCGCGGTCCGGAGGGGCACTATCACTAAAAGCGTACTATTCCGCTATCTTTCACGGCAGATAACTGGGAACTATAGATATTTACGAGCCCAGGAGACGAGCAGTCCCTCTCCGAACTCAAAATTGAACATACCTGTCTAAATCTACTCGCTCAATTAGCAAATTACGCTCCCTATTGCTGTGGACGCGACTAGATGGCCAAATCGCCAGGCTAGGCTCTCTTCCCTTCTACATTTCGGGTTTTATAATGAGTTTGGAAACCTTGATTCTAATTCTGACACTTCTCCAAGATCTGCTGTGCCGAGTACGTACAATCCGTGTCCCAAGATCTAGTTAGGGCGGGTGCTGCTGCGAAACTAGATAGACGTAGAATACTCCAGTCATATAAAAGCACTTATTAGAAGGGAATTTCTTCGTCAGTGAACTATTAAGAAGGTGAATTTCTTCTTATTGTTATGTCTTGATTTGAAGGGCAATGTAAACAATGCCATAGTTGATAAGAAAAAAAGGTACCTGAGAGAAAAGAGCGGTTGGATGGGGAGCTCTTCCCAGAATACACTGCCGAAGGTAAATTGAGCAACTGATCATCCTCCACGAAAAAGCTGATAGACAGAGAGGTAAGAAATCTGTACTCGATTAAATAAGAAGTCGGGCGACTGCTCCACCGCGAACGCTCAAATATTAACTGTTTCGTGTTTTGTGGATTTCTCTGTCCTGCTTCAATATATTCTGAGGCTTTATGACCCATAGTGTGCCTGGAGAAAATGATTAATAACAGCTTCATGAGGCGTGATTGCCGCTTCCAATGACGCGACGTCCGAATTCGATCCAGGGCTATCCATTAATCCGTCACCGTCCATTGAGTTTGGACTTGATGAATTCGAATTCGGAGCACTGTCGCTTTGCTGTAAGGGCGATTCTCCAGAGTGATCTGTGTACTTGAATTAAACGCCAAATGTTTGAGTAGCAGATGCTGATAGATGAATCTTCCATCAGACTCAAATATTTGCGCCTTTGTCTCTGCAAAAGGGACAACCTCGTAGCTGAGAATCGAATTACAATGCTATTCAGTCACTTCACCCATCCTGGCCACAATCTGCGCTTGAGTCATCATGGTCTTTTCACAGCTCCTCCATAATATCCTGGCTCGGTCCTCCTGGTAACTATGACGGAAAATACATGCGTGACGTTTTCTGCTCCTGTACAGTAATTTCAAAGCTCCGTGATTTCCAGGGTGGGAAATGATGAAGCCGCTTTGGCTACGAGCAGTATAGGGGACGCAAAATCTCGCCTGATATTGTCTAAGCTTGGGAGAGAACATCGTAGGATAATGTGTTTTAAGGGACTTTCAGCCATATTAGCTAATTAATTCAAGTCAACAATAGCCTGAAGGAAGGCTGTATTGTTCATCTGCCATGGTGAACAGAATTACTCTCTTCTTTGGGAAGATGTTGCCATCTCTTGAGGCAGGGAGGTTTGAGAATGTGAAACACTTTTCGTTCCTACGTGCTCGAGAGCAGTAATCGCTACGTCCATCGTGACAGGAGAAGACATGCCTTCCTTGTTTCCCTTATTAAGGAGGAAGTAAGAAAGAATGATGTATCGCGTCAGTTTGAATATGAAGAGACGGAGGCCTTGTTTATAGAAGATAAGGTATTTAGAGTGGAGCATTAGGACCTTTGGCTACTACAATCTGACTCATTTTTCTAAAGATAACCTTTCCATGGCTTTTCAAACTTTATCGCCATGACAGCAACTAGTCCGTCTGTCTTTCATCTGCTCCTGCCCTCCCTCTAGAATTACGTGACTACCTAGATATGGCTTAAGTCTACCTAAAAGTGTTAGGCAATCCCTCTTCTTCCACCACCGTAGTTGTTGGGGGCCGCGGGGCTATGTCAAATACCATGCTACCTACATCACGAGATGCACTGGATTTGTAAACCATTTGACACTTTTCAAAGATTGGTTTGTTTACACATTGTGTTTAATATTCCCTCGGATGTGCCGGACAGCGAGATACAATCAATAAATCAATTGAAACATGATGATGATACTAATCGAGAAGAGTAGTCCGGGGTTTAGGGTAGAGCCTATTAAGAGAAAAGTCTGTTCAAGCAGCAGGCTCGTCTTTCATCAAAACTCAATGAACACGTGTTATCGATTGTTTTTCATGTCAACTCAATGGCTCTTCTCCCAAAATTAGATTATTAGAGCTCAGTTTATATCTGCCAGGTGGTAGATTCAAATCAAGGCACTGGGTTAGATTGCCAGCGGGAGACACTTCTAGGTTTGTATATCATCACTTTCTACATAGCAGTAATACATGCTAGGGATGAAGCCTAAAGTTACAGGCATAGAATGGGAGTTGTAACCAGGACGGCGATGCGCCTCGTCACATCATGCTGGGAATTATCAATTTTACAAGTTTCTACGATACTAAGCCGAGCAGTATTCGCGATCGAGTTTCATGCAATCGCTTCCAAAGTTCCAAATGGCATTATACGCAATGCCTTGAGACGCAGCATTGATCTTTCGAAGCAATGTTGCTGAGAAGAAGAACTTTTGGAAAAGCTGGCTGCTCTTTTGATGTGGAGGCGGTGCCGACAGCCGATCGCACAGAGCAGTTGGTCCACATGAAGCCATCCAATAGACTGGAACAGAACCCCAGCGAGAGGAACGCGGGATGTGATATGATGACCGGAATGCATGGTTTACGGCATGCTACTATTGGAGTATTCATCTCATGTTATTCGTAGTCTACAGGGGGCAGCTACCCAATAGAAGGCTGCCAAAAGCAGAAGCAGAGCCGCCGGTAGCAAATAGGAAGGTTTAGGTGTGCGCAAATGCAATAAGATTGATCCGAGAGCAAGACCGATTGGGTGATGGAAGGGTGGAAACGCAGGCTCCTGATTAATCAAGCGATCGGACACAAACGGGCTTGGCATCGAGCTGGGCCTGGTGGGAACTCACGTTGCATCGCCGGGTACGGCAAGAAAGGAGACACTGAATTGACTATTCTGGCGGGGGCAATGTTGGCCCCGGGGGCACTCCGGGCCTTTGCGAAGGGGGGAAAAAGTCAGATGATGGGGAACTGGGGGGATGGATCATGGGATGGGGATGGGAATGGGGCGTGCTGACTGACTGACTAACAGGCAGGTTTTCTTCGGTCCCGTTGGCCAACCAGGTTTTTAACGAGATGAATGAAACAAGACGACGAAACGGAAAGCCTCCCGCTCCCACTTGAGTCTGTCTTTGATTTTCTTCAGCCCAGAGCCAGCGTGTTGGTGATTGTGTGCATGTGAAAGAAGGTTTGCTGTGGGGTTGATAATCATCTAGGACACACATGCCTGATTTGTGTAGGTCAGTGCCTACCTACTGATTGATTGTTCATGGGAGGAGACAATGCTCAGCTATAGCTCTAGCATGTATACTACGGCTGCAGGTGTATGCATACATGGCATGACCTGGCATGGCACAGACTCAGCTTGATCCAGCCTTGCTCGTCTGACGTAGGAGGCTCCTCTTAAGATCTTGGTCTTCTTCGTTATTAGCCATCACGTGGCTTCAGCCAGAGCCGGACGCCAAACGCCGTAACCTCCAAGCCTTTGCGGCAGCCGCCGTCCGTGGCTACAATGTTTGCTGACAGCATTGTTTGAGACAAGCACCAGCCAGTAGTAGGGCAGCGGCCGGGGTCTGGTCTGATTTGATTTGATTTAATTTGATCTGACTGATCACATACATGCATTGTGCTGTAGTATTCACATCATACGTGACACACTTCAAACGCAGCTGAGCCAAGCTATGGCGAGGGGCTAATGCAGAGCAAGCCAAAGGCAAAGCAAAGAAAACGCACATCGGCTCAGAAGCAAGGAAAGCAGCGAAGACAAAGCGAGACCAAGCAAACAAGAGCAGCGGAAATCGGCACGCGGCTGGCTGACAATTGCGTCCCCAAGTACCTTAGGCTAGGTAGATCGAGGTGCTCACTGAATCACCCAGTTTCAGGATCGACCTGTGCTGCAACGCTACAATCCCGGACCTGGAAGACTCTCTCACACACGCGAGCCGCCACAGTTGCACGTCCGGCGCGCCCAGAGGGCGACGAGGTCCCTGGTCCGCCTACTCCGGGCCCCTTACTGTGATCTCTCCAAGGCTTGGTCGTGACACGGCATTGACTGTGTGCTGAATGCAGACCCTGGCTCCGGAGTAGGAGCCTTCCCATGGTGCCTATTTTGAAAATTCCCTTCCTTCCATTGACGTTGTAGCACTGTGGCTCAAGCATAAGTTTGATTTAATTAGTACTACGTGGCGACACACCCTTCATGCCTGGTATGGTATCTACATACGCTGACCCGGGGATTGATGGATGTGGACGCTGTAAGCACTTACAACCTAAGATGTTACAGGCAGCTTGGCCCCATATAATAGAAAAAAGAAAATTCAATCCTTTGGCCGTGGAACCGCGTTATGTTATTTGAGTTTTGCTCCGTCTCCAGTGAACAAGCGCTGTGGGTGATCTGTGCTCCCCCTTGATTGAGCATTTTCCGCGCCCCTCCTCCAGGTCTCCAGCTCGGTCAAATACTCGGTTCTGCTTGCTTCTCCATTTGGGGTCCCCATACGGTTCTTTCTGAGCTTAACCGGACTGCTTGTTGGGCGCAGTCTTCGGGATGGTGCGAGGGGGGGTTGCGCGCCGTGGTGTATATTCCTGGGGTTCTACGAGGACAAGGCAGTGCCGGACGCGTACAAAGGCAATTTAAGAGAGAGTTACAGTTTAGGATCAAGTGGCTCGTGGCGCGCGACGGAAGAGTCACAGCGTCAGATGCCCCTGTTATGCTCATCTGTCTGTGACGGGAGGACGAGAATCGGCCAGTGAGGCCCCCTGTCGTGATTCATCAGCGGCCACTGCCGTCGTAAAACATCAGCAACACCTCAGACAATCACTAGACGAGAAGAAAAAAAAAGCCTAAAGGGAAAAAAGACGATGGGCTAACTGCTGCAAGGCATTGTTCCCTCGCACGCCTCCCCCCTCCCGACTCACGCCCCCGGGTCCTCCCCGATGGAAAGGGGAAGGAAAAGTCTGCTCTCGGTCAATTAAAGACAGGAATCGAGGATTCCATCTACAAAATCAAACGGCCCACCGGGACCCCTGCAAGGTGTGAAGGGTGGCGTTTGGAGTAGGACCGAAAAATTCACCCATTGGCGCCGGCCGACAAGGAGGACGGGGAACAGGCACGGGCAGACCTGGGGCAGAGGGAGAGGCGTGTGGCATTTCATTTCCCCACAGTCTGTTCTCTTTGACTAATTACTCGCAGGCAGAATCCACGGGATGGCTTGGCTTGGCTCCCTGGCTGTGGTAGTAGCTCCCTGATGGCTGTGGTAACTACTACTACCCGTGATGTGTTGTGGTGACTGATTCGGAAGAGCTGTAGACCCTCCGCAGCACTGAAACGCATCGGCAAAGGCAAGATGCACTGGGTTGCCCGATCAGGACTGGCAGCCGATCCAGTCCCTCAGCCAAAGGGTCTTTGCAGCGATCGGCACTCCGTTTACGCAGCCATTGGCGCTCGCTATCCGTCCCTAACTGAGGCAAGCGAGAATGTGTACATAGCATCGTCCCAGAGCGAACGAAGATGAGGGGCCGGGCCGGCAGACATGATGACAACAGAGTGAGAGAAGAGGCAAGCAGTCTATTGGATGCTAAGCGGGATTCAATCCTGGCCGAGAAAAACCGAAAGAGCCCATGGTCGAGAAAAAAACCAGCGAAATGGAATGATCCGAATCCTCAACGGCCCTCAGCACCAAAACAGGATGGACACGAGAATAGGAACAACGGTCAAACGGGCCTTCTCATCTCGGCGTTTCTCATCACACAGCACAACAGCTGCCCAACGGTGTGGAGCCCTCCACTCGCTCACTGACTCCTCTCCCACGCAGTTCTGGATGCCAACCCAGATCTCTGGCCCCATGGGGCTGGGCTGGGCCTGGCCTGGGTTGGGTTCAGTGGGAAATAGCGTCAACACGCGATGGGACGTTGTGGTGTTCTCTCCGCAAGGGCGGAACGCTAGAAGCCGGCCACAAATCTAAATATACCTGTATCAGAGCATAACCTGCGCATTTACGGTGAACCAACCGTGGAGAGCTCGGTGCGATTGATTGATGCGATGCGATAGTCTGGACGAAGACCCAACAGCTTCGGCCCTACTTCGTGCAGCAGCATTTCTAGTCTGGGCAAAGGCGGCCGACCTGAGCAGAAGCGAGCCGTGTCGTGTGCCGCGGCCAGCTCACGTTCTCCATGTGACTTGTCGATGCGAGCAGACGGGTAATCGGAGGCTCTAGTGAATGCCTCGACGTGAATATCCCACAAAGACAGCTAGCGTATAGAAGCAGGTGATTGATGGTCCTTGATCGGGAACATCGTGTCAATTGATGCGCGGTGAAGCCAGATTCGAGCCAGATGGTTGGTTGCAGCGGACAAAGAGCCTGAAGCACGGTGCATAAGGGTGCTGCCACAGGGCTGGGCGCTGGAGCTCAGTGCATGATGTCACCTGCCAGCAGCGAGTTTGCCGCCTGCAGAGCAATTGAACAGGCGCTGGCTCTAGGCCCTGAAAGGCAGCGATCACGGGACGGCGACTCACTAACGGCCGGAGTCAGATCCAATCAGGCCCTAGACGTCGCTCTGGCTCGACTTAGCGTCCGTCCCATTTCCCTCCATCGCATTAGAGTAAAGTGGAGGAGGATTCACACCCACACTCCCCCATCTCGGCCACTCCCCCAGATCAACCCACACACCAGGAGCTTCACTGCAGCAGGAGGGTGCCATGCACATCGTATGTGTCTGGAGTGGTGGCACGACCTGATCGGAACGATTCAATTGTGGTTATGGCCTATCAGGATACCACCACACCTCGCCTGAGACCTCGACAGAGTGACAATCGTTGCAACGTGGTTTCGAAGCAGACCAGCCCATCGATCTCGCTCCCAAGTGAAGTGAATTGGCTGAGTTGAAGAGAACTCAATCGTCAGTGACACGCCGGGGTTGCCTTGGCTTGGCTTCGCTTGACTCGCCTGACCGGACCACCTACCCTCGTCGTAGCACCCGAGACTGATGACGGCCGACAAAAGGCAAACCCGGCATCGTTTGCCTCCTCGGACAGACTCAAGCTCGCTCCTGGCCCAAGCTTGGCAATGGCATGGCTCCATGTGTGCCCCCTGTCGAGCTCCAGTCGAGTTGACCCGGGGGAAGGGGGGAGGAGTCGATTTACCATCCACGCCGCATCCCACTGCCATGCACCACCAGCTTTTGTTTGTTCTTTCTCGCCGCCACCTCGGCCGCTGCAGGGTCCATTCCTCTGACCGCGGCCGGGGTCGTGTGAGTGATTCACCCCATCCCGGCCCCATCCCCATGGCGTCCCCATCCCATGCCCTCCCATCCCGGAGGAACTATGGGACCTACCTAGACGAGGTAGACAGATGCTGAGCTTGCTGAGTTTGGGAGGCAAGCAGCTAATTACTTGTTCGTGAGCAGCAGCCTGGGTCCGGCTCCTTACGTTGCATCGCCTTTGCCTGGCGCTGCTCTGCCCAACTATTAAAACCATCGCATCTCGCCCTCCTCTCCCTGCCCCGCGTTCTCGCTCAGACCGTGTGCTTTCCTGTCTCACTTGCATTGCCCTGAGCTCCTCAGCTTCATCTCTTCATCATCAACAGCATCTGAGACCTCTTGAGACATCGATCCACAGCAAACCGCCATCATGTCTACCGACGAGAAGGCCGAGCATACCTCCGCCGCAGTCACTGCGCTGCGTGCTCCCGAGAACGTGGAGCTCGTTGAGGCCCCCGTCACCTGGAAGGCCTACCTCATGTGCGCCTTCGCCTCCTTTGGTGGTATCTTCTTCGGTTACGACTCCGGTTACATCAACGGAGTCAACGGCTCCAAGATCTTCATCGAGGCCGTCGAGGGCATGGGTGCCACCGAGCTGAGTGAGAACAACCTGACTCTCATCACCTCCATCCTCTCTGCCGGTACCTTCTTCGGTGCCATCGCCGCTGGTGATGTCTCTGACTGGATCGGCCGTAAGTGGACTGTCATCATCGGCTGTCTGATCTACATGTTCGGTGTTGTCATCCAGATGATCACCAGCCCCGATCACGCTCTCGGTCCCATTGTTGCCGGTCGTCTCATCGCCGGTGTTGGTGTCGGTTTCGAGTCTGCCATTGTCATCCTGTACATGTCTGAGATCGTAAGTCTACCTCAATTCAACGGGTCGGTTTGTCCAATCTGCGACAGGCTCGCTAACTAAACCCCCCAGTGCCCCCGCAAGGTCCGTGGTGCCCTCGTCGCCGGTTACCAATTCTGCATCACCATCGGTATCATGCTTGCTTCCTGCATCGTCTATGCCACCAAGGAGCGCACCGACACCGGTGCCTACCGCATCCCCATCGCCATCCAGTTCCCCTGGGCTCTGATCCTTGCTGGTGGTCTTCTGCTGCTTCCCGACTCTCCTCGATACTTCGTCAAGAAGGGCAAGCTCCAAGAAGCCATTGACGCTCTGTCCCGTGTCCGCGGCCAGCCCACCGACTCCGTCTATGTCCAGACCGAACTCGCCGAGATCGTCGCCAACGAGGAATACGAGCGTGCGCTCATCCCTGATACTACCTGGTTCGGTAGCTGGGCCAACTGCTTCAAGGGTAGCCTCTGGGACGCCAAGTCCAACCTCCGCCGTACTATCCTCGGTACTTCTCTTCAGATGATGCAGCAATGGTGAGTGATGAAATCCCCCCCCCCGACCCTGTGATAGCACTGGTTGGAATGCGCTCTGTCGCAAACCAAGTGTGGTCGTCGCAAATTGGCACATTGCTAACACGAACACAACAGGACCGGTGTCAACTTCATCTTCTACTACTCTACCCCCTTCCTCGAGTCCACTGGTGCCATCGAGAACTCCTTCCTTATGTCCATGATCTTCACCATCATCAACGTCTTCTCTACTCCTCTCTCCTTCTGGACCGTTGAGCGATTCGGTCGCCGCACAATCTTGATCATTGGTGCCTTCGGCATGCTTGTCTGCCAGTTCATCGTCGCTGGCGTGGGCATGTCCGTCGGTTTCAACAAGACTCACCCCGACCCCAGTGACCCAGAAGGCAAGAAGATGCTGGCTGACAACGTCTCCGCCGTCAACGCCCAGATCGCCTTCATCGCCATCTTCATCTTCTTCTTCGCCTCCACCTGGGGCCCCGGTGCCTGGATCGTCATTGGCGAGATCTTCCCTCTGCCCATCCGATCCCGCGGTGTCGCCCTCTCCACCGCCTCCAACTGGCTCTGGAACACCATCATCGCCATCATCACCCCCTACATGGTCCACACCAACAAGGGCAACATGAAGTCCTCCGTGTTCCTCGTCTGGGGCGCCCTCTGCACCAGCGCCTTCGTCTACTCGTACTTCCTGATCCCCGAGACCAAGGGACTCACCCTCGAGCAGGTCGACAAGATGATGGAGGAGACCACCCCCCGCACATCCGCCAAGTGGAAGCCCACCACAACCTTCGCCTCCCAGGCCGGAACCAAGGATGGTTACCTCGACCCCGCTATCGTCGAGGAGGCCGAGCGACGTGGCTCCAAGGTTTAATTTGCCTTCCATTCTTATCCGTCACAAATTGAAGTAGGATAAAGGTCCACGGCGGAAGAGGACCGAAGCCTCGTAATCATCCGGGAGAGCTAGATTCTCAGGAGAGGGGAATAAACATTTAATTAATTCTGTGAATAGTCAGTCATTATATACCCAAGCAGCTCCAGAGGAGATTGTAACAGAAACCAGGGAGAGGGAGGATCAGCTTAGAGCTTTTCACGAATGTGTCCGTGTGTCTATTCCAGAGTAGAGCAATTGAATACATTTCTTCCAACTTGATGCGTCCCATGTGAAGAGTACAAGTGACTTGGTGTACCCTCGCTTCGAGGAAATTTACTTAAACCTGTCCCCCTACTCTATCCCTTCTAACCCAAAAGAGCTCCAATTGACTGTTGGATTTTTTAATCAGGAAACAGAAGATGAACTTTCGGAAAGTGGGATCGCCAGCTCATAATCAAATGATACATTGTGAGATGCGACATATGTTATTCCGTAGAGATGCTTATTAACTGCACACTACATCATGATGTGATGGTAGAAGAGCCTGGCAATAGAGTCCCAGCCAAGATAGAGTTCTTCAGGTCAACAAAGTAGCGGGGAAAGATGGGACAGCTAGATAGATGAACCATGCTTGCTTTGATGGCTTGTAGCATGGCCAACTTCCTAGGAAGAGGAATGCCAAACCATTTCAAGAATGCTTTAAAAAGTTTTAAGATTCACAGCGATTGTTGTTCTCCAAAACCGTAAATTTGTTTATGGTAAGCTAATATCCATGGTATAACTAACCATTCTGTTATCTGTAAATAAAATGATCATTATTTGGTTAATCATCGCCAGCCAGTATATTTTCCATCGAGATGTAGAACGAGAGCCACCAAGTCATTTCTGAGCATCTGCCCATCGGGTACTACAGGTACACATACTGAACACTGATGAGAGTCGCAGAGGTCCCGTCATCACGACGCGTCCTATACTCCTGGTTAGTACAAAGTGACGCCACGCATGGAAATCAAGAGGGTATCTGGCTATGCAACGTACAGATCAAGACTGAAGGGCTTGGTCGTTGAGAGGAGATAGACCTTGTTCCGTGGAGTGTACTTCCACGTACAATCTATCTCCTTTTCCAAATCTTCGAGCAGCACCCTCACGTTATTCACCCCAAATTTTGCTCCCTCAATACACATGTGGTGCTTGAACCGGGATTCAGACATGTTGCAAGTCAGGTTTGTCGTTTAGCAGATTATGTGGTTTCGGACCTTGTTTCCCTTTGAGGATGCCAAAGATATGAGATTAATTGTCGCTTGGTATTGAGGTTGATCGCTGAGGGAGTCAAAAAAGTACCAAGCGTGGGTGACTTAAATAATCTGATTCACCTTGCAGGATTTCCAGTATCATCAGTTCACTTAAACGCCGCTGTGTTTGATCAGCTTATTTCAAAGGGACACAAAGCTGTGTGAGGAGAATCCGGGTTGTCTGCGGACTGACTTGGCCGAGTTCACAACAATGAATGGAGTTGCCCGACATTGAGCCTTTGTTGGCTCAGATTCTTGACCAAGTGGGATGTGACAAGGTGACAATGAGCGAACCCTACATTGAAGAATCAGGACACTTGGACTCGGAAAAAGCATACTTATCTGTTCCCATTGTGCGGGTTGAAGCTTCTTTTTTAGGATATCATGTCGCCTGGCTTCGGTCTTAAAGCCATGTTTAAGATGCCTTGACAAAAGTAGTAGGCCCACAGTGTAGCGTTTCCAAAGTCACATCTACAATCTAGCCTTGCTAATTCTTACATCACGCTTCTTCGTTATCAGGTATCAAGTTTAAGCATCTTATCGTAATTATATTTTAAGTGTATTCTATCTAACTACTAATCCAGCCTCGGGGCTGGGCTGGGAACTGCCTTTCTAGTGACTGCGGGTGGTGGACTGACAGGCGGCTGGGCAGCCTCCATCTCATGCACCCTCTCTGCAGACGCAGGCGGCGGCCCCGGCGGCGGCGGCACCTCAGCAGCTGAATCTGACGGTAGATGTAGGGCCGGCAGCTGGGGCGCCACGGCGGCCACAATCGGCGGTGATGGCGGTGGTAGTTCAATCTGGGCTACCGGCTCGGGTGATGGGCTGGGGATGACTTCAGACTCAGGCTCCTTTGGAAGGTACGCCGCGCCGTATGCTGAGCCGTATGCCGCGGGCGGGTTGAAGACGGACTGGCTGGCCACCGAGCCTCTGTTCAGAGTGTCCCCTGACATGGAGACAGTCGGCGTGTGGCCCGGCCACGGCTGGTACTGCCTGTCGCTGCTGCTCCCGTCGTAGCTGCTCATGCGCTTCTGGTATGGAACACCGGCGGCGGCAGCCAGCGAGGGAGGGACGGGGAAGTTCATGGGACCCTGCTGGCTAGACCTCACGAAGCTCTCGGGCGAGACGCTTCGGTAGGACTGAGACGGGTGGCGGGCTGCGGCTGCGGGCACGGCTGCGGCGGCGGGGGTAGCAACGAGTGGGAGGTAGGCGGATTGCTGCATGGGGGCTGAGGAACCGGCCCCGTCGAGCGGTCCTCGGAAGGCCATGACGGGGTCCTCCTCGGCGCTCAGATCCCGAGCAAAGGGGCTCTTGATCTTGCCGGACCTGATGAGCCAGAAGATGAGGACGGCGAGCAGGGCCAGACCGACGAGCGAGCCGACAATGGCGCCGGCGATGGTGCCGGGCGGCGCACCCGACTTGCTCTCGCTGCTGCTACTGCCGTCGGAGCCTGCGAGGGCTGTGGCGGTGCAGAACGAGGTCCTGGAGGCCTGGATGTTGGCCGAGGATGAGTAGTAGCTCTGGGCATTGCCCGGCATGGACTTGTACCAGTCCGGGGTGGTGTAGTAGGATGTGTACTGGGTTGCGAGGAAGCAGGCAGACTCCGGGTCGGTCTGGGCCGCAGAGGGCACGGCAGTCCGGATGATCTGGGCGATGGAATCTGATAGCGTGGTTGAGCTGTCATCATCAGTCGTTGTCGACGCAGTAGTGCTGTCTGTTGATGATGCGGAGGTCGACTCTTCGGATGAGGTGGAGCTAGTGGTGGTACTCTCCTCTGTGGAAGATGACGAAGAGGATGAGGTGGTTTTCGAGCTGGTGCTTGAGGATTTGCTTGAGGTTGTTGATGTAGAGGAGGTCGTCTTTGACGACGTGGTGCTGGTCGATGTAGTCTTAGAGGAACTCGAGGTGGTTGAGGTGGTCGAGGTAGTCTTGGTTGACGAAGAAGACTTAGAAGAGGTAGTGCTGGTCGTCTTAGAGCTCGAGGTCGTCCTGCAACGGCCTGATCCCGAGCATTCGGTGCCCTCGTTGCAGTATGATTTGCCGCTACAGCAGTCTGCGTTCTCGGGCATGCAGCCAGTGCCGCAGGGCGCTTGGCCGTCGTCGCAGGTGGATTGGCGCAGGTGCAAGAGCGAGTCAAACATTCCGTCGAGGACATTTCTCGGATACTCGCGGATCTCGTGGCTGTCAAAGAGAGTGTTGGCATTTGTGTAGGCCAGAAAGTCGTCGGGGGAGGCTGTCACAACGGGGGCAGGCCCATCCTGAGAGGCGGATAGCTTCATCTTGAACGTATTAGAGACCGAATCGAAATAATGGATCGATGGCGAGAGAAAATTAATGGGAATAAGATGACATTAGGCGAGGAAAAGCGACAAAGAGACCAACAGACGAGAGGCTTCACCAGTGTCTGCCTGGCCCAGTACGAGGCTGCGTAGATCGTCAGAAGAGCAAACAGAGAAAGAGGGTCGGCAGGATCAGTCGACCGGCTGGGCGGGAACTAATATTATGTGAAGCGGGATTAACACCCTGGAAAGGCAGTAATTTATTCGACGAGAGCGCAATGTTAGAGTGTCTATTAATATCCTTCAGCCCAATCGGCATGTGGCCTCCATCTGAAACATGCCCATCACAATCCTGGTGGGCCATGGCAACGGTCCAACCACATTAGCAGCCACTCAATTTGCCTAGTGCCATGCTTAGACAGGATTGAGCTCGAGGGCTAATTAATGGTGATTTTTCCCTCAAGCTCGATTTGAAAGCAAGCACGGGGGGGTTGCACACGAGGGGGGAAATGGGTGAGGCGAAAGACTGGGACAGCGAGCCTTGACCGAGCCCGAGTCCCCAGCAACCGGATATTACCAGATGGGACTTTGGACCCAGGACGGGCATTTTGCACATACCAACAGTGAGCATCGCCCATGTCAAAAACCAGTGCTGACCAATGGTGGGCCTGCTGAAATGGAAGGATGCCGGTGCTGTTGCTTCTGCACGGCCAGCAAACCAACAGTCGAGCACTTGGCTGCCTCTTGGACGCCATCCAAGAAGAGTAATTGATGAAGGTCGGGCTTACGGGTCGTCTGAATGTGGCCACAGAAGCGGCCGCGAGCAAATGCATCGCCTCAGACTGGACCAAAGTCCTTCCCGTGCAGCCAGCGCAGAATGTCTCATTCACAGGCTAAGGGTTTGCCGAGATGCAAAAGTCGCGCCGCCAGAGAGAAGAAATCCAGCAAGAGGAGCTCTTAGCGGGCTTGACTGCTGATCGACATGGGTAGAGGAGATGAAATAATTCTCGTCCGATCCTGGCAATCTTATTTCCTGCCGGCCCCTACCTTGGCGCATTACCATGACTCTCCAGCCCATCAGTCTAGTCCCAATTGCGATGTCACGCCACCATCACTGTGGCGGTCTACTTGTTATTATGCTCGTGCCTGTGTGCTATTACCAAGATTTACCCGTGAGTAAGCACAACTGACTACTAAGATGTGAGTCAAGGCATATCGTACTCTGGGACCTGATCTTTGTTCGATGACTGTGTGCATAGGCGACTTCATGACCGAGTATGAGTTCAGAAGTCTCACCTTTCCCCGCAATACGGTGTGCATACATCCCATGTGATTTCAATCCTCATCACGCGTGTCGCAGATCACTGAGTGCGTGGCTTGTGTGGGATCTTGACCCTTGCGCGGCTACCCTATAGCAGATGGAATTCCAATCTCAAATGAACAAATATTCAATTGTTATCTCATGTGTCTAAAGACGCCCAAAGAAAGAAGAATATTTTTTTATTTTTCTAATATGACTATAATATCTCACCTGGTAGTAAAAACAAAAGGCAAGCTCTATACTCTTATTGTGCCGAAAACTCATGCACACTGAACTCCTACACTTCGTCATCATACTTTATCGATTTCTCCGTAGTTTTGTAGTATCAGTTTAGGTAGGCACTTATTGATGCTCTTTGCTAAGATCTTATAATCAAAATGCGCTAAACAGGAATCCCCAGAATTGGAGCGCCTATTCATCGAGCCAAAAAGAACGAGCCTGAGTCGTACCGGGAGAACGGTGATCAATTGATCTGTGGTGTTAGATTGCACATGGGGTATGATTTCGGCAGCCTCCCAAGAATAACAACACCGAGATGAGAAAGAAATGTTTGAGGTGGGGATGTAATGGCCCCCATGCTTTTTTATTCACCTACATCATTGTACATCATTGTACCTGAAATCTTTTGGACCCCGACGACTGGATAGCCACGTTTCTTTGAATTTAGATTCCCGAGGATAACACAAACGGTTCTAAATGAGCCCTGGATCTGTACCTATACTAATTTACTTGCAGCCTTCCCTCTCTTTGTCTTCCGAAGAGTAGCATGTGGGTGCGACGACTTGTGAGAAACAGTTGTATGCAGAAATCAAATGATGAAGGCTGTCACTTTGAGCCTGCCACACTCCTTTCATCGTCTTGCTCCTAGATCATTAGCTGGAAAAAAGAGAATTGGATTTCGTGGAATATGGTTAAACTACATCCCTCGTTATAATCTGTACCGTGCGTTAGTAAGTTAATTGGTCAGCATTCAGGAGGTGCGCATCAATACTTTTCAACCTCTTAACTTGTGGACGCGATTAGTATTTGCAGCAAAAGTTCCGCGTTTCTTTTATGATAATTCGATTGCCCTGAGGATAAGCCGTACATTTCTGGGTGTTGCCTTAAATGTTGCATGTTATTGAAAGTGCATCCTTGATACGAAATCGATCTAGGTCTGTTGCTCGGACTCATTAGTGGCGGTACCTGCACATAGAAAATAGCTAATGATGGCGTGTTCTGGTCAGTGTTAATTGTGAAACATGGCAAAGAAAGAAAGATCATTTAGAGAGTCCAAGTAGATGCCGATAAACATCGTAGATCTTACAATACCCTCTTCCTGTTGGGTGTGATCTTGGGGTGCAGGTGTAGACCCCTGTCCCTCCTGATCCTGTTCCGGGGAATCAATCCTCCCTCCCGCTGCTCAGTCGTTGGTGTACCCAAGATCTCAGGTATGAAGCAAAAAAATCCCATTGATTTTAGTCAGCACCAATAATGGTCAGGCTCACCGTTAAAGTCTTGGCCTTTCGCTCACCGGAACACTCAGGGTGCGTGACTCCGGTTGCGGCAATTTTCCGTCAGGTTATCAGATCATCTGATAAGATTTGGAGAGCTCGGAATGGCAAATAAGTGGGCATTTTTCACTTAACTGCCACAAAAATCCTTTCCGTCAAGGCAGACGAGATGGACTAACTCGTAGCGTCACGCTACTCTTCCGTCTCCTCTCCCATCCTGGGCTGGATCGCTAGTAGTGGTTGCTTCCTTCTTGCTCTCTATTCACTCCCGCTTCTTCTGCTCAGCTTCATCGTCTCGACTCTTTGTTCTTTTGCATCTTCAATGCCACGGACGTCGGGTGGCTGCGCGACTAATGTCTCGACCCGCCGCTAAGCCGTCGCAACACCATCTTATCGATCTACCCTAGATACCCCGGACACGCTTCCTCCCCCACCATGAGGCTACGAAAACAAACACATCAGAGCATCTGGCCGTCGCCCAGACCGCCGCCCAGTCTCCGAACATGGCTTGCAATATCCTCCATCCTCGCAATCGCACTCTTCTCCTCGCCCGTTGATGCCGCCCTGCCCACCGCGCCCGCCGACCGGCCGAATAACCCGAGATGCGCCCAGGCATGCATGGCCACCATGCGGATGGTCCAGTTCACCGATGAGGACCCCTCATTAGGGTTCCAGGGCCGGGTGTGTGGTGGCAGCAGGCTAAGGACCTCGTATTATCTGTGCATGCGGACGTACTGCACGCCGAGCGAGGGGGACGATGGTGCCGACGAGGTGAAGAAGACATGCCGAGAGGTGCTGGCCGGTGAAGAGGTCCCTGGGATGGAGAGCGTGGCCGGCTATACAGACGAGGGGGTAGAGAACTTGCCCAAGTTTGGGAGGATGGGGTTTGAGGGGGCAGACGGCAAGCTGGACATGGTTGTGGTGCCTGACGCGACCTTCTTCGGGTTGTGGTTCGATACGCTGGTGGGTAATATCTTTCTTCTACGGAGAAGCTGGCTTGCTGAGATTCTGTGCTATAGGAGGCGTCACATTATATCAACGGGAATCACCATGCGTATGGGTAGGTAACTCCCTTTCTTTTCCTCGCCCAGTCCACACTTCTGGAGACTGACTTTGGGTCAACAGCTGGGCCATGGGGTTCTTCTGGGCCGGCGTTGTGGCCGTCGGGATGATCAATAAAGCCATCGGCCTATGCATGAGGTCCGACAGGTTCAGCATGCCTGCTGAGTCGGCGCCGTGGCGCTTGGTGAAGCGGACCATTGGACTCCCTGCAACCTTTGGCGTCCGGCATGCACAGAGCTACGGCATCTGGGCAACGGTGCCGCCGCGTATCGAGTCCATCACGATTGCTCTCTTTGTGTTGCTAAATATCGTCCTCAGTGTGATTGGTTATACTTTCTTCCCTGGGAATATGTAGTATGTCGCACCTTTTTCCTATTTACTTCTGCATCGGATCGCCTAGACCTGACGGCTAACCAAGGGAATAGCTATCCAAATGTTAGAGATCAGGTGCTGAGATGGGTAGCCGACCGTACGGGAATCATCTCGTTTGCCAACTTCCCGCTAATCTGGCTCTTCGGGATGCGGAACAACCTCATTCTCTGGCTCACGGGATGGGACTTTGCGACCTTTAACAACTTCCATCGATGGGTCGCTCGTGTAGCGACCGTGCAGGCCATCATCCACTCGATCCTTTACACTATGCTCATCTTTTACAGTATGAATCTAACCTACCATTACCACCTGACCTTCAGGAGTTTACTGGCGGACCTGCTGACCATCTATCTACTAGCTGGAGGATGGCGATACTTCCTTGCTTGGTGGACGCAATTATTTTGGTGGACTGGCGAAATCGTAAGACCTCTTTCCCCGTGCCATGTGTGTTGTACGTCCATGTACTAATAGATGTTGCCATTTAGGCCACTATAGCCTTGAGTGCCCTGATGGGTTTCTCATTTTACTGGCTGCGTAGGAAGCAGTACGAGTTCTTCTTATTCATGCATATCGTTCTTTCCATCGTAGTGCTGGTCACCATGCTTGGGTAAGGATACCTCGTCCCCTCTTATATGATACCTCGGCAAGCTGACATGCCTGCCTACGATGTATAGTCATGTATCAATCTTCGAAGGAGAATACGACGCCCTGGTATGGGTCCCAGTGATCATTTGGATTCTCGATCGCGTGATGCGAACAGGCCGCATCCTGGTCTTCAACGCCCGATTCTGGAATACCCGTGCCCAAGCCACGTTCAACGACGTCACCAATATGGTCCGCCTCGAGGTGCCATGCTCTACGAGCGCCTACAAGGCGAAGCCAGGCACATACTACTTTCTCATGGTGCTGAATAGCTATCAGTTCTGGGAGAGCCACCCGTTCACCGTGGCGACGACGACATCACACGACGGAGGCGAGAAGGACGACGACAACATGGGAGAGGGGGCGCCGCTGCTCGAGAATAGTGACGACGAGTCTCCCGACGCACCCAACACCCCATCAGCTACCGGGACCATGACGCCCAGTATTTCAGCATCGGGGGACACCATGACGTTCCTCATTAGACCGTACGACAGCTTCACGGCGCGACTACGGGATGCTGCGGCAGCGGCATGGCCCAAGCCCGCGACCGTTCGCGTGGCAGTTGAGGGCCCGTACGGACACACTCAGCCCCTCCATCGGTTCGACCATGTATTGTTCATCGTCGGCGGTAGCGGGGTAGTTGTGCCGCTTTCATATCTTCATCGACTGAGGGAGGAGACGCCGCGACCGAAGACGGTGCACATCCACTGGACGGTGAGGGAGCCGGCGCTGGCAGAGGAGGTGCTGCGTCGAGACTTTGCAGAGGCGCTCGGCGGGGAGGGAGACCAGCTGAGGCTGGACGTGTATCTGACGTCGAGCGGCGCTAACGAGGTGCAGACGCTCATGGGCGGCCGCTCGGCTGGCAGCAGTCGTCGCGCGGTCGCTGGAGGAGCTGAGGGGGAGGAGGCTGAAGACAAGGTGGTGCAGTACCATCACGGCCGAGCCGATGTGCGCAGGGTGATGGTGGGGGAATGCGAGAATGCGACGGGCAGCAGCTTGGCCGTCATTTCGTGTGGCCCGAGCGCGATGCAGGACGGAGCCAGACAGGCGGTGGTCCAGGCCATGGGCGTACCCGCTAACAGCTCGCTGCGGATAGAGTACTTTGAGGAGAGCTTCACGTGGTGATGTTTTGGGATGCATTTTACCGATGAGCAGAGCACGCATTGCATAGACAGACTTCTTGCATACATATACACATATTAGAATTTAGCAAAGATGATTTATTCTCTAGTTACGTACACTCCATGGCATGATTAACCTCGGTGCAGGCGTACCCAGACAGAAAATGGAGTTAGTCTGGTACGGACCCGCCCAATTGAGGATCCGTTATGTCTAACCATAACGTTGATGTTCACCAGGCACAGAAACGTTGATGAAGCCAGAGTAAGATGTGGTTATTCTGCCCAAACCCCCATTCTCTTGATGGAGTTGGTTCCACAGGGTTGTCGGCCGTATGATGAGCTCCATGTATATAAGGCCGGCTGCTTCCCAACATTCCTCCGTCTGTCCAGATATTCATAGCTCAATACGTTCGAACTCAATCACTGTTGCACCGTTTCATACCGTTGACATCATCGACCATCACGCATTACAACAACCCCTCTAATCCCCTCTCTGCCCTCTCTCCCCTCCTCTCCTCTCCTCCATGCAATCCATCACAAGACAGCTCGTCGGAAAGAGACTGAGACTACATTCCACCATGTCCACAGAAACAACAATGCAAGCCTGGCAATTCCACGCCCCCGGACCTCTCCAGTCCACCCTGAAGCTCACCCCCTCGGTCCCCAGGCCATCCCCAAGCTCCCTGAGCCCGGACCAGGTCCTCGTCAAGCCCGTCGCCACCGGCATCAACCCTGCCGACTTCAAGGTCCAGGAGCTGGGCCTCATCGCCCGCGCCATCACCGGCTTCCCCAAGACCGTCGGCATGGACCTCGCCGGCACAGTCCAGGCCGTCGGCCCCAACGTCACCACCCTCCGCGCCGGCGACACCGTCGTCGGGCGCGTCAGCCCGTTCAAGGCACCCGGCTCGCTCGCGCCGCTCGTCGTGGCGGACACCGTGGGCCTCGCGCGCCTGCCGGATGGGATCGACCCCGTCGAGGCGGCCGGCCTGCCCACGGGGGCGCTGACGGCGTACCAGACCATCGCGCCGCACGTGCGTGAAGGAAAGGGGGACAGGGTGCTGATCAACGGCGCGGCGGGCGGGGTGGGCATCTTCAGCGTGCAGGTGGCCAAGCTGCTCGGGTGCCGGGTGACGGCGACGGCGTCGACGGGGAGGGGTGTCGAGCTCGCGAGGGAGCTGGGCGCGGACACGGTGATTGACTATCGCCAGACGGACGTGGTGGCCCACCTGAAGGGCAAGGGGGAGGAGTACGACCTGATTGTCGACAATGTTGGCGACGGGCCGGCGGATCTGTTCTCGTCGAGCCGGACGTACCTTGGGGTTGGGAAGCCGTACGTGTTCGCCGGGGGCAGGATGACCATGAGGAGCGTCTTCAACCTGATCACGGCCGCGGTGGTGCCCACGGCGCTGGGGGGCGTCAAGGGCCGGCTCGTGACGTTTGTGGCCAAGGACAGCGCCGAGGACCTGGAGAGGCTGTTAAAGTGGACGGCGGAGGGGAAGCTGCGCATCGTGGTGGACTCGACGTTTGAGTTCAAGGACGCAAAGGTGGCCTTCGAGCATCTCAAGGCTGGACGCGTCAAGGGCAAGGTGATTATCAAGGCAAGCCCTGACCAGTGAGATGGGTGATTGCATCACAAAAAGGAAAGCATGTAATGGATAGATACTTAAGCGACTTAATGTGGATTTGATTTAATTTCATTCTCTATTGAAAAATTCATTCTTGATCGTTCGTGTCATGGACACTCTTGTCTTATGATATCTTTGCTAACTACATGTAAGTAGGTGACTGGTATTGAGAAAATGGACTGGACAAAAATGCAACAAGTGGAAAATCAAAGAAACCAAACGCCGTAAATCCCCAAGAATAAAACCCATCACCTACGCCTGCTTAGCATTGTTCCCAATCGGCGTTGCCACGAGATACTCGAGCGACAGCTTAACAGACTTGCCCGGCTGCAGCGCAACAAGCCAGTCGATGGTGCCCGTCTTGCGCAGATGCGCCTTGGCCGACCCCCACGACTCGTCCTTGTCCTTGCCAGGCTCGCCGGCCGGCTGGCTCTCGGCGCCGACCACCAAGCCCTCGGGCTTGAGGAGCTCGACGCGCAGGCTCTCGTCCCTCGACAGCGGCACCTGGTCCGACACGATGAGCTTGACGGGCGCGTCGGCCGTCGTCCGCGTGTTCTCCACGCGCACGGCCCGCTCGTACAGCTTGATGTCCTCCTTGGTGAAGAAGCCGCTCGTGGCGCGCTTCATACCGGGCTGCGAGTAGCCGACGCGGATGGCCGGGTCGACGCCCAGGCTGAGGGTGATGTGCTCGCCGCTGCCGCACTTGGGGAGCGTCGTGCGCCCCATGAAGCTGCCGTCGAGGGTCACGCCGACCTGCCCGCGCAGGAGGGTGAGCTTGCTCGAGTTGAGCATCTTGGCGCTCAGGTAGGCCGCCGAGCGGTACTTGGGCACGACGGTGTGGCAGAAGTGGATGCTGGAGAAGTTGAGGCGGGCCACGCGCTGCTTGGACGAGTTGGACTTTGGTGCCAGCGTCTTGAGGCCCGGCAGGTCGTACGAGGTGGAGAAGCCCATCTCCTCCACGAGGGATTCTTGGAAGTCGAGCTGCTGGAGGTCTTCGGTGCCGGTTGTAGAGCCGGCCTCGTAAGACGGGACTATGCCATTGCCTGTTGGCTGGTTGAGGAAGTTCTGGATGTTTCTCTGTGGCATCTGCTGTTGCTGCATCTGCATCTGTTGCTGCTGTTGTTGCTGCTGCTGCTGCTGCTGAGCGAGAAGCTGTCGGTGAAGCTGCTGCTCCTGTTGCACTCGCGCGTTGTGCCTGGGGGCAGCCATCTGAGCAGCCATCTGAGCATGGACCGGGTTAAATGAAGCCAGGGCAGCTACTGCCGGCGGCGAAGACGTCCCGAACATCTCGCTCCTGGATTTCTCAACCGAGGCATGGCTCTTCTTGCCCCATGAGGACAAGGGCTTGGCCTTGTACATCTTCTCCTCCTTGCTGTAGAGGACGGCGTTGTCCTCCACCGCCGCGGGCCCTTCCTTGGGTGCCAGCTCGAGGTGCCAGGGCACAAGAGATGGCATCGTCTCCTCAAGGACAGAGAATGCAGCCAGGGAAGTGGAAAGGGTGATCTTGCACTTGTCCCAGGTCTCTGACGTGGTGTTGTGGATCTGAGCATCGAAGCACAGCAGGCCCGTGGCGTTGGTCGTGGAGAGCTGCAGATCGTAGCTGGGCGACCAGTATGCAGACGTCGTCACATACGAGAGCACGAGATCGATGGTGCGCGGCTGCTCGCTGGCATCGGGGGGTGCAAGCTCGACCACCATGTCGACATCGCTGGAGACAGAGCCCCGGCGCGACGTCGTGGGAGTAAAGGCATTGGCGACGAGCTGGATCCGGACCGCGTAGTAGTGTTTGGGCCAGAACTTCTCGTACTCCTTGCGCTTCCGCGCCTTCTCTTTTAGACGCTCTTCCTCCCGGCGGGATTCTTGGAGCTTCGCCTTGGTCTTGGCCAGCCGGATCCTCTTGGCCTCCTGCGTAGCCCGGGCCCTTTCCCGTCGGTGGAGCTTGTCCAGGCGATCGGCCTGATGTCTGGCCTTGGCTAAGGGCTGGGACAACTCTCGCTGCCTTCTCGCCGCCTCGATGCGCCTTGTAGCGAGCTTGTCGCGGGCGCGGCTGACCGAGTCCATGGTCTCCTCCACGTCGACCTTGGACTCCCAATTGAGGGTCACGGTGGTGGAGTCCAGGCTTGCTTGGCGCTTCTCGGCAGCCTGTTCAGATTCCTCCGCTGCTTTGAGAAGATCCAAGAGGTCTTTGACGTGGTTCTTGGCAGCCTGGAGCTCAGCGCTCTCTGGGAATTCGGGTTCATCATCGCTTTCGCTGACATCGTCTTCAGTCTCGTTCTTGGACTTGTCTTGCTCGAATTCTGGGTAGATGTCTTCAAAGATATCTCGATTTGGCAGGGACTCGACAGCAATGTCGGAAATGATGGCCGAGCCGCTGCCCTCGACCTTGATGGACTGCTCATCTACGGTTGGGGAGAGACCGATGATGGTGATCTCGTTGGTGCCTGGGTGGAGTGGGATGTCCTTGAGTTCTCTACAGATCTGAGCACGGCTGGGGAACAGGGTCACGGAGCGGGTTTTCAGATTGCGGACATTGTACTCGGCCTTGGAGATGGACTCCATGGTAGAGGCACAGTTGGGCACTCGGGGAGTGTGTGTAAGGCGATGGCGCAAGTGTGTGATGAGGATGCGGAATCAATGGGAGCTGGGCCTGCCAATGCAGGGCAGCAGAGGCTTGGTGGGCTTAGGATCAAGTTGGACTATAAAGGTATGGAGGAAGAGGGTGAGCGGCGACGGCGATGATGGCTGCAACGACGACAGCAGTGGTGAACAGGCAGCGATGAGTGACTCAAAGGCCAAGACAGAGGTCGAGGGCAAGAGGAGAGGGTAGATAGTAATGAAGAGAAGGGATTATTGTTTGGGCTGAAGAGGGTAGAGAAGCAGGACATGAAGGAGGAGGGAGGAGGCGACTTTATAGATTTTTGCCAGAGTCCAGGCTGGGACTTTCAGTAGACAAGACGAGGGCAGCGAAGGCGAACTATGGGTCTGCCTCACTCAATCAAGTGTGGCTGCAATCAGTCTATGTACGTTTGTGCCACTGTTGAAGCAGTCCTTGGTTAGTTACATAGAAGCTAGATGTTGAAGTGTTCAGATTGAACATGATGGACTCGGGATATGCACATACTTTTTGGACTGATAGAAAGAAGAGTACCGACGTTGGTGGCCTGGAAGATGAGACTGAGAGAGATGAGAGAGATCAAGATGGGAATTGGGGCAGAGCACATCAGGATTGCCTGACGACGACGGGAGGTACGTACCTATCAGACTGTCCAAAAATAGCAGCCGTCTTCAAGCCACGGCTTCCTGTAGCCACAGTTGCCTTAAGCCACAACTAGAATTACATAAACATCAACAGCTCCTCAAGCCACAGGCCAATTAAGCCACAGGATAATAGAATCAAGCCATATGGAGGAGCACAGATTCTCAAGTCATCGATTATCAGCTTAGACCTTTATATATTTGCTGAAAAAGGCAGCAAACAATTATCTCGCTTTTTTTCAATTCACCTCAGCCCTTGTAGCTCTAATGTGTGACGCTTTTAAGTATTATTAATTAGTATAACTAACTTACACCGTCGACTCGTTAAGGCTGGAGCGAGTGACCCCCCCGCGACTGGATCAAGATGCCGTTGAAGCTGAGGCCTTGGAGGCCAAAAAGAAAAAAGAATGAGAGGAAAAAAATTAACACACCTGCTCGGATTCGAACCAAGGACCTCTCTATGTCGCACTTCCCTTGATGTACTCGCACTTCGGGAATACCGACCACGGGCAATATCACCACCCACGAAGGCTATGGAGTACTATGTGCTCAGTAGGTCTTCAGTGGTTGTACATCGCGAGAAGGCAGCACGGAACGCGCTACTCACTGCGCCACAGGGGCATTTGTCAAATTGTTGAATGAAATGTCCGGGGAACTAGTATATAAGGTGTTGGCGAAATGGTTCGCCGGTGTGCAGACAGTCGCTATGGTCAGCACCCATTCCTTTCGTCAACCCAAACGACTACTCAGATTTGGTGTTGCTCAGCTTTCTAATGCTGGGAACATATTCAGAGGCAGATTATTCACTTAATAATAAGTTTCGACCGCGATCTGCTCTCTGCTCTTGCCATGGTCTTAAGCGTGAGGGCATAGAAATACGGACCGTTCGGGCATGCGTATGCGTCTCCTCGAGGTTGGAATTTGATCGTATATTTGCTGCTTGATTATATATCGTGGTCCTTTTGTATGCAACACTTGATTGGGTAAGTCGAATCGAAAAGGTGAAAATGTAGTTGATCGAGCTCCCTCTTCCAGCATTCAGCACTTGGCATCTTGCAACCGCACCAATAAGGGTGCTGTTGTATGAGTTTGAATGCACCGTGTTGTAGTGGATTTCTTTAATTTTCGAACTTCATGTCCAATCAAGAATACGGGATTACGGAACCGGACCAAGGTGGCCAGGGTAACATCACAGCTAGGTTCAAGAGCCTGTCTATGCGACTGCCCGCCAGCTGTCCAATCAGTAAATACGTATTGGGAGTGCACGTCCAGTCCTTGGATGCAATGTCCGTTGTTTGACATGCCAAATACGAGTGCCGAGAGATGCGCGATACTACATTAAGGACCGCTAATACGACAACATGCCTGCCAGCTCCACCAGGATAATTTGCTACTATCCAACAATTGAACAATCTGAGCCCAGACAGTGCTTGGCTTTTCTTATCTATAAAGGAAGAGCCCGCGACGGCAACGTCCTTGGAGTGAACGGCGTCTTGAGTCTTGGATTCAGTTCTTCAAGTCGCGTAGTTTCTGGACAATGTCGTCCCTTCGCTCCCTCGCCTCGCTTTTGGTGGTGGCCAATGTCGCCAAAGCAGAATATGTGTGGCCGACCAAGTACGATCACTTCGAGGACATGCTTGTCATGCACTCGGGCTACCGCCGGTTTGGCTTTTCAGACTGTGAGTCCATCAATAATATCCCATAGCACCAGACATTGGACTAACCGTTGCGACAGTGGTTGTTCCCTGCAGTTTTGGTTCCAACACCGTTGGCAGGCAGACTGCCGCAGAATGGGTACGGACAGCCTTTCATGATATGGCTACTTTTGATCACACGACTGGTGCAGGAGGTCTTGATGCCTCAATCATGTACGAAGTGGGACGTGGTGAAAACGCCGGCACGGCATTCAACAGCACACTCTCCGACATCTGGGAGTTTGTCAGCCCACGCACCAGCGTTTCTGATATGATCGCCCTAGCTCTCGTTGCCTCGGTCGCCTCGTGCGGTGGCCCCGAGGTCCCCCTGCGCCTCGGAAGGATCGACGCAACCGAGGCAGGCCCTGAAGGCGTCCCTGAGCCACAAGATAGCCTTGGGACCATCCAAGCCGACTTTGACCGCATGGGATTGACTACCGAGGAGATGATTGCGCTCGTGGCGTGCGGCCACACTCTTGGCGGTGTCCATAGCGAGGACTTTCCAGATATTACGGGCCCTGAGGATGTGTCTCCGTCCAACGTACCCAAGTTTGACAACACCCATACCCAGTTCGATACCGCGGTTGTGGACGAGTATCTCAACAATGAAGGGATCAACCCACTCGTCTTTGGGAAAAACGACACTACCAACTCCGATAAGCGTGTATTCGCTGCGGACGGAAATGTCACCATGCACAAGCTGGCTGATGCCACCACGTTTAGTTCCACTTGCGCCGACGTCTTCGAGAAGATGATCAACGTAGTCCCCTCGACGGTCACGCTCTCTGAGCCAATCCAGTTGATCAAGGTCAAGCCATATCTCGACACATTCAAACTCAACAGCGATGGAAGCAAGTTTGTCCTAGAGTTGCATGTCCGTCTTCGCTCCACCAAGGGAAAGGGTTATGCAAACCCGCCTAGCTCTGTTACAATCGATGTGTTGGACCGAAAGGGGAACCGCACATCGCTACAGGCTGCGCATGCGACACTCAAGGGCGGACAGTCGTACGGATTTTTCGGCGAAACCTTTGACTGGTATTTACTCTCGACGGAGCTCGACGTAGGGGCTGGTGTTGAGTCTTTCAAAATTCACGTCAGTACCTCTGAGGGCGAGGAGGTCCTCGACAATGGGGGAACGGGAGGCTACCCGTTCAATGATGGTGTTATCTCGGGAACACAATCTTGTCTTGACACTACAGGAACACAGGGAAATGTCACCTTTGATCTCTACAGCGCAGTGCGCAGTGACCTCGTTCAAGACTTGGACGGTGTCCCGTGGATTCGGTTTGCACACAGAATCCCGCAACAGGGAGTAGTAACCCCTAAGATTGTAATCGAAAAGATTTCGATGGCCGAGGTATCCACCAGCGTGGGCGGATATAGATTCTTCAAAGGAAAGGCGACTACACCGTCGAGTGGCTGGAGTACTCGGTATGACCTGGGAATTACTCTGGAGGACGGCAAGGAGGTGACAAGAGAATTTATCCACACCCCCTCTACTAGCTGTTAGAATAATAGAATACATGACCAACGACGTCAAAAGCAACAGCGTGTGTGAATGTTCCTTCACGGTCTTGTCTCTAAACCGGTAGTTGGCTTAAATATTTGTAGTCGTGAGAAAGGCGTATTTGGGAAAATAGGAGAAAGCGGCTGGTCAATATAATATGATGATTCGGGATCCTCATCACGTCGCTTCCTCCCTCAAAGCTGTTATTGGGCTGCCAAATGATATTTCTAGCAGTCTAAATTAAAGTGGAAGAGGACCACCCCTTGATTACCCTCGCCCTTTCCCTCCCTTTAATTGGGCAAGTTCTTTCCCATATGTCCGTCGAAGCGAGTCCTGGGACGCCACTATGAGCATCTGCTGCGAAGAACAGCCAGGCTAGAGTGCTTAAAGGTTATATGCATATTATTCGTCATTAGTTTATCATTAAGATGAATATTCTATACTATGCCGCCGCTTCAGAGGAGATAGTGACCTCCCTCGTTTGCATGATTTGGTTGGGTTTGATCGGCCGGAGCTGGACCTCATCGCTCTCATCTTCGTCAACAGCATTGTTCCTCGTAGCACTGTGCGTGCGCCAGTATACCCCCGAGCCTTGGGTATGCGTGGGTTTGAACTTCCCCGTTCTGGTCCTGACAGTCGTAGAGGCGCCGTACGTCCCATAGTACCTCTGATCGCTGTCGCTCTTTGTGCCGCTCACGACGTGGGCTATCTTGCGCAGCAACGGCCGCAGCGCAGTCAGGGCGACGACTGTGAGCGCTACGGAAATCTCTGAAGCCGTCCACAGATCTAAGTTAAGGCGTGTTAGGCTTGCTTCAGATATCACGGGGATATGAATAAAAGAGGGAGTGGTGGGTATCTTACAGCTCCCAACACTATTTCCTGCCGATACCATTGTAACGAAACGTCCAATGCTCACGCCAATGGTTACCACTCCGAGTCCCAAGATGACACAGAGTCCAATCTTCTCCCGAAGCTTCGGGAGCTTTAGATCCCGCACAAGGGGGAAAGGGAATACGAGATCTGATGGGGTGTTAGAAGTTTATACGATTGATAATAGTAAGGACAAGAGGGGCGTCCATACTGAGAACCTCGGTGCTGAAATTAAGCGCCCAGTGGATGCGCATCATCGTCATTGAATCAAATGCGCGGCAGGCGTCTTCATCAGTAGACCTTGCCGTTATTTGTTAGTGACCAGCCTCACGCTACTTGATATATCATAGTCGGGAAAATCAGGCTCACCAATTGCTGGACACATTCGCGCCGCACCAGAAGGTGGCATCGAAGAAAGTCGCGATGCAGAAGACGGCTGTGATGGCCGTGAGAACATACAATGCGACGCGCATGTGTGGCTGGGTTAGGGGGACAAGCGTCCAGTAGAAAGCGATGATGCTGAATTTTGGAAAGTACATCCCCGTATCGAAGAAGTAGTTGGTTGCAAAGCGAAACTACCAATGAAGAGTTGGTCAGGCGGTCCAGTGAAGGAGTGAGAGAGACATCGCCACACACCTTGAGCGTGCGAACGCTGGGATTGTCATAATTGTCCAACTCGCCGTCCAAATCGGCCATGGTATCGCAGAGGGCCAGCCCTATGGCGCAGAAAAGTCCGACCAGGAGCCAGGAGTCCGCCCAGTGGAGGTGATCTTTGTTCAGCTGTAGTCGAACAAACATGCGGGCTGCCACGAAGATGGTGGCCAACGAGGCCATCACCCATTCTCCCACCTGGATCCATCGTTCGTAATTAGCCAATTATGGTAAATGGTACCTCGGAATGAGCTCGGAATGGCAGGAATGGCTTACAACAACCGGTGTTAAGGCCATTGCGTTGGCAGCATCGAAGTTGCGGGTTGATTTGGGGGCGGCGACAGACCAACAAATCGCTGAAGAAAAAGGAAGAAGAGAAGGGAAAAAGAAAAGAAAGAGAAGGAGCCCACATTGGACCCTATTGTGCAAAAGTAGTCTACCTTGGGTCTTTTTGTGTATGAATGGAATGGATCAAGGTGTATTGATAGCGGCAATGGCCAATTAGCACACACCCATGAGCTCTCTGTCTCATCCATCTGGCAGCTAGCACTAATCTGACACACCCAGAAGCAGAGATGCTAGCAAGCTTCCTTAAACGTGAAGTAAGGGCCTAGTGAAAACGCCATCCGAAGCCAACACTAGCCGCCCGGCTGGAGATTGGCCAATGTGTCTAGGCTGGAGCCAGCTTTCGCCCTGAGGCTTGCAGATGTCCGTGGCGTGCAGCCATGCCGAGCTAGCCTGGCTCCTCGCAGATCGATCCAATCTTGAAGAATCCAAGATCCAGCGATAATCTGCACGTTGGCTTCGCTGCTTGATGTTGACGTTGGAACAGAGCTGGCCTATGGCTTGGCAGAGAGGAACTCCTCCATTTGCCCCTGAATTCCCTCTCCGTTGATCTACTGGGGGAGGGGCTGTGGGAATACTCGATGCCTCTAGATTATTTCTATTATTCACAGTAACTGAATCTTCTCCAATTTTCTGCTAGGCATTCCCCCCTCACACCTCGCTTCAGAACGGCTCAGACAGGGGACTCCTGCGGCCAATTATCCAGGACATGCAGAGGGCTGAGTCGTGATCTGCACGCGAGTCATTCTGCAGACACGAAAACAATCAAAACGGTCCGTTTGCCATCCCCTCGAGGCCCTGAACTGCTGCTTGGAAAGCTAGGGTATTACTGTTAGTGCCGAATAATGGTGGCCTCGCTTAGGCTACTGTTGGGATGGAGCATGATCAGCCGCGCCGGTAAGTCGACAGGGGAAGAACAGTTAGCTCTTACGCTCTCATTCCATGGCAATGGCGACGCCCTTCTTCAGCCTTTCCGCCAAGACATTGATTCTCAAGAGCGCGTGTGACATGCGCCACCTACGATGTTGCGGCCCAAATGAGTTCCACCGGCTGACTAGATGCAGATGTGATTATGGCCGAGCAAGTAGGTGACAGGAGATATGAGTCACCTAATGGAAGAGTTAGCTATAAATAGATTACTTTCTACAATAAAGAGAGAGATTCAGTAGTATAAAATGAAGTAAAGTGAGAATATACACCCCATATTATCTCTGAAATATGTATTATTGGCACTCAATAGTCTGATAATACCAGTCGCAGACTCGAGAATAAGCAGCTTAATGTTTGAATGTTTCAATTTCAATGTCACTTGCCAAGCTAGATGTCAGAGAGGTTGCCTTGGTGCCAATATTAAACCGAGCTGTGAGGCTACAGTAGCTTCCTTTGGTGTATGGAATTCTGACGAGCTTCATACAAACCAGGGCACTGTGATGCCACAATCCACGAACCGCCACCACTCCAGTTGTCGGGCCTGATCCATGTCTACTCTCAGATCGCACTGCTTCCAATAGATCTCAATTGCCTTCCTCATATCGAAAATGTTCCCAATACTTCGGGCGCGGTTCATCTCATCTAATATTTCGAGAATTACCAACCTTTGCTCGTCTTTTCGAGACTCGCAGGCCACGACGAAGAGTGGCCACGGGCTGGATACAGCTTCAAGCTTTGCGTAAGCATCGAAAGCTTGATCAAGATAGCCAACGCGTCTAGCATTATCACCTTCCATAGGGCAGACACGCTGCAGATACAGAATTGCGGCGAGACGATATAGCTCCGCTGTTATCAAGGTCCGACAGCGTCCTGCTGGAGTTGTGCAGAGATTTTCATCAGGGTGAAGACGCTGGTTTAAAGCCTGTAGCCTCCCGTCCAGCCAGACCCGGCTTTCGATACTAGGTTGCAAGCTTTGGTGGTCGGCAGAACGAGAGGTTCGGGACCGAAGACCATTGATCTCGTGAATGATTTCCAACATCTCCACCGAACATCCAAGATGTCCAATGATCTGCTCCTGATATTAGCTTGATACTTCCGTGTAGACCAGACAGACACATACGTAGTTGTCCTCTAACTTGGACCCCTGAATACAGATTGCCCCCACATCATAGGAGGATATATGGGAAGGGTGGGCAAAATTGCCGAGAACTTCGTAGTACAGCAGCCAGGTGAGAAGGAATGTAGAAGGGTTGCGGTGCTGGCACGCAGTTGACATTTGAACTAGGCCTCTAGAGCCATGCAAATGTATATGCCAATTGCCATCATTTTTGTCGAATACCTGAAATACAGTCAACAACACCGAAGATCAAGCGGTTGAGATATATACACATACGCTGTACATGGCAAGCATCAAGCAAGCGGCTAGCTGCACGTCACTAATGTGGTTGTACGTCAGGCTGTTCTGGCCCGATAACGACTCAGAAAGTCGACTTACTGCGTCTAGCTTGTACTTAGCTGCTGATTCTGGGCCGAGGTGATGATAGGCTGATATTGCGAGCATTGCATTGGATAATGCTAAACTCGAAGCATCCCGGCCGGACAATGCCATGGGCAACATCTCATTAGAAAACCCATTGCGCGCACTTGTTGTAGAGACCATGGAGGATATTATAGACTCATCTGATAAGAGTTACCCAAAGTGTTCGTCGTTTTGATTGAGAAGTTTGGTTCCACATACAATAGTCCAAGAGTATGACATCCTGACCAACGATAGGAGCATGGAGTGAGAGGGTGAACTGCGGTCGCTCAACTAAATATTCCTCCCAAAGATTATGGCCGAAGGCATGCCCTTTGCTTGCAATTATGTCAATTTCCCCGAAACTAATGAACTGCCTGCCGTTGCGCCGTTCGAGGGTAGTGTGGCTGCTTGGTGGCGCGTAGGTCAAAGCATCCTGCCGACGCCCGTGTTTATTTCGGCATCTAGGCCATGTGAGTCGCAGGCCATATCCTAGGCAATGTCTGCTTGTTCTAGAACAATTGTTGCAATTTGGTATGTTTCTATCGCAGCCAATCTTGCGTTCTGTTTCAGTTAGCGATATCGGAGAGGGGAGAGGGGAAGAGCGTGGCTTACTTTTACACGTCCAGCATCCGCTTTGGGCCCTCATTTCGTTCTACCAGATGGGTGTTTCCCTTAGAGAGTCAAGATGCTAGGCAGATGTCGCAGATGTCTCTTAAATATCTGAGGTGATTGTTTGCCGATCGCCGCCTTGAGGTGAAGGAGTCATGCTGGGCTTTCAAATGCCGTGATGGTGGTGGGGTGGTTAGTCACAAGGTGTGTGTTCGGCCCGGTCATCTCAATGCTTGTCGCCGATGTATGTCTCAAGAAACAGTTAGTTTAAATAGTGCCTCATTGTGCGTCAAAATTAAAGCTCTCTCATTGACTACTCGTGTTTGCGTACGATGAGCCTGAGTGGTTCTTGACTTCAGCGACTCTGAAGCTGGTCAATCATTTCCTCAGCTACTTGCGGCCTACATAGACGGCAACCAAAAGCCCTCCATCATACGGAGCCAAAGTGACCTTGAAACCATTTTGAGGGTCCTCGACGAAAGCTTTCAAATCAGTGTAGCCCTTGGCCGCAGCAATGTAATTATCCGCTACGACTGTAGCTCCAATTCTGAGTCGAGAGTGAACCAACTTGAGCGCCGGAAGCGCGAGTGGTGTCCAAACTGTTGTTTAATGATATTAGAGAGATGGAATAAGTAAGTGTGGTCATCAGTGAACTTACTGTCAAGCAACAAGAAGTCAATCTGCTCGGGCAGATCGGTCTTCAAGGTCTCCCGCAAGTCACCCTCCCTAAGCTCGATGACCGATTGGATATCGGCCCCAGCCGCCTCCCAATTTGCACGCGCCCTCGCCGCCTTGGGAGGCTCGTTTTCAGTGCCGATCACCTTGCAATCTCGGCCTTCCACCGCGGCATTCTGGCTAGCGGCGAGAGCCAGGTAGATTGTGCTGACGCCAAAGGAGGTGCCGGCTTCGACGATGTAGCGAGCTCTGGTGGACCGGAGAAGCAGATACACCAGCGCGCACTTGTCCGGGTCTAGCGCGACAAACTTGTCTATAGCCGCAGAGAACGGCTGTGTTGTGCTGACAAAAGGCGGCTCGGCAAGCGCCTGAGTGTGAAGGTCCCGAAGAACCTTGATGGTGGCAGGGCTGGCTTCCAGGCTGGCCAGGCCCTCCTCCAGAACAGAGTTGTTGGGCATGATGGGCGGCGTGGGCGATTGAATTTTTGGGCGGGCAGATGTGCAATGATGCTGGGACTGGTGAACCTCTCTCAGGTGGAGGACGGCAGGAGTCTTATACCTGGGGATTACGTGTTGGTGGTTGATGCTTGAGATGGACGTGGGGAAGTAGTTGCGTAATAATGCGCCAGATGACTGAACCATCGGCAGTGGGGTCTCCCGGCAAGAGGAAGGTAAATGCGATCGATGGAACAGGATAAGCCTGGCATAGCATCGGTTAGCACATGAACCAGGACCGGAAAGCCGCAGTGCGGAGATGGGGTATGTGACTCAAAGTCTACGGCATGCCTATCGGAGTGAAACCGGCATTGGCTTGTGACCAATCTTTTCTTGCAGAGAGTATGAATTCTGGTGCAATGCCCACAAATCTATACGAAAGATTGATAAATAAAGGTCCTTGTATGAGGTACCGGCTAATTTTCTATCCTCGCCGAAGCTATTCGGTCCAGTGGGGTTCAGCCGGTTTGATGAGGTCGGCTTCGGTGGTTTGGAGAGCACCAGATGGAATAGGAATTCTCCCAGCATGCATTTTGAAGAGTTTTATATACTGATATTCTCCGGGATGTTATAGTATAAATGAATTTGTTTGAATTACACGCTTCCCAGATGAAAGTCATAGATGTGCTACTGAGTCTGTCTGAGGAACTTTGGTATAATGAAGAATTGGCAATCACAGCATGAAAAAACGAGGGCAGTTGATGAGATGTTGAGATTTATTCTGTAAGTTGAGATGTGCTGGCACCAAGTAGAACCCCATAAGAGATTAAGTGAATCCTATACCGGTTAAACTTGCGACATGATTGTAGCATTAGACGAGAGTTGTAAGCGATACATGAGGAGAGAGTCCTTATTTTGTGAAAAAGAAAGCCCCCGGAGAAAACGCACTTAGGCTTCTTTATCAGGCCACTCGTAATCTCTCAGAGCATATTTATCCCCGCTGTTAAAAGAAGTGACGAAAAACCTGGGAATAATCTCCATCATTCTGCTCCAAGAAATGAAGGCGAATATCTGGTTCCGCAGCCAGATCCCCCATTCTGTCTGCGGTGCGAGCACACCGGGAATCAAGGGAGGTATCTTTTGCAGATCATCAATGATGGGCCGCATTTGCGTCTCATAGGCCTTCAACGCGGCGGATATGTCCCTCCTGCTTCTCAGGTACTCGCCGGCTAGCACATAGCCACCGACCATGGCAAGAGATGTCCCTGCACCAGTCGGGCCTGGAGCATACCCCGAGTCGCCGACTAACACAAAACGACTCTTGTGCAGGGTTGGAGGTTTGACCTGCATAATCTCGTTCGCGTAGAAATCCTTGGACGCCATCATTTCGTTGAGGATCTCTTCTGTTTTCCAGCCAGCACCCTTGTAGTGCTGAGAGATGAACGCCTTGAGTGCTGCGTCCCCTTGCTTTTGAGCTTCACGAAAAGGTGGCATGGCATCTGCATCATCGGACCTATTGATTCCAAGAAGGGAGATCCGGCTTGAACTAGGCGAATCGGAGCCGACGGCAATAAAACGACCCCCGGGGGCGCTATATGCCTGTCCCATCTTCAGATCAGGGAGGATGACTTTCTCGATGGTGAAGACAGCCGCCCAGCAGTTTATTGGCTTGATGTGGTCTCGGACGCCGCACCCAAGACCAATGGCCCTTGTCCTTGATGTTGCGCCATCGCAGGCGACGACGAGGTCATATTCCGCACTCGGCAGACCGTTGGCGAACTCGACGGTGACAGCCTCATCCTCGTCCCCCGTATGCTTTATCGAAGCCACCTGCTCGTTAAAGACATACCGGATATTCTTGTCATCCTTTGTCATGTCATAGAGAACCTGAGACAAATCACCACGGAAGATCTCGTACTCGGAGACGAGAGACTGCTTATCAGCATTGCCAGTGGGTTTAATGGTGCCGAAAGGACGCCCGTCGCTGTGGACGAAGCTGAACCCTTCATAAGGCAGGGTCTTGGCCCGCACGGCCTCCTCCATCCCGGGTATCTTTCGCATGACGGTGACGCCCACGGTGCGTATGTCGACATTCTGCCCGTTCAGCCGCAGCTGGGGGAAGCGTTCTATGATAGTGACGCTTGCTCCGGCCTTGGCGAACCAGTAAGCTGTCATGGGGCCGGCGATGGAGGCCCCGACGATGAGCACCCTGTGTTGAGACATTGTATGTGGTTCTTGTCTTGCTGTGAATGGTGTGTATAAGTCGAGACCATGGAATACTATGTGCGAGAGTGATGGTTAAATAGACGGCATCGAGAATGCCCAAAATCGAGACGGCTGATTCTTGATTGGTTCTTCGGGAGGATCTGAGATCATCTCGGTCGTCCCACTCCCGATCGCTCGGTCGTCTTGAGACCCGAGCTCTGGACCAATCAGAGGTCAGATTTCCCACCACCCACCATACCCCTTCATGCCTAGAAAGTAGATATAGAAAGCTCGGAGTGGGTTTCAGAAAAAGAGGATGGGTTATAGAGAGAATCACTCCTGTTGCTTTCCATGCGCCTGATAATCTTTCAATAATTGATCCCAAAACACCCAGTCGGACAAGTCAACGTCTATGCCATTGCCCCCATCCAGGGCCATGGCATCCAAAGAGTTGTCAGAGGAAGTATTTTCAAAACCTCCTGTCAGAGACGGTATAGATTTACAAGTAGGTGCTGAACCTCCCGAAGTTCCTTCAGTACTAGGCATCTTTGAACTTTCACGAGTTTGAACCTCGGTTTTGCGTGACGACCGTAACGATTTGATAAAATCCGGTTCCTTATTCTTGGAGTTGCTTAACTGGTTGGCATCCCAAGCCTTGAGGGTTAAACGTCCAAAGGCTACGTGCAAAGATTGTTTTGGCTTGAGAAGATCCGGATGATTGGCGTAGACTTGTGACACCCGGGTCCAAGCACCGTCAATGTCCGCCAGGGCCAACCATCCAGCCCCTTCACGGAGGCTTGTCAGGGTATAGATGAGGGAGTCCCACGAGCCCCAGAGGAAGAAGGGCTTCACGTGCCAGAGATATCTGCCTAGGCTTGCATGTGCATATGCAGCTGCATCTGTATCAAGAATCTTCTGTGATAACTTGAACATTTCCCTCCGTTCAGCCTCAGTGGCGGTATTGTTCCTCGCTTTGGGGAGGCGGATCCGAAGTCGCATCGCAGTAATAGCTGATCTGATCGACCCGACGGTTAGAAAGTGTAACGGGTTGAGAATATCGCAGTATCGGATGTATTTCTCCTCAACCGCGCTCTCTGCCTCGCTTATGATCCTCTCTGCTTCGTCGAAACCCTGAGCCTGGTGTGATCCTGCGGGCTGGAGCCATCCTGAAGTTTTGGCCAGAAAGCTGCCCACGGTTGATCGAGCCATGCAGAATATCATATCTGTCGCACCCTTCTGCTCTTGTGGCTTTTCTGTCATGCCGGGCCAGATCTGGTCGTCGTTGATATTGAGAGGAGGGAGCGTATCCCAATTATCAGGCACGGCAGTGATTCCCGTTCCAGAGAGTTGGCTTGCAATTCCTTCAAGGGGCAGCAGCTGGAAGAACAAACGGCGTCTCATCTGAACTTCAAATGGTGGGAGCCCAAGTTTCTCCCCGTCTCGGTGAAGCCCAATGCGTTGCCCGATTCGGATTGCCACGCCAGTCAAGATCCAATATGTGGAAGGATCATAGAAATAGCGGCATGAAAGTAAGAAGAGAACCAATGCCTGCAGTACAATCATCTCGGTAGTTCTTAGAAATGATGCATTGACCAGCGCTTGTCTTGTAACGAAGTGGTACTCCTTCATTAGTTTGGACCGTGGCTGGCCCAACCTCTCAAAACACTGGCCATCATTCATAGAAAAGACAGCAAAGTGATAGATGGCAAATAGTAGGCACTCCTCATTCTTTGACGCTGTTGAGGGATTTTGTGATACCCTCTCTAGCATCTCAAAGGTAGAGGGAATATGAAGAATCTTGCAAATGGGCTCCACGTTCTCGGCATGGGCCTTCCACATCATCATCGCATTTTCGTGGGTTGGATGATACTGGAGAAGGCTTTGCTGAGAACCCAGAAACGCTCCACTCAGAGGATCCGATATGTTGTCCCCAATGCTCAAATGAACGTTCATACTTTCATCTTCTTCGGCGTCCTGTAATTCGTATTCCTCATCATCCCCTGATCCTTCCCCGTTGGAGGAAACATACGCAATCTCCTCATCCCCCAGGTCGTGCCAGAGATTGCTATCAATGTATCTCGACTTGCCCTTACTAGCGACTAGTTTTCCAGTTCTGGGGGTTCCGTTATCGTCCCAGCGGAAAGAGGCTACTTGATCTCCTATTCTGGTGATCTCCTTAACGGATGGGATGGCTGTTTCGTGTGCCTCATGTGGCAACAGGCCGTGCTGGCGCAGGATAAGTTCATAGCGGGCGAGTCGCTGGAGCACATCGCGCGTCACCCTTCGCTTCTGCGCGCGCGGGACCGGTGCCTGATAGAAACAGTCTAGTCTACTCTTGCGGCAGCTGGAGCAAGCGGGTGCTACTTTGTCGCATCTGACCTTGCGTCTTGCACATGTCTGGCAAGAATAGGCCATCGTACTCTTGGAGGCATCTCCATCAGTGGAGTGCCCTGCAGGGGCTGGAGCGATAGAAACAGGTGCGTCGTATGTCGGGGTTATTCTCGTCGACATTCTGGATACATGTGCCGCGTAGATGCAAGGGTCGGTTCCTTCGCTGTGCCTGTGGGTATATCATTACGTTTTCTAGTGCATTGGAGAACAGAGACTCACGTCATGGAGGAAATAAAAGGCTGGCGGGAGGTTTGCTCACATTGGAAATATTACGTAAGGTCTTGTAGGCTCCTTCAGCGGAACTTGCCCTGAATTCCATCTTTTAGGTTCTTACAGTTTACAGTGTGCATGTGTGGGCATTTTGGTTCTCCTATTCTCTACCTCGTAGTTTTATCCCTCCACACCTCTATACCCTTCCTCTAAATTAATACACCCATATTTAGCCATAGATATAATGTACAGATTCCACCAATAGTCAACTTATTCACAAAACCTCCATGCGCTTCGGACGTTTCCGGGATTCAACCAAGCTTGGCTGACCAGTGGCTCACAGAGAACTTGGCGCCGCTGCCAGAAATGGGCTCTGTACCGAATTGAACAGCTGCAGGAACAACATTGTTAGCAAAAATGTCGGATTTGGAGGGTTGGTTGAAATTGGTAAGACATACTCAGAAGATGCTGGCTATCGGCAGGGAAGCCGCGCATGTCCTTGACAACATAGAAGAAGTCCATGATTTCCCCGTCGAATGAGTTCAGCTGGCTGGGGGCAACAAAACTGTACACCCTCATGGCTCCGTTGTAGCCGTCCCAGAGCTCCCAGTCGCGGCCGGCAGCCTTGACGGTGCCGATGGGGCTACCGATAGGTGTGAGACCACCGAGGTTGGCAAGCCTGTTCAGATTATTAGCTTTTGTCGCTTCATGGAAGACGGAGCGAAGACATACCAGATCATAACCTCATAATCGCCACTGCTGGTAGCGTGGTTGGGGTCAGCTGCCGTGAAGATGTCGTAGGCAACGTCGGCTCGGATGTTGGAGCCCGAGTAGCTCCATTCGGCCCCAGTGGAGATGCTGCCAATGCTGGTGACGATCTTCTTCTCTGGGAGGTCAAGTCCAGAGTAGGGGTAGCTCTTGATTTCGCTCTCAGAACCAGACCAAGTCCAGTCAGAATGCCACGAGACACCGCCGCTGGAAGTGCTGTCGACGTAAGTGCACTGATCACCAGTGCCGGTGGCGGCACCCCACTCGTTGTTGTTGAAGTTGTACCCGTCGCGGCTCAGGTAGGCATACTGGTCGCACAGGGACTCAGCCATTGCCAGGGGCAAGACGGCAGCAAGATAGGCGATTCCGGTCTTCATTGTGGGTGGTGATTAGGCGCAGAGTAGAGAGTGCGAGAGTTGATTTCGGTTTGGTTGGGTGGTGCAGAAGAACGACTGTCCATGAGCTTGGGGACTTGGTCGTATTAATCCGTTTGGCTGCCTCCATACGCCTCTTGAGATCGGCAGGCAGATCTTCAATGCGAGTGGTTCGGTACCGATTCCTGAAACGCAGCTGAGTCGACTTGCCTATGTGAGCCATTCCGGCGTTATTTTTGGAACGGTGGAGTCTTCCTGAGTCCTCAAACAGCAGCGATGGATGCCGCTAATTTGAAGCGCGATCCACCACGTACGGCACCACATGCCGGTTTGCCCGTAAATAACCAGTTCGCGCTTTGCTGCTCGTAGCCCGAGATGGGAAATACGAGTCTATCTTTTTAGGAGGTCTCCATTTATAGATATTTGGGAATTACGATCTCGCTGCAGAAATCAGTGCTCGGAGGTTGGATCTGATAACCGGCTACGACGCATATTCCTGCTAATGATATACCCCTGGTACTGGTACTGAAGAAAGAAATAGCGAGAGCTGGGCCTTACCAAGAGATGGTTCTTTCCCAATATATGCTCGCGTTCGTCGCCTTGATCCTGCGAGTTTATGCGCCGAACGCTGGGATCGCATGGTGCGGTGCTGCAATTTCCATCCACTATGCCAGGGCAAGCTGAGCCGGGGGCACCGGGCCTGTTTGACATTTCCTCTAACCATGTGTTTAAAAGTGGCTTTGGGAAACCAGCCAATTGCAGAAAATTGATCTTAGCAGTAATCTAAGCAAAGCTTTTGTGGTGCTATGGTGAGGTTGATGAGGGTAACGCTTGGGAATTGTTTATTCGTAGTTCTCCATTGGTTCTCCTTTGTCTCATGTCTTTCTACTCCCGCAACGACAACTTTCTTCCGGGCTTGTGATGTAATTGTTCCATCTGGAACCAGATAAAACAGCTTCTAAGGAGGATTTTGGCTCTCCCGTTCCTGCTCGTTTCTCCTTCCGTTTCCCCACTACCAACATCGGTATCAATTGGTTCAAAAGCGCATCAATCCCTCTTGCCTTTTTAAACAATTTCCAAGTCTCAAGAATGTAGTGATAGGCGATGGGTTGACTATGTTTCTCACTAGAAGCCTGAACAATTAAAGTGTGATAAACCTTCCATGATTTTCTAGGCCAGTAGTCCCAGTTCTCACCGCTCTGTATAGATAATCCCCTTGTATTAAAAACAAATATCATTCACCCATGAAGTTGCGTTGGTCTCGATAAATGGATTTTGTCTCGCACTGCCTAGCCTCCTCATATTCGGTGTTGATTCGGGTTGGAATTACATTCTCCAGACTTCAGATACACTGCCACATGCACGACATAAACGTAGCACACCAAGGCCCACATACCGACAGAGATCTCGGAGCAACTAAGAAAAAAGAAATACTAGATATTATGATGATGCATCATACGCAATCAGTTTCCATTTACTTGTTGTGGTTGCTATCATTGTTGTTGTGGTTGTGTTGTTAATCTAGGCACAGCTGTACAGAGGCTGAGCATGAGGGTGTCTCTCAAGTTGTCCACCAACATAAATGTCAACATTGAGGGCCTGCCAAGACTGTAGGGCGCACATTCGGCAGTTTTTGGCACCAGTGCGCCCTGTGACATGCGCTAGCGTTGGCCGTCGAACATGGAAGAATGTGGCCTGCATATTACTTACTACATTACCCCGGCGTTATCGGCCACCAAAGCTGACACCCAGATAGGTTGTGCAGGATGCCGTATGCAGCATGACAGCATATATATATATTAACCGGCATCTAGCACTGGCAGATTGATTTTGTAAAGAAAACTACATCCGCGCATGTATCTTAACCCATTCCATAATCTCATTCATCTACCATTAGACAACACAACTCAATGGATTCTTCGCAGCAAGTAACCTATCGCACACACCGCCCAGGAGACTTGGGCTACATTGTCTACCAGGAGAGCCTAGTCTTTTGCCAGGGACTCGGCTACAACCAAAAATTCGAGGCCCTGCTCGCCAGGATCGCTGCAGACTTCCTTGAGAATTTCAACCCCACCAAGGAACGCTGCTGGATTGCAGAAAAGGGAGGCTTATTCATGGGATGCGTGATGCTCATCCAGCACCAAGAACTCGAAAAGGCGGCCAAATTGCGGTTCCTGCTAGTGAGCGATAACGCACGAGGCCAAGGTGTTGGTTCAGAATTTGTTCGTCAGTGCCTCGGCTTTGCAAAAGAAGCAGGCTACGAGTCCGTATATCTGGGGACGGAAAGATCACTTGTTGCCGCTCGGAATATTTATAGGAGGGCGGGGTTTGAGATTGTCGAGGCCGAGACCAACAGCGAATGGGGTTTTCAAACTGACCTTGAAACATGGAGACTTCAGCTTTGATGGACTACGCAAATAGGTCCATAGAGCACTAGAAGACAACGGCTGAATATAGCATTCCAGGCAAAATTCACTCTCTATGTTTTCTGCAGCGTATCAGGGACAAACTCTCGTCAATATCAATCAATGAAACCCTAGCCCGCGTAGTTGTTGATTGATACATGTAGTTAATACTAGCCACTACTTTGTTGACTCACCCATCTAGGCGTTTTGTGAGCGGGACGAACTAGTGGGCTTTATATTTCTAATGAGCTTCTTCACTTGGTATTCATATCCCCGCCAGCTTCTGCCTCTTCCCTTGATGGTTCACCAAGCAACATGACTGATATTAGCAAATTGACCAACACATTCCAACGGGAACATGACTCATCCTTATGCTGAGAAAGTGAAGAATGGATAATTCATGGGAAATCTTGCAAAGATTTTGCTTCTGCAAACTGCAGTTTGTTTCTCGGCATAAGATGATATGATGGCAAATTCCCGCTCGGAGATAACAGGTTGCTAGCAAGGATAAGACGGATTGATAGAAAGAAAGCTGACCAACACATTATAGCAGGATTTGGCACGGTTTGGGCACACCTCTGATATCAAGTAGAACACATTATTATACAACGGTGATCCAACGCAACGGGATGTGCAATATGGAAAAAGCCGTGTTCATTCCGACGAAGTGCTCGGCGTTATCCAGTTTGGGCAATATCCTGCATGGATCCAACTTTAAGAGACGGCTTTCGGAATTGGTTGGCCATGAAAACCTTTAGACTGTCCCATAACCGGGATTAGCGCTTGCTCCTCTATCAGATTATACAGCTCTTTGGTATGTAGTGATCAGTAGTTCATGCGGCAGCAAGATCGTACCAAATCACGCGACCGTCCGAGAAGATCCGGCTGGTCCAGCAAAGAGTCTTCCGGAGTAGATCTAGGCTCTAGCCCATCTGTACAAATATATACTCCGGCATCCCAAGACGGCGTTCGCTGCTACTGATTCAATTGCTCTCAATCCACTGAATTGGCTCCCAAAACCTTCTCCAATTAAGCTGAATATGACCCTCACCTTCAATAAAGCACTTGATCAAATCCGCGGGCGGCCCTGGGTTGCCGCAGCCGTTGGCCTGTCTCCTCTGGCGGTATATGTATACCGTTCATATTGCGATTTCCATCGCCTCGGGCCTAGCGGAGTCCCCCAGAGCTTCCTCGGCTACCTGTTCCAAGCAAGCGCAAGGCCCTGGGCAGACCTGAACAGCACCAACCCGGCGCCATTCAGAGACCCCAAGGCCATCACGGACTACACGGCCCCCTACGACAGCTTCCGCGCCTTTGCTGAGGACGCCCTCCCGGCACGCCGTGGTGACCGGCCCACGGTGCCGTCGTACACGGTCCCCCAGCGCCAGACGTCCGAGGTGGCCGACGTCGCCCTCATCACGCGGATGAACGCCTGGCTGCTCGCCCTGCAGGACAAGAACCCGGGCCTCCTCGCCTACCGCAACTCGAACCTCGAGCACCGCGACAGCCCCTCGCTGTGGCTCAAGGTCGGGTCGGTGCCCCTCCCGTCGTGGCTGGCCAAGAAGACGCGCGGGGAGATTGTGCACGTCCACAACGAGGGGAGCTCCCACATGGTGCTGAGCGTCGCCGACGCGGACCTGGCCACGCGCAAGGGTTGGGCCCAGCGGCATGCGTTCAGCGGGCGGTTGGGCATCCTGCCCCTGACCTACGTCCTGATCTACGCGCCGCGCGACGAGGCCGAGTTTGAGCAGTGGAAGGAGTTTGTCAAGGCGACCGTCTCTTTCACCTCGGCGGGCTCCGGTATTGAGGCTGATTATGATATTTGAGGGTGATAAACCAGAAAGGAATGTATTTTTATTGTTTGAAAACAGGCTTGAAAGAGGATCAGCAGGCGGGTGCATGGATACAGCAGTAATTTGGCAGGCCGCTGGGAGAGGCAACGCTTGAAGAGGACGACACCTCCCTCCCTTCTCTCTCTTAATATTACATGTTTTAAATCACTGTCTGTGTGCTGAGTCTGATACTAGAGACTTGATACTAGAGAAAGGAAACTATCATGCCGCATAAATTATTGCGAACGAGAAGCGGCGAGTTCACATCATGCTGCCAACCCCTGTAATATTGCCTGCAGCCCTGGAAAAGCAAATTGTTTATTGCATGCCCTTATTTTACACAGGGTCCAACGCCAGAAAACCGCCCGGGATATTCTCACAGTAAATCACGAGACGGGGAGAAAAAAATAAATAAACAAATGGGCAAAAGCTGTGCGACGTGGAAATGACTGATCGTCCGCCCGGGCATCACACGAATGGGCTTTGGGCAACCCTCTGACAGCTAGTCGCATACGGATAGCCGTCCATGCATAATCAATGCGTTGTATTTCCTCGATATCGCCAAGTTGCAGCATCCCATCGTACGGTTCACCTTTACACCGCAATTTGATCGCGACAGGAGCAGCAGCAGCGCGGCGCCTCTGCTGTCCGTCACCACCATGGGCCACGTCTCGTCAAAGCTGCGCAACAAAGTGGCCAAAGTCCGGTCCATGATCAAGATCCTCAAGGAGATCTCGACCGATTTCGAATATGCCCTCAACCGCGCGTCGGACTCGCCCGGCATCCCGAGCAGCAACCCCACGGAGCCCTACTGGCTCGACGATCCCCCGTACCCAGAGCTGACCAACATCCAGAGCAGGCAGCGTCTGCCGGATTTCGTCGACGTCGCCATCATCGGCTCTGGGATTGCCGGTGCGTCCATCGCGCGCTCGCTGCTGCACGAGCGACGCCGCCGGGGGATTGATCTGGACAAGAAGGTCGTCGTCTTTGAGGCGAGGGATCTGTGCAGCGGTGCTACGGGTCGGAATGGCGGCCACATCAAGCCCTCTCCCTACGATACCTTTGCACAATTATCTACGTTCATGCCCAAGGACAGGGCAGCCGCCCTTACTAGATTCCAAGCCAGTCATGTCGATTATCTAATCGAGCTCTGCCGTGAAGAGGGGATTGATATCGCCGAAGCCAGGGAGGTGGAGACGGTCGACTTTTTCGTCGACGAGGAGATGTTCCACGACGCAGTGGGAGATGTGGAGGAGTCCAGGAAATGGCTGCCCGAGGTGCAGGTATTCGAGTGGGAAAAGGAAGACGTTCTCCAGGTACGTGTGCTCATTCTATTCAACTATATCCTCCCCTTTGAAAGCGTAACCAACACACTCGACCAGCAATTCGGCGTCAACGAGGGCGTGGTGGGAGCCATATCCCAGCGAGCGGGCACCATCTGGGCGTACCGCTTCGTCGTCTCCATCTGGAAGCAGCTGCTCGAGGAATTCCCCTCCCAGCTCATCATCCAGACCAACACGCCCGTCACCTACATCTCGGCTGGCCCCTCGGCCCCCGGCTTCCCCTTCGCTGTCCAAACCCCCAGTGGGGTCATCCTGGCCCGCCACGTCATCCACGCCACCAACGCCTTCGCCAGCGAGCTCGTCCCGGGCCTGCGGCGCAAGATCACCGGCGCCAGGGCTCACATGTCCTCCCAGAGACCGGGGGACGTCTTCCCCGAGACCTGGGGCCAGCGCTCGTGGAGCGTCATCTACCCGGGCGGGTTCGACTATGTCACCCAGCGGCCCTCCGAGATTGACGGCGACGTGCCTGGGGATATCCTGCTGGGCGGGGGGTTCCGCAGGTCGGCCAAGAGTGGCGTAGACCAGATGGGCGTGTACGACGACAGTGCGTACCCCAAGGCCCTGGCGGCGTCGCACATATCGGGCATCTTCCCCTCCATCTTCCACCCAAATTGGGGCTCCGGGGGAGAGCTGAAGAAGGTCTGGACGGGGATTCTAGGCATGACGGGGGACCGGCTACCATTGGTCGGTCGTCTTGATGAGGGGCTGACCACCAGGATAATCGACCAGCAGCACAAGACGTCGGAGATGGGCAGGACGAGCCCGGGCGAGTGGATCGCGGCGGGATACTCGGGTGAGGGAATGGTGTTTGCCTGGCTCTGCGGGGTTGCTCTTGGTATCATGGTGGCTGGGAGCGAGGATGAGGATATTCCACAGGCGCCGGGACGCCCAGGCGGCATGCTTCAGGATTGGTTCCCGGCAGAGCTCCTCATTTCGCCGCAGAGGTTACGACAGACCGATGTGTCCCGTTTATTCCAAGGGGAGTGAGGGCGGATATGGATGATGATTTGCTTTCTGCGAAAGGGGGTTGCTATTTATACCACGTGAAGGGAGCATTTGTAATAGTTGGAGCACAAAAGGCCAGGTCTTTGCTTTTCGAAATTTCAGCTAGCTCACGATTAATGAAGAGAATTTGAAGATGACACCATGTTGTCGCTGTAATTTGCTTCACCGTAGAAAACTTAATGATACACGGATGTTCAAAGGCAGACTTGGGTATATGTCAGCAAACAAGTTGCTTATTACTTCTTCATCAGGGCTCTTATATCCTGTGGACTGTTCAGAAATTGACCAGAAAATTCAGAAAAGCTCGAATGCTATTTCGGTTTTCTCTTTGATAACTACTCTCAGAGATTGTTCGGAATGAAGGAAAAATCGCACAGTAGCATGGTTAGGGTCAGCAGATTACTATCCAGAACCTACCGAGATTAATCGATCTTTTTGGTAATGCCACCCATAGAGTCTACCAGAACCTCCTTTTTCTTGGCTTATCTTTGTCTTAAGGTGGGCATACAAACTGTATGACCAAAGCCCATACATTTACGTACTCATCTACAGGATATCTAGGATCATTCACTACTAGAGTCATCCAAAGTGCGCTTCATCGTGCTTCAAAAAGGCGGACGTAATCAAGAATCGGGAATATTTTGAAATGGTGATACAACAAACTTATATTACATAGTTCCCTCGTTCCCCCTACTGGGCATACTCACGAAGCGGAACCTCTGGCCAGCCAGCAGGCGGCTGGGTGGACGCAAATTTAAAAAGCTCGGGCAAGATGTCCTTATGGACCTGCTTCGATCTCACCCCCAGATGCGGCGCAATACCACCGTCGCAGTCCGAACTCTCCAGCACATCAGCTGAGCCGAGGTACGTCTTCTCGTTCCTGAGAGCATCAAAGATGATTTTGTGGCTCGCCGGGTCCCACAGCAGCGTATCGTGGAGGATCGGGCGCGGCAGCTTCCAGTCCGAGAGTCTCTTGGAAGCACACACCTTGAACAGGTCAATGTTTTGGGCAAGCGGCCCATCCAGCCTCCAGGCGTCGCTGCAACCGAGCCAGCCCTCGCCGTAAAAAGCAGGCTGCACGAACGGATCCGTGCTGCTTCCGATGCTGGTAGTGGGGACGTGGGCTCTTGTGCCGCCAAACTTGGCGAGTGTTGCGAGGAAGTTGGACCAAGGGAGCTGCTGTACCACGGCGGCAGAGTACATCCTCAAGTAGTAGAGGGGAACCATCATCCAAGAACCGCGATGCGACCCGCCCAACGAGATGTGGCGCTTGACATTGGCACGAGTCTCGGGGAAGAAAGTCAGAGTCCATTGAGTGGTCAACGAGCCGGCGGACCAGGAGATGATGGAGATGCGAGCATCATGCTCACTTGCGATCTTGTTGATGGCGTAGCTGACATACTCTGCATTATGCTGGATGTCGAGAAAGAGTCTTTTTGGGACCTCGAGATAATAAGGCTGAAATCCTTCTTGCACGAGAGGTGATAGTAGAGTGTGGTCCCAATTGATCTCTGGGCTGTTGACGCTATGATGAGCACAATTGAAGTCTCCATCGTATCAAGGATCATAACTCACGTCATACCGGTGCCATGAACGAGCAGCACGACTTCTTTCGCCTCTGGAACCTCGACAGGGCGGGAGATGGCTTGATCCAACGAGGCGACATCTTCTTTCAGGGCGGGATCACTCCCCGTTGGTACGGCGGTTTCCGCTGCTATCGGGATTGAGCCTCTGCGCGGAGCAACCCAAAGGATGGCAATGGCCAAGACGACGCCCGAAATGAGTCTCAGGCGGGTCGTCATACCGAGATTTGGAGCCGCAGGCTCACCACGTTACGACGCTGCAGAGCCACCGAGTGAGGTGAGAGAATCAGGAATGTGCGATTGGGAATGGGCGACTCAGGCGCTGTATCCCGTCGGAGCAGCCGTTTACCGACTAGGATTAATTATCTGACGATAATTATCGTGTCGCGTGGACCGTGGCAGGCGGACCCCTGTTCAGGAAAAGGGAAAGGCCGGAATATATATAGGATTCCTGACGCAATTCCAGGCGGAATTCGGGACTTCTCTCCTCGCTATTCTCCTGTCGGGACTCATTCTGTAAATCGATATTAATTATCAATCTGCGTCTTAATTGACGACTAGATTGCGCGGCTACAAGCCGGCGAAGACAAGCTGGGAACATCCAAGATAATTGAACGGGGCTCCGGGGTGTCCCGGGCTCCGCCCTTCGTTAGCATATCACGCCCAGCTGATTGACGAATGAAGGGATTCTAGTAGGGAGGGAAGGGAGGAAATCCAATGCTTTTCAGTGATATTACTGATACGGTTATGAACATAAAAAGAAGCAGACCATTGCCTAATCCCCAACTTTCTCCCATCTTACTTCAGCAGCTTCCAGGATCCCGTCTCGGACCAGAGACGAGCATACCACTGGTGAAGCTCCTCGATGTGAGGGGGCATGGGGCCCTTGATACCTTCGACCTTGCCCTCACTGGAGAAGAGGCAGCTTCTGAGGCCAAGCTCGACCTCGCCGCGCACCTTGTCGACGGTGGCGCTAATGGTAAAGAGGCCGTCTGAGGGACGGAGGGCGCGATTGTGGGGAGAATCGCCACAGCGCACAGTGATCGAAGTCGGGGTCTTCTCAACAACCTCAAAGTGGTTCATGAGCTGAGTTCCCTTGTCATAGTTGCTGGTGGCAAAGTCTTCCTGCTCCCAGAGCTGGTTCTCTGTCTCTGGGCCGCGCCACTTCCATGCGAGATACTTGCGCTGGACAGCAAGGCCTTTAGGTGAAGTTGTTATCAGTATGCTAGCAGAAGCAGGTTTATATGAGGGGGGAGAGGTGAGATGAAAAGAGCGAATATGGTGATACCAACGGAAGTAATAACATAAGCCGTCCCATAAAAATAATCACAGAATACGAACAACACAGGCGTCAGTGAAACCGAAGAACAGACAAGACATACCATATCCGCTCCAGACACCACGGCAAAACTCGAGGGCCAGAGCGCCGTTATTCTGGAGCAGCTCGGGGCGGACCTTGTCCAGAGGAATGCGCTTGATGCAGATATCCTGCGTGGCGGGGTTCCGGTTGGGATTGTGCGACTTGTACAGCCTGGAGCTCCAGATGGGGTCTGACGGCGAGAGGGGCGAGATGACGGGGTTCTTGGCCGCGAGATACGCGCAGGCCGTCGAGGTGCCCAGCAGGCCCGTGAAGATGGCTTTGCGGATGATGCCCATGGCTGCTGCGTCCGGCTGGTCTGGGGGCCTAATTGGGCTGCAAGTCTGGCGCTGGAGAGGGATGGATTGGATTCAGATTGCGATATCCGCGCATTTCTCAACCAAATCTAGATCCCAGACCTTATCCTTATCCCAGCCTCCCCTCCATCCAATCCGCCACACCTGATTTGCGTGCTTTTGGCGCGGATCAAAGTTGATCCATTTCGGCGGTTTTCCCGATGGCACCATTTGAGTGCATAAATCTGTACTTTTTTGTGCAGTAAAACTGCACAAATCTTATGCGAGGAAAAGAGGCTACCCTATAGCCATTGACACAACGCCTACCTGAAGGCTCGCATAGATAATGTAAACTCAACGTGTGTCACTTTGTGTGCACAATAGTACGATCAATAGATTGCTCATGTTTTACTATGCACCGTAGAAGGCATGGCTGCCTGCAGACACTAAATATCAGTTCAACGGTATACAGGAAGTGAGGATCGAAACAAGATATTTTTGTTTGATGAGTTCGTATTCTTCATTGCAGTCACAAATAAAGTTACTGTAGAGCTAAGTCTTTGTTTTACTAAGCGCCTTCAACGAGACAACCACACGAAATCTCGAGCAATGAGTCAGAGACTGGTTTCATCTGTGTCTAAAGCTCGATTGCGTCACATTGATAGACTAGTCCTTGAGCCAGGATCAACATTACCCACGTGCCAATACAGCACTGTCTGTCCTGAGCCTTGTTCAGCAACAGCCAGATAATCAGTCGATGATGAATGCAACATACCCTTTGATAACCATACGAAAAGTAATTAAAGGAAACAAGACGAAAGAGAGAGAAAACTATAACTATTACCATTTCAAGTCCATCTAGAAATCAATCTCAAGAACTGTTCGGCGTGAAAGAAGAATCCATCTTTGTTTCTATCACCAAGTCCTAGCAAACCTTCAATGTTCAGTGCAACTGTCATTAGTTTGCAGACATTACGATGTTCAAGTCTTTTGCGAGTCGCCGATGGAGACTAACCTGCCTCTTTCCAATATAAATAGGGGGCATTCTCGTTATTTATTTCAGCTATTGAAACCCAGCAACCTAGCTTCTCTTCATCTTGACGCTTTAACAGCAAGATTACGACTCCGATTATATTTCTCATCGCGCAATTCACAGACTGCATTTACGAAAATGAGTGAACCAACTCAAGGTAACAATGCCGGCGACCCTATTGATCCCAATCAGGTGGTCAGCTTTGCTGAGTTAGCGGCTCAATACCGCGCTCTGACTAGCGCCTGGTCCAAAAAGCTTGATCTGAAGGAAGAATTGTTTGGGCTTCAAAAAGAATGCCAGCGGTTACTCACCGCTTCCAATCAAGCGTTGAACCAGGTTCTCTGGGAAAAAGACAGGCTTCGGGTCCGTCACCTGGAACTGAGACGCCAAGGCACAATAGTATCAGCGGATGAAGCGCGATACAACCAGAGCCTCCTTAATTCCTCAGAATCGTTTTTTGAAGATGGAAGTGCAGGGCTTACCGATGACATGGCTGATCTGAAAGCCACGGAGGACGAGCTTGACCGGCAAATTGCGGACATCAAGGCCCGGCTCGCAGTAGTGGAGAGGAGGATTGACGAGGCCTAAGCTGAAGTTGAAGTTGCGACCTTCAACTTCCAGGATACTGGGGATATTTGAAATACCCTCGGTGCTTTGAGCCATTCGATCTTTGAGGAAAAGCAGAGATTTGAGAGGAAGATTGTGTACTAGAATGATTTTTCTTTTGTTTTTGTTTCTTTCAATTGAATCTAAAATCTGTTCCATACAACTTTTGGCAGCAGGCAGTGTCAGCCTACCACCTCATTTTTTACATGATCAACCAGAGAGTTTAATCGTAGCGCATGTTCAGAGTATTTTTGATTGTATGTTGAGTCATAACTGTCATAGTTCATTAGTAGCGTACTTTCTTTTTCTTGAAATTTTCAAAGCTTCTTGTTGCACACCGCAAATACAAGGGTCAAGGCTATGACAGTAATGAGCCATTACAGCAGTCGTTGCTTTAAATCCCTTACTCAGTTTTGGGATCCCTGGTCAAGTTGATAATATAGGGCTTCTTAGTGTCGGTGTAATTTTAGAAAGGGGAGGAGGAGGATAAGCTCTTCGTCCCCTACCTATATTCGAATCAACACAAAGAGCGAGATAAAAGCGACGATTCAAATTCTCCTGATTAAAGATCTATTATATATTACTATTGTTAACAATAATAGTATCATTAGTAGCTGAAAATAGAAAACCTCTACCTTCATAGAGGAACCTTAGTATATCGGAATACCTTAGCGAGAGAGAAGAAATAAATAGTTCAATTTAGCGAAGAAACAAGATAAAGGTGGCGTCTACATTTGTAAAAAATCATAAAATTATCTACTCTGATTAGCCCTAATACCTAGAAAGGATAATTCTTATAGATCATATGTATTCAAACCACTATGAATAATTTTGCAGATAGTCAAGTCGGACAGAGCTAAAATGCAGCGTCAAACCCAAATATTTTAGACAAGGCTGAGGCCTAGCGAAAGAATGTATGACATTGACCTAAAGAAAAAGCTTAGATTCGAAGATCCTAGAGTATAAAATCACAAATAAAAGCTGACATACAATGACAAAGTCTTCTATTATGGCAATGTGCCCCTATATGATCGGCGAGGTTGGCGACAGCATGGCTAGCTAAAGCCCGGCCTACCTGCTCTTACCACGATAACGTGATTGAATAATATATTAGCAGCCTTCCATGGATAGCTAACTAGGCAGGTCGCGGAGTTTAGGGGTCATTCTACTGCGACCCGATCCTAAATTAATCTAACTGGGACGAGGCGGCGATCTCCAAAATGGGATGGGGACATTGGACATTTGCCACATCAATGTCGTGACTGCACCTGATGAAAATGTCGGTTACTTGGATGGGACAGAGAGTCGGCCGCCCCTAAGAACCTTGGAGCAGCACATTGATGTGAAATAGAATTCTCCTTCCAAATGTGACCTGAACATCGAGTCAGCCATGGAGAAGAATATCGCAATGAAACGTTGCAACAACCATCTTCTGTCTCGGTTAGATTCTATAGCCCCAATCAAAAAGGCTCCTGGCCGTATTATCGACCCTCCAAGCCAAGGCCCCTGCAGACGCTTTACGCCAGTCATGGAAGCACTGCCACCATGAGTACTACAGTAACTTTGGACCGCTGACTGTTGCAAGGAGACTTGACTTGGGCCGAGATTTTAAAATATATAAAGAAAGCTCGCTCTGTCCGCGATTTACCGATATTCTTCTTTTCAAGGTTAATTCAACCATTGAACTTCCCTTCTTCAAACACTACTCCCTTAGCCTCACACGAGCAAAATGCGCTTCTCCTTGGCTCTGCCCCTGGCCTTGGCCGCCCAAGCCCTTGCCGGCCCTACTTTTTACCTCTATGCCTATGGAGAGGGTATCAATGGGTTGGAAGTTATCAATTCTGGCGGTCAGCTGCTCTTTTCTTGAACACGCGTCTGGTCCCGCTCTAACTACTCCATCCAGACCGCGCCTATCTTGGAGATACCAAGGATGCTCCTGACCAGGGGGCAATACAGCTTGACTGTAAGTTTCCATCACAAAAAGAACTCATGGGAGTTGTTTTACTCAAAAGGTGGAGACCCCTTGACTAACGTTTTCGCTCTTCTGTTCCTTCTGATAGGGTACGAATGGGGAGATGAGCACGGTATCTGGTATGCAACCCGACGCGATGGGGGCGATTTCTCAGACTGGGTCTACTACCTCCCAGGAGAAGGTTCTTCCTCCACGCAGACACGCTTCACATCATATAGCCAGATCCCCAAGGACGTCAGAGCCACTGGATTCGTGTTGGATGGCGACCAGGCCTTCTACGAGGAGGGCGGCAAGCGCCTTTCGAATTGGTTTGCGCTCCCCGTCGAGGGCAAGAAGGGCTTGTATACCGTGGAGTGGGGCACTGGTAGCGTGAAGGGCAAGATTGATATTACTTTGAGTAAGAAGGCACCCTGAAGCAGAGTTGCTTGACACTTTGCGCGTGGAGCTCAGTTCTTGGACACCATTCCATTGAATGAGAATATGGAGATACTTCAACCTTGTAGTGGAGTTCTCAGTAGACGCTAAGCTTCGATGTTGAGAAACTTATTATTTTAAAAAGATAGGCGAAGCACTTGAATACTTCTCCATCCAAATTGAAACGTAATTGGAACTAAGACATCTAAAACCTCGAAATTGCGTTTATCATTATTATTTTGATCTCACCTTATACCCAATGATAAGTCTAATTGTTCCACATCATGATCTTCACGACAGCCGATATCAGAACAAACGTCAAGACTCTTGTCCGGATCCAGCACCAGCGTCTTGTTAACAGTCTGGCCATTAACATCTGGTACTGCCCTGATGTAAGTAGCAATAAGCTGCTTCCTTCCAGCCTCCCACTCTGTCGCTGCCCAAAACCAACGACAGTCCGAAGGAATAAACCCATCCCTATTTCTGCTTCGTTCCTCCATCAACACCCCACCCAGCTTGCCGTTTAGCATCAGCGCAGGCTCCCACGCGCCCTCACGCCACTGTATCTGACGAATGATCCCTGCCGCCATCATACGGAGGTTGTGGACCCGGCATCTGTTCACTACCACAAGAAGGGCGCTGAGGATTGATGTAGAGAGTGTGAAAAGATATGTGGGACGTGACTCGCGTAGGTATTTCACGCAGCGCGTCAAGAGAATACGAAATTCAGTTTCAAAGTCGTCGTACATCATATCTGTATCATCGAGACAGCATGAGATGCATATCAGAAGCGTCTGACGCTGTATCTGCATGATTTGTAATGTTCTCATGTGAGCTGGCTCCACGTATGCCTTCCCTCCTCCACACCATGAGTCGAATTCTATCTGCCAGATTCTGAGCTGCGCAAGTATGACGTTTTTCTGTTCCTCTGTGTCTCGTTGCTGCGGCAGGGGTAGTGTTTGGAATTTCATAGTCACTCCTATAAAGGCGACCGCACGCGCGTGAAACTTGTTCCATTGGATATCGAGTTTGCTGATGCTGGGTTGGCCGGAATCAGGAAGATCCATTCCACAGGTAGTATCCCACAATTGCATGTTAGATGACTGAGAAAGAAGAAACGGGGTATACCCTCCCATTATGGAGATGAGTGGTAGGAGATGCTCAATGTCTTCCAGGTCGCCTTCCAATGGGCGAGGGGTTTGGGCTTGTTGAGCCAGGCCATCTTGTCTATGCAACTTGAGTGTATGTTTTAGAAGAGTTATACTTCTTGTGATGAGGCTGTCGGCTGACTTCATATCGCCTTGTAATAACTCAAAAGTAATGAGTAGCAGCGACACGATCAACAGCGACCTAGGAGATGCTTTGTTCATCTCTGCTTCTAGTCGATTCCTAAACAAAGCAAGGGCTTTGACATAGTGGCGGACGGCGGCTTCATGATGGACATTGGCCATAACTATAACCGACCAAGGATAGAGCGCTGAAGGCCGTCGAGTAGATTGTGCACTGAGTTGGGGAGCAAGTCTGATAGCAGTCGAAAGTGCTCCAATTGCAAGGGCAGACTCCAAGGCGCATCTATCTAAGGAACTCTCACAGGGGACAATGCGAAGCCAGAATTCGGAGTGCGAGTATCCTGAGAGCTCATACACTAGCTGACCTCGAAAGAAATCAAAGTACTGAGCGTCGTCTTGCTTGATAAACCGAGAGAGATGGGGATTTTTCCAGCGTGGGTGAGGCAATCTTGGCATTATTGCCTTTGCGGTTGATGTGCCATGTGGGTGGCCTCCATAGCCATTGCAACTGAAGCCGTCCTTGCTGCCTGCGCTCCAGCTAGTTAATTATGAATTTGATAAAAAGACTAGGGCTCATATGAAGGAACAGCTATGGCCAACCACCCAATACGCCCGAATGGATAGAATTACTCACACTTCTGGCACGTAGGTTTCTGTTCGTCACACTTGATCCGTCGAATTTTGCAAGAAACGCACCCAGTCCGAACTTTGGGCTTACTTGCACGTCTCTTTTTGGGCTGTAGAGGAGCGACAGAAGTTATACTAGCCGGCCTCGGAGCGATGGCCACTTCCCGATGTGCTTGCGGCATCTCTACCGTGACAAATATGGGTGGACAGAATCGGTTGATAATTCACGAAGCGGTGAATTTATTCAGAAGGATTTCATTTGGTAAGTGTCGGGGTTTCGGATGCTGAGTTCTGACCCGACCGACTGATCCGGAGGAAAGTAAGCAATCTAATCTATAATAGGCTATTACTAGCCTCGCACTAATTTCTCTAACACTTGTGGCCAATCAGAGTTCGTTTACCGTAACATGTTATGTCCAATCATGAAGCTCCTTTCTGGGAGGGCTGTTCTTCTGAACATGAATGCATCGACCCTGCACTAATATATGGAGGCTTACAGTCCAGCAAATGAGAAGACACTCCTCGTAACTTGTATCCTCGAATCAGAGAAGGCCTCATACCTAAAGAAAGCAGAAGTGAGAAAGCTCTATACAATGTATGGGTGATGTGAAAAGGCATAAATAGGCGGCCAAATCCCGTTCCAGCTTTCGTAGATATCTTCAAGTATCACAACGCCTTAAGTTCCCCTTTCCACGAATTCTACACAAATAAAATATATTATCGGCATCAACCATTTAACTTACCAAAATGGCTTCCCTCAATGAATACCATGCTCTCGGATCTCTTCCCAAAGACTGGGCAGTCAGGGCTGTTCAGTTTACCCGGAATGTTTATACCTCCGTTTATCCAGCCATCGATCCTGGCAATGCAGCAAACTCGCTGCAAGGAAAGACGGTAGTCTTGACAGGCGCCAGCAGAGGCATCGGAGCCCATGGCATCGCACCCGCCTTCGTCAAGGCCGGAGTCAAGGCTATAGTGCTCATCGCTACGAACTCGAGCAAACTAGCCCAAGTCGAGGAAGACCTGAAGGCCATTAATCCTGATGTTCAAGTTCTTTGCCTACCTGTGGATATCGCATCTGCAGAACAGGTCAGCGGAGCGTGGGCTAAGATTGGTGCCAAGTATACCAAGGTTGATGTCCTCATCAATAACGCTGGTATCGAGGTCGGAGACAGTAACAAGACTCACGAGCAAGACCCGGATAAGTTCTTCAGAAACTACGTAAGTGATCATCTAGGTCTGCCATAGAGTTCCTTCAAGAATCCGTGGGCTAATGTCGAATTACTACCTCCAGGAAGTCAATGTCAAAGGCACCCACATGATGACCCAACAATACCTCAAAGCCGCAGTCCAGTGGGCCTCGACAGCTACTCCAGCAACAGTGATCAATATGTCTAGCGGTTCTGCCTGGGGCACCTGGCCCGACTTGCCTGGATACACTGGGAGCAAGTTGGCTATGATACAATACACCAAGACTGTTGCCGCCTCTTATCCAGGCACTGTTTTGACAATCGCGATCAACCCCGGCATGAACGACACTGACATAATCCCGGCGGGCCTGAGGGCGGCCGGTCTCAATTGGAACGACTTCTCGCTGACTGGTGGAAATTTGGTGTGGCTGGCAGCGGACCCAACCAGGAGCATGTTTTTGAATGGGAGGATGATTAGCGTTGAGTGGGACGTTGACGAGCTGGTCGCTCGAGCAGAAGAGATTACCAGTAAGGATCTGCTGACCATGCGATTCAACGCTACCTTCGGACCAGAGCAGTTTGAGAACTGAGGCCATTTACATGCTAAAACCAAGATCAAGGCGAGGCGAATAAAGTAGGACCTGAGTACTTTTTCAGTTGAAAAGACCTGTAAGACCTCCCATTGACATAGAAACTAGAAGTCTTTACAGTCCTTTTCTCATACATTCTTCTCATACATTGCTCGTGACACATTCATATTGTTATCATTGACTCTCAAAAAGTCCGTGCACCTTGTTTATGCTGAGGTGAGGCATCTAGACCCGTCCAATAGAAAAAAAACCAAAATAAGAGTTTGGTTTCAATTGTAGCTGTGGGCGGTGGTTAGTTGAGTGCGCTACTACATGTAGTCACGGCAGCCAGGTCAAGCAAATACAGATTCATCTATTCAGAACGATTTAAGATAATTAGACTTCAAGGATGGTTTTAAGAATTGGCTTAAGGCCTGGCGAGAATTACATACAAATCTGATGGCGCTGGGTGAGGTAACCTGATCCCGTGAGAAAAGGGGCATGGTAAGGGCTGGGGAGGCATAAGCCGTGTACGCCATCGCCAGCCCGGCCTTGGCTCAGCCCTGACGCTATATTTTTTACGGGAATCAGAAATCTAAACAAGGCCATGGGTCAAAACCTCAGCATCCCCGAAGGCGCACGGGTGGCCAAGACGGGAACGTTGTGGGTTGCCAACCCACGTGGGCTTCCAACGCACGAGGGATCTTCCAACGAGCTGCAACCCCGGCAAATGAACTCCAGAGTCCGCTTTGTTTCATACATAATCCATTCATAAGCTCAATTAGCTGCCAAGAGAAGCAAAGCTTCGAGAACAAAAACTGCTCGAAGGGCTGAAACTATTATTGGTAAATAACGGAAGGGCCCTGCTAACAAACGGCTGATATGGCTACACAGCTGATCCTTTGTCTGCGGGCCTAGCCGGTTAACCGGGAAAGCAGCTGCCCGTATTGGCCTTAGTGGCAGGCCTCCAACCAAATGTTGCAGTGATAGGTCTTGCTCAGTGTTTAGGCAGACACATTAATCCCAGCGATACGACATTGCAGAAATGTTTCAGATGCCAGAAGGGAGATGTACGGCACGAGGGATGAAAAAGGGCTCCTTACGCAAGCTCGTTTTCCCATTACTCGGTAGATATGTTGGTTTGGTCGGTTGGAGGCCGGTAGTTGGACAGGGATGGCGAACGCTAAGCTTTTCCGCCAGTTTTAGGATTTCGAGCCAGAACTACCAATGAACTTCCATGGATTGGACACCTGCCACGCCAAAAGAGGGCTGGATTTTACTGCCCTATTTGAATTACAACGCCTAGCTGGGTAGGAAGTACGAAGGCTGTATAAGCACTAAGAGCCAGAATGAGATTCATGGGATCATGCGCAGATCTCCTGTTGATCATAGGAGCTGGGCATCCGAACATGCTTAAATATATCTACGTAGATGTTTTTATCGAAGCATTTACCAAGCTCACCACTCTGTCTGACAGAGATATTCTATAGATCAAGCCTATATACACTCTTATTTAAGGCAAAGAAAGCCATTCGTTGTTTATGTCTTGGTTGACAGGGCCATATCAGGGAAGTATCCCTACAAAATTGTATTGGGAAGCTTGTTCCAAAATAGACAGAAAGGATCTAAAGCCTAGCCTCTAGGTAAGAAAAGGCTGCGTCTAGACCCCGAGCTTGTAGTTCAACGCAAAACACAATACTGACTGGGCAGTTTGCCTGACTTCCTAATTCATACGTAGCACGGGAAAGGGTTGAATGCGGCCGGGGTTAAGAATGCAAGTGACAAACACAATACTAAGTAGATTGTATTATTCACATACCTACTCCGCATGATTGTGGCAGATGGGTTCGGTAACACCGCGGAGCACATCCATTTGTGTGCGGTGGGCGTGCTCATTAGGATCCAGCTGATTGGCCGGCAAGTTCGACTCCCAATGACTGATCAATTATGGAGAGAACCTAGAATCTGGAATATGCTAAAACTGGAAATATCACAGCTCCGCCAAGGCCCACCATGCAGGAATGTGGCGGAGCTAAAGATAGCCTCTAGCAACTGTGATGTAGTTATGGAATACGGAGAGAGCATGCTGACAAGTATATAATCCATAGATTGATCTTCCCCTTCATATGAGATCTCTTCTCTTCATCACTCGATCAAACACCACCGAAACACCCAAAACAAATACAGAGCTGGTCTCTTTTCGCTTCTTTCCCCTTATTTTTATTACCTTTTTCTTATTGCTGGTCAATACCTTCCCCCAGACCAATATATATCATCTTCATTCAAAATGGTTGGCATTCAGCAAGTTTTCATCCCCGCCGTCCTGATCGGCCTGGCCGCGGCTGCTCCTCTCGCCCCTCAGCCTGACATTGCCGTCCGAGATGTCAACGACTTCGCCGACCTTGACCTGGCCGCTCGTGACCTCGTGCTCGACCTTGATGAGCGTGACTTTGAGAACTTCGATCTCGTCCTCCGAACCCTTTATGGCGATGAGCTCGATCTTGAGACCCGGGCCAACCTCTTCAGTACTGTCAAGGCTGTTGCCCCTGCCTTGAAAAATATCAAGAATATCCTCCCTGGATCCAAGAAGCTGGTTGGCGCCGTTTCCGGGGCCGTCAAGGCCAAAAACGCTGTTGCCGGTGCTGCTAAAACAGTTGCTAAAACTGTGGTGAACAACAAGGGCAAGACTTACGATCGTCTTCTCAAGACCGCCGACACCTCAATGAACGTTGCCAAGACTGTCAAGACCAATCAAAAGCCTGCTCAGGGAAAGCGTGATGAGTGGGACCTTGAAGAGCGCGATGAGTGGGATCTTGAGGAGCGTGATGACGAATGGGACCTCGAGGAGCGAGCCAATCTCTTCAATGCCGTCAAAGCTGTTGCCCCCGCCCTAAAGAACATCAAGAACGTTCTTCCAGGATCCAAGACGCTTGTCGGCGCTGTCTCCGGCGCCGTCAAGGCCAAGAATGCTGTTGCCGGTGCCGCTAAGACTGTTACCAAGACTGTTGTGAATAACAAGGGCAAGACATACGACCGTCTTCTGAAGACTGCCGACACCTCAATGAAGATTGCCCAGACTGCTCACAAGCGTGGTGCCGAGGAACATGACTCGGCCTCCGAACACCACACCAAGAAGGGCAAGAAGGGCAGCAAGAAGAGCAAGAAGGTGGCTGGCAAGAGGAAGAACCGCATTTCCAAGAAGGCCAAGAAGCACAGCGAGGAAAACTAAATGCTGGGAGGTCATTCTCATGTCAACTCTTCACTCAATCCTGGGCTGATAGTTGCTAAAGATTACCATAGAACGTGCTATAATGCTAATGAATAAAGATGATGATGTTGGTGCTACTCCGGGGAACAAGAAACGTGAATTCTATGAGGCGTGTCATGAACTTTGCTATATAAATTATGGTTGCTTCTTTCGATATCTAAACAAACTTGTTTAAAGTACCTCTTATCATATTTCGCTTTTGTGATCCATTTCGTGGGTTTATCAGACACGCTTTCAACTGAGCGGCCTTGAAATAGAAGAGAGCACGGGAAGTTCCGGATATCCTACTCTTTGAGAAGCCACCGGGAGTCCCTAAGGATGGTTTTACGTAGCCACAAAGAAGTTACTAAAGTCTGGAAAGCCTGTTTATAACAACATGCGCTGTGTTGAAGTTAGCGACAATGATGATGGTAATGACTAGTTAGGAGTCAAAATGCTGGAGCCAGCCACAAGACGCGTGATAGGGACGGTAATACGGGATATGGAATTATATCAAAGATTGACTGCAAGAGCGTAGGAATATGGCTCTCTAATCTTGCTATTTGTTTATCCATTTGCGGAAGAACCACCGCTAGATGTTGTCTTTCGAATGTATAACCACTGTCAGAGTCAATTCTGATACACCAATAAAAACAAAAGGGAGCACACACGCTACTAATTGCTATGCCTCGTTGACAATATAGGCTAATCACTGATACCAACAAGTACAAGTAAATGAAAGCATCAGGGCTACAGAACTTGAGGAGATGCCTATAGTGCCAAGTGGTATAAGAGGAGCCATTAGCAGTTAGAAGCGGGTGCTAGAGCGAGAGTGCGTGCAGTTCATGTATGGGAGAATCTCGACATCAGTGTCCAACTAATCACACCGACTATGTATGGCTGAGATATCAGTGGACTAGCTGGAGGAAGCAATAATAGCGAGGTGAATCGGGATGGTGTGAAACAAGGGAGCTTTAGCCACCGGGGATGAGCCGTTGCATGAATGATGTGCCCAGATGGGCAAAGTGGTGACAGCTGTGCAATAAGTCATGCACAAGATGACTAAATGGGAAACAAGTGAATGACTGAGAGCTGACTGGGATAGCCAGTCAGCGCGCGTGGAAAAGCAATGGAAGGATCATTAAGAGGAGCAAAGTAATAAGTCAGCCGAGATATCAGCCTCAACTCCTCCAGAAGCCCTGCCGCTTTGACGAATAATTTAACACAACCACGGGGGGTTCGGAGAATATTATCGATGTTTTAAGATCTTCTAAACTCTTGCCAAATTGATGTGTCATTTGGAAAGCATGATAGAGAGCCAAAACATCGTTTCTAGTGAATAGTTTATTTGACCATGTCCTTGAGTATAGCTACGAAGATACATCTCATCTCCAGAAACAATTTGATCGTCGATCGATACGCCCATGTGCCACGTATGACACATCAAGCTAACGGATGCTTGGGTAATAAAGGGGCCGTGGTGGTTGTGCCCCTAGCAGCTTTGCATTTCTTGGTAAGATTGCCAACAGGCATCATTCCCTGCTGACAGCACACGACTACCCGTTAGGATTATGGAAATCTGGACAGTAGGGATTCTGGGAATTTGATTGCACAAGGGACTGGCCTAGCGCTTGTTGCCTCCCAGCATTAATTGACCGCATCCTGGTCCCTGCCAGCCTAAAGTCACAAAAACAAGGAGGAATATCCCTCACAACGGCACTAGGAACTGTACTAGCAACTCAATTCAGCGCCCTCGATTCCGCGTAATAGAAAATGTGCGTAGAGAGAAAAGATGACTCTCTGTGAGCGGACCTCTGAGCCAGATAATGGCGTTTGATACACGATATATTTCCTGCAAATGGTCTGGACGATGAAGTCTCTGAACCTGCATTGCAGAAGAGCAATTGTCACGACTGGCTGGTGGCTTCCTCGGATCGGACTGTTGTCACGTATTGGTGGTCTATGCAGGCTAAATAAGTTGTTGCCAACGGAGAATACTTCGCTTTGAGGTGATTGCCCGAGCGATCACTTTCCCAGGATATCATGGGGGGAAGCTGGGGCTTGTCCAAGGTCAGCAACGTCTAGAAAAGCACTTTGCCCGGCTTGAAACGCGACATGGGGCATTCATGACCCGGTCTGACAGCGGCTCCCCAGGAAGCTTGTCCTTTGCATTGGGCTGGACCACCAAATGAGAACAAGTGGCCGCCAGATCCGGCAGCTCACGTTTTGTAACCCTGCGTTGCTTCCTTGAAAGGAGACTTGGGGTGTAATACATGCGGTGTTGGCCCCATCGGGAATCTTTAAGATTGAGGCTCCCGGCCTTTTTTCTCCGATCGACCCGTTCCTCAACCAACCTTCATTGTCACTCTATACCTGCGGCACGACAGATACGACTGAAGAACGATTAAGGAACCAACGAACCGGTCAACACGAGAATGAACTGTATCGTCTACGAGGCACCGCTCCCTACTTGACGGCTTCGTTCTACGGACGTCAAGCTTGCACATGGCCATGGACTCTCGCAAACCTGTCGAAAATGCAGCCTCGATCGTCATCCCGGCAATCTGGTCCATGGTGGGGATCACAACGGCGTTCTTTTGTTCGAAGATCTACACGCGCATCACACGAAGTGGACAAACATGGTGGGACGACTATCTCTTGATCATCAGCTGGGGCTTTCTTATCGCTCCTGGATCGACACTCACTGTTGCTGTAAAAAACGGACATCTCATATCAGACAGTACTGAGGCACTTGCTGTCAGTGCCTTGGTCCGCACATCACACACATTTCATCTATTAGCACTGGCTTTATCTAAGACCTCTTTTGCTGTCTCCTTGCTACGCTTCTCCAACAAGGTCGAGAAAGTGCTTATCTGGCTCGTTGTCGGATCGATCAACATGCTCTCCATCTTTCACGTGTTCGCGCAATGGAGGGCTCTCTGCGGTGACACAGTTCCGTATGTTCTTCCGGGTTCATGCTGGGAAGCACACGATTTGGGCATTGTGAACATTACAGCTTCAAGTAAGATTCTTTTTCCTTATTCCATTTCGGCTGCGCGGAAGTCTAACAAGTTTCTAGTTTTCTCAGCGGGGACGGATTTGGTCCTTGGCCTACTTCCATGGCGAGTCATTTGGAATACCAATCTGGAGAAGAAGAAGAGGATCAATGTCGGTGTTGCTATGAGCTTTGAGATATTGTAAGTAGGCTCTATGGCATGAGGACTCGGCTTTACTAATAATACCACAGCGCGTCGGCTATGGGGGTCATGAAGGGAGTTCAGGCTATCAGAACCCTCAAACCACTTGAACCAGAGTGTAAGAACGAACCCTATCCGGCTTTTTAAACCATCCCTGACCCTTCTCTTATAGTTAACTGGCACCTTATGCTGTATTGGATATTCTCTCTCACCGAACCGAGCTCAACCATCATCGCAGCCTCAATACCCATTCTGCGTGTCCTCGTCGGTGAAATAGCTCTGTGCACAAGATATGGATCAACCCCGACCGTACTTGGATATGTTCGATCTGACGGCAACCGATTCTTGGCCCAGCCTCGACCCGAATCACGAAGGAACTCCGAGTCTCGCCATCAAACTTTCCTTAATGACACCGCAAGCGAAAGTAGTATCCTCGATGGCCGGCATGGCCACCGCGGCGGGGGTATCACGCTAAAGACGGAGGTCTCGATCGAATTTGACCGGAAACCCGATCACCAGCCAAGGCTAGAGATGTTTGAGCTGCGTCCAGGGGTTTCACGGTCGAATTCGGTGAAGGTGAAAGGAAAAGACCCAGTGGTGTTGTCCAGTCCACTGCCGCAGTTCCTAATGAATGATTAGACACATAGACAATGATTATGACATAGAGATTCCTTTCTTGAATACATACCCTTGACCTGCTCGGTATTCCTATCGGTGGATATATACTTCGAATTTTGTGTAAGACAATATTGACTGGTAGGCACGATCTACCGCGCTGGAAACGCCAACCTCTGAGTAAGCTTTGTTCTGCAAAGTGCATTCTGCTTCATGCCTAAGCAACTAGCTGGCAACAAGCGGTTACGACCAGGCGTGGGGCTGAACGGCTGGCTGGTATCAGAGTATAGCACATGGAAAACTCACCGTTCGACACGTTGTAGTAACACCGTCCTATCTTTTGAGACGCATGTACGAACTTATCTTGATGTACTTATGATATGAGCACGCCAATTTTGCAAGCAGATGCTTCACAGGTTAGTGAGCGATGCTCAGGAATGGTTGAGGAAATGGGAGCGTATGCTACTGCAAGGCCGCACCTTGTAGAATCAATGTCTAACCTGAACTTCAATGCAAAGATTATAACGAAGGGGAAAATCCAACAAAAGAAGGACCCAGTTTAGACGGACCCAGAATTGGCGTGCAAGTGTTGGTCTCAGGATCAAGAACCGCATTGAGCAGCAACGAGCCCCACTACTCATTTGAGACGATGGATGGAGATATTGAAAGCGAAGATATCGATTGAAATGACTATACTTAGAGGAGATTGCAACTATAAAAAAGCTTAATTCATTCCTGACTGGCTCTATCCCTGTAAAATTCCCGTACCTGGGTGGCAACCTATATATTCAAAGAACTGCTGCTCCGGCTCGAGAACCATAACTTCATGAAACACTCGAAGATTCACGTTATATTTCAGCTTCTTTGCGTATTGAAAAAATCCACCAAAGATGGCAAGATGTGTAGGATGCTCCTTACACCAGCCCTCAAGTGATTTCAGATCACTGAAATAAGCAACCCCAAAAGTTCGATCTTTATCTGCCGCATGAGTGGCAGGGTCAATCACGTCCATGAACCGACAGCTATAACAATCTACCTCCTCACCATGGTCGCGGAGGAAGTCCATGCCTTTGATGAGAACGGGTTGCATGGTGTTGAGATACAGCTCTCGTTCCTCCGGTGTGGTAATGAGCCAGTCTTGGCCAGAACGGATGACTGCAAGATTGTGTTTGCCAGGAATACGCACGCGGCCTTGGACCCCTGAAGAAGGATCGATGCTTATCTTCGTGCCCTCCAGGCTATCTGTGAGGGATATCGGCAGCCGGTCCCGCATACTACCCCAGTACCCATGCTGCTGGACCTCACCACTCCAGGCCTCCCGAAGATGGCCTGAACCCTCAGGGGTCTGGGTATTGAAAAGGGTCTCAAACCGCTCCATTGGAGGATGGAATACCTCCAAGAACCACCCGTTGGAGTGATCTCCGACCTGGAGAGACTCCCACCATTTCTTGAAGCCTGATTCTTTGCCCCAAGTCTCGTAATCAGCTGTGCTCGGCCAGTAGGCAAAGGCCACCAAATTGTAATATCCCTTGTTGTCTATGAACGATGTCCATTCATGGAAGGAAGGGGGTGTTTCATCGGACACCAAGAAGCTAGAGATCTTGGATTGACCAAGACCGTCAGCTTCAGTCTTTGTCCTGTATTGGGCACCAATTAGGGCCATGACAAGCTCGGTAGCCTTTTCAGGGAACCGCGCGCTGTACGACGGGTACGCTGGTTGGAAATCAGCCGAGGGTGTGTTTGCCGGCAGGACTCTATCGCCCCGTAAATGCTCTGGAATCGCATTATCAAGCATTTTGAACTGTGTTGGCTTTTGTCATGAGAAGAGGAGGGAATGATCATGGCAGAAAATGCACTGGTGCTGCGGCTGAGCTGCACAAATGTGTATCATGGGAGCCCAATCAACTGCGGGGTATTAGGAATTCGAAACATGTGAAGTCCCCCTGGATTAGGCATCAAACCAAAATCGTATAAATCGTATATGGGCGAATCCCGACTTTGGGCATGCTCTCTGCCAGAGGACAATGCTGGGCGCTGGCTACAGAGATGCGGGTTGGGCTCCAAAATACAAGTATTTACTTCCTCGACAAAGCAACTTATTTTGGGCATATATACTTCCCATGATACAATGATGCAAGAGGGCGCATGATTAGAGTCGTATGCGTTGTAAATCATCACGTATCATAGATAGAAGCCAAGTTATGCCAAGTCAATACCAATACCACTTACAAATATATAGGTATTCAGGGATAATAGGTCTTCGGAGTGCCTCCAGCAAAACAAACAAGTGACGGTATCATTGTTAGATTTTTTAAAGATACAATTTTCTACACATCTAGTCAATTTGACTGCCAGCCATAGTTTTCTTTCTAACACGACATGCTTCCTGATTGTACACCCACCAACTTCAGAACTATAAATAAACTGGGCATCTTTATAGGTAATTTTTATTGCCTTGACTCATTTTTAGGTGTGAACTGCCTTTTTGGCGATCCTATCTACTATCAGATCGTAGATTGGCACCTATCACCACTTCTCGAAATAGCCATGTGGGCGTATCGGATTGAAATGCCGGATCGAGATACAGGTGACTCTCGTCTAGTTTATTTCAAGGCCACCAAAGATTTAAGATTAAGGTCAATTGCTGACAGTCTTTCGCACTGCCTTGATCTTCTGCTCAACTCTAAAAATTCTCTGATCTAAATCTAAACCAGTTAACTCACTCTGGTTGAAATCATGGCGAAACCTAGGAAACACCCTTGGCAATCATGGCACAGTCCCATACGCGATTTTCAAAAACGGGGCATTATGAATGGGTAGTGTGATACAAACGAATATTACTTGGAAATACAAAGGTATTGAATCCACGTTTAGTCTGCTCAGAAGTTCGCGCTGGATAGGCCAAAAGCCAACCAAACGAATGGCTAAACCGTTATGGAGAGTGACGGTCCATCCATGGGACTCGATAATCTACTTTCGACATGAACATGTACTTTGGTCCTGTGCTATCTCAAGCCTGGTATATTTGCCCTCTTTTAGCTTTTAGTTTGATATGTCTTGGCTCTTTATATTCTTGCCTTGACTACGAGAACGTTGATTATATTTGATCAGAAAAGTCGAAGCATCCCCATGAAAATCTATCCAACCGATTTTTCAGTCCAAGCTTCTCTGTACTATGAAATCATTTTATCAAAGCCCCACAAGAGCGGGTTGCCTTTCCGTTTTCAAGCATGTCTGCTTGGAAGGGAAGTTGAGAAATGCTATGGGCTGAATCGAACCTCTACTCTGGAAGAGGTACATGCTTCGGTGCTGGTGGTGTCTTCAGCAGCTCGGAGGGTAATTGAAACGTCTTGATAGCTCATTTCTGAACAGTTCTACGATAGTACAGAATTTTAGGACTTACTGGGTGCCCATAAGACTTCAAAAGGTGGCCAACACCTTGAAGCTGGGGATTGTCGTTGACCTAGATCGTTCAAGCAAACCTCCCCTTTGCTAAAGAACCGCTAGAGAACCGCTTAAGTGAACTGTGGATAAGTGAAGTTTGGCAAGGTTGGTTTGTAATTCAAGAAAATCATAACTCGTAACTTTCCCCCTTCTCGACCTTGTCCTCCTCCAGGTTCAGGTGTTAGTACGCCACAAAAAAGTCACACGAACTAATTTTGCCGGTGATTTCTGGAGACTATGAACCCGCAATAACGTTGAATGTTGAGATTTTCAAGAAGTAGGCGGGAATGGTGGATCTGATACCAGCGAGAAATCGTGATTTAACATCTACGGTAGACATGATCTAACAGGGATCTAATCTGATTTGTGATCAAGATTGCGACATATCTCTTGGGATTGCGTCTAGTGCCGTTAAAAAGTGCAACGGTCTACGACATTGCGACATATCTGTCGGGATGACGCCTTTCCACCCTCCGAGCTCGGCTCGAAACCAACCAAGGTTCACCCCAACCAGCTAACCCAGTAACTGAACGCTCCCTTGTAGGATGGATTATCACAGCTATTAACAATGCACGTCGTGGTCAATATTGAGAACATGACTTGCTGGGTCCCGCTTCGGTTCCAGAACTGGAGCCACAGTTACACCACAGTGGCCCACGCAGCTGGAATTGGAGGCCTCGACCTACCATCGCTGCTAGGATGCGCATTTTGGGTCGTTGAGATAAAAGGAGCATTCAATCGTGGACTCCCGGCAGCGGTCCGAAGCTACCAAGCCAACCTGACAGCGGGAGAGGCTTGTGTCAAACTCTTGGCCCCGATGCAAGTCACAGCCATCATGCCTATTAAGTCATGAGTCTTGGCTCTTGGCTCTTGGCAACATTGACCTCAACTTCCGTTCAAACATTGGGTCAGAATAGCCTCAATTCTCAAACAGCCAGACGGGCCGAGACCCTCAAGTTAGGCTTTTCAGCAAGCTAACCGGGGTCCATGCAATGAGTGCAGAAATCAAGAAGGTAGTCTCATTACCAACACTTCTGCGCATATTTCACCCTTGTCAAAAGTTCGCAGCGGGCAAATCTTGTGGGGTTTATCCTCGCTTGGGTGGGGAGCATGCATGTCATGTCGGGGTTTGGCTCATCGTGACTGGGCAGAGGAGTCAATGGCGCAAGCCCGACAGAGGATTTCACCACTGCGTTCATGCGCGGGACGCCATCTCCATGCGCGATTCGAACTAGATTGTCTGCTGATATCGAATATGATTATCGTTCGTCGTAACAGGAATTATGGACTCAACGAGGGTTCTCCCGCTACCCACGGCTTTAAGATAAGCATAAAGGAGTAGGGGCCACTTGACGTGATTATATAGGCGAATGAGTGCATTTCTTTAGCCTTATTATATGGATCGTATAAGAGGGTCCGGGGTACTCGAGCTCTCTGTTTTCTTTTTCTCTATGTTTCCTAGAGAGCCCTGCTTTTAAACATTTCCTACTGCTGTTGTCTACCAGAGCACGCTCTGTGTGTTGCCCATCATGGCTGAGAAGAGCTCATCTAAGGAGACTCGTGTTCCTACTGCAGCTCAG